CTACGTATGAAAAACTCAAACACTGCTGGGTAATACCAGATGTGAAAATGACCTAACGGAAGCAGTAAAAAGAGTATCCATGTCTTGTGTTGTTTACAAATGTTATAAAAAGGCCCAGCCTCACCAGGTGTGTGTCCCTGTCTCTTGCCTCTTCATTCAATCAAACTGTGGCAATGGATTTGAAATCTTAGCAAAATGGTTATTTTTTAGTTATGATAGATCTGGCCACATGCTACTGTAAAGCAACAGTGATAAATAATAAATGTGTAAACACTATAATCCATGCTACATTCACCTACTGGATCGCCTATTTTGGTACACTTGGATCTTTCCTAATGGACAAGGGAGATGAATTTAATAATGAATCCGTGAGAGATTTGGTAGACGCATTTGTTATCCAGCTTCTGAACACAGCAGCCCAGAGACTATGGAGTAATGGCACCTGTGAAAGGCTGAATCAAATATTATCAACCATGTTAAAATGGATTTTTGAGGAAACTAACTGTAATATGAAGATAGTTCTGTCCTGGGCTGCAAGAAATTTTTTGCATAATTTCCGGGTGTTTTCACCAAATCAATTGGTTTTTGGAAGAAATCCTACTTTGCCCAATGTGATAAATGACACACCATCAACATTAGAACAAAAATCAAACTCTCAATTAGTAGCAGATAACCTGAATACCATGCACAAGGCAAGAGAGGAATTTATAAAAAAGTGAAACGAGAGGATACGTTGAGCTCTTCTTCACCAAGTGATATCGAAAAGTGATCTAGAATCACTAAAAAAAAGGAGACAGAGTATATTACAAAAGAAATAAAAATGATAGATGGTATGGCCCAGGAATTGTAATTGGGTGTGACGGGAAACAGGTACTGGTTAGACATTGTGGTACCTATTATAGTCTACATTTGTAGACTCCAAAGTATTGAGCGGTAGAATATAGAGACATCTTTTAGAAATCCCTAAAGAAAATGATGAACAAGAAGAAACTGGCCCCAACACTAACAGGGAAGAGGATGAACATAATACCATCTAGAGTGAAGACATTGAAGAAAACAATAAAGAAGAAGAGATTAGCCCCAGCATTAGCAGGGGGGTGGATGAACATAATAATACAACTCGGGGTGAAGATAGCAAACAATGATATTGGAAAAAAAATGTGAAAGTGCCTGCAGAGAATGTTTCAAAGATTGGCAGTTACATAAAATGTTCCCTAAAAGATGGGAGTGGACAATTTACTGCAAAAGTTCTCTCATGTGCTGGAAAAGCAACAGGTCAATACAAGAACTGTTTTAATATTTGCAGGATTGATACAGGCACAGATTAATGGAATGATCTGGAAAATCATGTGGATTAGTAGCAGTAGGTTGATGAAGAGGAGGATGTCTTGGAGGCTTCTAAGGTCAATGCAAAGGCTGCAGAAGATGTAAATTGGAAGAAGTACAAGGTGTTTGAAGATGAGGGGAAACTCTGTATATCAATGAGATGGGTAATCACAGAAAAGATAAAGGGGAGTGAAAATAAGGAAAGCTCAACTAGTAACAGGAGATAGCAATGGATTCCACTTCATGTTCAAAAAACTCTTTAAGACTAGCAATATTCATGGTCTCCAGCTTTGGTTGGAAATGTAATCCATTGGATATCAGAGCAGCATATTTACAAGGAAATACAATTAATAGGAAATTTTTTTTAAAGCCTCCAAAAAAATTTTGCTGTGGACAGTTGTGACTACTGAAGAAAATCATATATGGTCTAGGGGATGCATCAAGAACATGGTACCTTAAGTTAAAGGAAGTATTGCTGGAATAATGGTGCCAAAGATGGACCTTGCATTCTTTTATCTTAATGTTGACGGTGTGTTGCTGGCTAACATATTGACCAAGAAGGGTATATCTCCAGATGCCCTGATGGATGCCCTGGAATTGGTTTTCACCCTCAAGAAACTAGGGGGGGGGTTGAAATAATTGAGTTATCCCCCTTTGACCAATTGCATGGTTTGAGAAGAGAAAGATTGAGAATGGTGGCACTAGTAGATAATCTGCATAGCAGTAGTATTAACCATTCAGGATCCACCTTGAGGTGAGCTGGTGGCAGGAGCTGGCTATGTAAGCTCAGTATTTAGAAGACCTCTGTGCTTACAACCTGGATAGAGGAATCTATACTAGAGAAAATTAACACTTCAGACCACCATGATTAACATCTTGTGACTCCTCACTTGTTAATGTGTTGCTGGTTTGTTGCTGGTATTGTGATGATGAGCATGATTCCACTCAGTTTGGCTGGTGTTTGTCTTCTGCTTCACGACCATTCACTCCTCTGCCACGTTGTGTTTTATAATGTCAAAGGGTCAGAAGATCACTGATGAAGTAAACTGAAGTGAAAAACAGATTGATGAATAGAAGCTACACAAAAAAGAATTCTTTAAAATAAAGAATTAACTTGGGTTAAAAATGCAACAATGATTTGGTTTATATATGATTTATTGTATACATTGGTTTTAATCCTTCTCTCTAAGGTTATAATTAAATGACACTGGGATCCCCTTTTGGAGTATACAGCCTATGCTAGTAGTAATTTAAATTTATAAGTTCTGGTCTTCAGGGCTGGCACAAGGTCTTGGTCAGGAGGTCTTGGTGAATAATTTGGATTCCAGTAGCAGTAATGTAGGGACTTTGTAAGTTATCCAAACCTCCAGCTTATGCGGAGTCCTGCATCTAGCAGGTGTGGGGTTGACCAGGGTCTGGGGTTTGGTTATTTCCCACCTTTTTCTAAAATCCCATATTTTCAAAATATGTTTACTCAAGTAATTTTCCAAATTTAGGGGTTGTCCAACCCCCCTTTTGAGAGTGGTCAGGAATCAAGCTGCCCCTTTACTCCAACTTGCTTTACTTTTTATCTTGCTCCATTACTCCATATAGGTGGTACTAATCTCTCTCTCCCTTCTCCCACCTTCTCAGCATCCAAACTCAGCCTATTTCCAAAGGCCGGTACAGTTATCTTTGTGACAAATCTAAACTTTTAGAATGCATAGGTGAAAAGGGGATTTCTACTAATTACTTTTTCATTATCAGCTTTTCTCACACTGGTTGTTTTAGGTGATTTCCAGGGAATTGACCATATCTAAGATGATCGGAGCCAATCCAGGTAATCTCAAATTAACCAATCTCAATTGTTTTGTTCATCCACAGTTATCATGGGTGAGAAAGAAAAATATTCCCAACATCTTCAATAATAATAATAAAAAAAAAAATTATTTTTTTCTGTTTGTGTTTCTTTGTCAACAAGACCACACAGCCTGTTGCCTATGGTCACTCCAAGCTAGTAATTAATCTTTATCAGCTTGTCTCCAAGAAATCCAAAATAATGTCTGCTATCAAAATTTTGACAAATGTCACAAATTAAAATAAATGAGCCTGTCCCTAATCTTAGGTGCTAATCTTTATTTTTGTAGGGATATTTTCCTTCTGTGTGGCTGACACAAACCAGATGTTTTCTTGGCTCTTTGTCCAGAACAGTTTAGATGTTATTTCAGTGACCATCCATTTTCTTTACTGATAACATACATTTTTCTATTATCCAGGACCGATGTCTTTGATGATACATTATCTCTTTCTTATTGGTGGGAAGTGGTGAAGGACTGGTTTTGCTCAATCTTATTGAATTTAGTCTTGTTAGATTTTGGTTTGATTCTCTTTGGAACTGTTATTAATTTCATTTTATTATTTTAAAACATAATTTTAATGCATTTTGTTTTTAATTTTCTTAACTTTTCTAAAAATTTCAACAATTATCTTTCAATTAGTAGTTTCTTTCCTCTTCCTTTTTCTTTTGTTTGATTAACTCCCTGGGGTCCCAATGTCACACACAAACATTACCTTTTTCTTTTTTTTTTAATCACATGATTTGTTGCTTATCTTTGGAAACTACTTTTTAGAAGAGAATGTATTTGAATTATTATTTATATTACAATAAAACTACATTCTGTTACCAGTGTTCATTTTTTAAAAAGGCTATCATATAAAAATGAAATTACCACTGGATGATGGTTTCTTCTTTAAGTGTTAAAAGCACAAAGTTTAATTTTACAAGAGGGAATTTGTAGAATTCAAATAGAAGACATTCCTTCATCAGCTCTTATAGACTGATGCCACAGAACCACAAACTTTACCAAATAATAAAAAGCAGATCATTTGAAGACTTGCAGCAATTTAAATGTTAGCATATGTAACAAGAAAGGAAAGTGATATAATCAAGATAATGATTTTCACATTATTTTAAACAAAAAGTTAGGAAGGAAACTCCCATTAGTACTAGAAAGATCAATAACAGTGAACTTGAGAAACATATATTAAAATTTTAAGAATTTCCACCAATGGTCATGATAACTTTTCAGTCAATGAATGGTGAATGTTTCCTACATGGAAACCACTAAACTCACCATTATTACCAGGAAGATTATAAAAGTTTGTATGTATTCATTTTGCCTCTTAAATGGAATATGGCACAAGGCTGTGTTTAAAGTTGGATTCTTCTATATACATGAGATTGGTAGTAAAAAATGCATTTTCTCTTGGCACTTCCTTATGACATACCTTAAACAATGATCTTGACCACAACCTTTTTTCAGACAAATGGGAGAGGTGCTGCTTTATGGGATAATCAAATGGAATACAGTACAGTCATGTTTAAAGTGGCATTCCCTTGCATAAATGGAATTAATAACAAAAATTGCTCAATTTTCTTTGGTACTTTCTTAATTGGATTGACTCTGCCTGTGTGGATGCCTCTCATGTAATAAGCATATTATTCTTTGAATCAATCCTGAATAGTTAGAACAGATTGCAAAAGCTGAGACAAGGATCTTATCCCTTTATACAATCCTAATGGTAGAGTCGATTTATAATGAAGCAAGATAAATTTTATTTTGCAAAATTCCTTAATGCACATGATATTTAGCAGTACTTTTTTAGTAAATGTATCAATGAATGTATCTTTGTAGGAAGCTCCAATGTAACGATGGCTGAAGAAGAAGATGAAGGAGAACCTGAAGAAATTGTTTGTCCTCAAGGTAAACCTTTGTACTAAGCCATACTGTTGTTTTGATTTTTCTTATTTTAATGAGTTAAACCTTTTCTTAATTACTTGGCCACACAAAAACTGGTATCTATTTCTTTTTGCTGTATAGGTAAGAAAAATGCTTGCAAACAAGTGATAGTCTACTGAACGTTTCTTTGTCAGATTTTATGTAGATGTGTGAGTGGTGTAATAGCCAATTCGAATGAGAAATCGGAGAGCAGAGTTCAAATTCCAGTTAGGTTTGTTACATTCACTTATGCACAAATACTCTTGTGAAAGGTATGAAGCCACAATCCTCCCAACTGTGGGTTAAATAGTATGATGTGTATCTGGAAAAAATTATTGTTGTTCTCAAAAAAAAATTGTTAATGCAATATTCACTTAAAAAAAAAAGAATTATTCAAAATTCAGTTCAAAGTATGTTTTATTTTTAAATAACCTACAAAGAATTAAGCTGTAAAAAACAAATCAGTCTGATTTTATTTAGTCCATACATATTTATAATAGAGAAATACTGGGCTCATCCACAGGATTTTATATCTTTGATAGAAAAAAATAAAAACATTTATTATTAGTATTTCTTTTGTATATTGTACTTTTAATCTAAAATGTTTTTCTAATAATAATTCAAGGAATAATTGACTGTTGATAATTCTCAAAAAAGATCATTGGATCTAACATGTATTGGAAGAAGAACAATATTCTTTTATGAAGCAAGTAAAATGTTACATTCAACATTTCTGGAAGGTCTCCAAGTGCAAATGGTACCTAAGAAAGGTCAAAGAGTACACTGGTATAAATATTGATATAAAGAAAAGATATGAAAATTTGTTTTGAAAATATCATCATATAATAATTATTTCTTTTCATTGTTTTAAGATGCTGAGATATCAAATAATTTGTTGTTTTCAGTAATTAATGCTGTTTTGCATCAGATCTCAATTTCTATTGTCTTTTCCTGTAAAGATATTTTCAAATTTTGTTTCTTATTACACTATGATTTATGCAAATAATGTCCAAGACTTGCTTATCTACCTGTCTCTTTCTATTTTGTTTTCAGGGAAACACCGGTGGAGACACGACCAATGTATGGTGTGTACAGTATGTGGAGAATGTACGGGTTATGGAGTCAACTGTATTAGCAGTGGACGGTTTGATCGCAGTCCTGGCTTGTAAGTCTCCCCTAATGTATACTCATAAATTCCATCTAAATATTAATCTGTGGAGAAAATTCAGTCCTCCATTTGTAACATGTCTCTTACTGTAAACTGAATATAAAATGTCATTGAACATTATGAATTGGAGCTATGTGATATTGAAATTCAAATATTTCTTATTTGCTTCTTGGTATCAAAAAAACTTTAACTGATACCATATTTATTACATGCACTCACATGCAAGCTTTCTCATACTCTCTTCTTACAGCTATATTATGTTGAAAAGTATGACCTCGTATGATCACTGAAGTTAAGCAATGTTGAGCCTAGTCAGTACCTAGATAAGAGACCTCTTGGGAATACCAGCTGCTGCTATCTTGGATGCGCAAGTAGTGTAAATAATAATTGTTTGGAATTGGATATCAGAAAGCTGAGTTCCAACTCCGGTTAAGTTACTTATATTCACTTACGCGCAAATACTCTTGGGAAGGGTATGAATTGACCTCTTCTCTCTCTCCAGCTATGGGTTAATTACTAGTTGTATCAGTAAATTATTATTATCCTTTAAAAATTCTTACAACATAACAATATTTTCTGGCTTTAAATAACCTGCAAAATGTTAATAAGACATGACAATAACTGTTGTAACCTAAGGAAGTTTACCAAATATAATAATCAAATGAAAGTTGCTAATGAGCAATAATACTTAGAACAAGAACAACACATATAAGATTTGCCAGTGGCACTGGTGCATAGAAGTAGTAGTCAACTGCTAGAAGTGAATCAAGTGAATTCCACAGTGAATCTCCAACTCTAGACCATGTACAGTATTCACTACTGTATTTATGGGAATGGGGGGCAGTCTGTAGGTATGCTACAACAATAACAATATTCATAGTCATAAAATGGCATCCATATTTAAATAATATTGTGATTGTGTTTGTTATATTTTCTGCATGAAATATCTAGGATTTCTGACTCACTTGCCTGAAACAAACATGATGCCTTGCAGCCATGTGAAAAATGTACATGTGGAAACTTTATAATACTATTTATTGCTTGATGGCTATGCATGAGTATTTATGAACCTGTTTGAAGTGGCACTCGGCTGGCTGCAACCAACTGTTAGGAAAAGATTCATTGATGTCAGTGATCTGTGATGGACTTTGTATTCTATAATTGAGTGTTTTTCCCAGTTTCAAGTATTTCCTTTTTTTTTCTTTTTTCTTTCTGTTGATCCCATTTTGAAATCGTTTCTGGTGTCTGTGGCACAGAACCAACTTGATTGCAAGAACATCTAAACAATCAACACTATTGATACATATAAGAAAGAATTCTGCTTGTTAAATCATTAAAATAAAAAGAAGCTAACATGGAATAAAAGCAACCTGATATTCCCTCTCTTTACAAATGGGATGTTCCTGTTTTCCCTCTCTTTACAAATGGGATGTTCCCGTTTTCCCTCTCTTTACAAATGGCATGTTCACTTGTTCCCTCTCTTGACAAATGGCATGTTCACTTGTTCCCTCTCTTGACAAATGGGATGTTCCCTTTTTCCCTCTCTTGACAAATGAGATGTTCCCTCTTTCCCTCTCTTGACAAATGAGATGTTCCCTCTTTCCCTCTCTTGACAAATGAGATGTTCCCCTTTTTTCCCTCTCTTGACAAATGAGATATTCCCCTTTTTTCCCTCTCTTGACAAATGAGATGTTTTTTCCCTCTCTTGACAAATGAGATGTTTCCCCTTTTTCCCTCTCTTGACAAATGAGATGTTTTTTTCCCTCTCTTGACAAATGAGATGTTCCCCTTTTTTCCCTTCTTGACAAATGAGATGTTCCCCTCTCTTGACAAATGAGATGTTCCCCTTTTTTCCCTCTCTTGACAAATGAGATGTTCCCCTTTTTTCCCTCTCTTGACAAATGAGATGTTCCCCTTTTTTCCCTCTCTTGACAAATGAGATGTTCCCCTTTTTTCCCTCTCTTGACAAATGAGATGTTCCCTTTTTTCCCTCTCTTGACAAATGAGATGTTCTCCTTTTTCCCTCTCTTGACAAATGAGATGTTCTCCTTTTTCCCTCTCTTGACAAATGAGATGTTCCCCTTTTTCCCTCTCTTGACAAATGAGATGTTCCCCTTTTTCCTCTCTTGACAAATGAGATGTTCCCCTTTTTTCCCTCTCTTGACAAATGAGATGTTCCCCTTTTTTCCCTCTCTTGACAAATGAGATGTTCCCCTTTTTTCCCTCTCTTGACAAATGGGATGTTCCCGTTTTCCCTCTCTTGACAAATGGGATGTTCCCGTTTTCCCTCTCTTGACAAATGGGATGTTCCCGTTTTCCCTCTCTTGACAAATGGGATGTTCCCGTTTTCCCTCTCTTGACAAATGGGATGTTCCCGTTTTCCCTCTCTTGACAAATGAGATGTTCACTTGTTCCCTCTCTTTACAAATGAGATGTTCACTTGTTCCCTCTCTTTACAAATGAGATGTTCACTTGTTCCCTCTCTTTACAAATGAGATGTTCACTTGTTCCCTCTCTTTACAAATGAGATGTTCACTTGTTCCCTCTCTTTACAAATGAGATGTTCACTTGTTCCCTCTTTACAAATCTTTTCCCCTCTCTTTAAAATGAGATGTTCACTTGTTCCCTCTCTTTACAAATGAGATGTTCACTTGTTCCCTCTCTTTACAAATGAGATGTTCACTTGTTCCTCTCTTTACAAATTCCCTCTCTTTACAAATGAGATGTTCACTTGTTCCCTCTCTTTACAAATGAGATGTTCACTTGTTCCCTCTCTTTACAAATGAGATGTTCACTTGTTCCCTCTCTTTACAAATGAGATGTTCCTTGTTCCTCTCTCTTTACAAATGAGATGTTCACTTGTTCCTCTCTTTACAAATGAGATGTTCACTTGTTCCCTCTCTTTACAAATGAGATGTTCACTTGTTCCCTCTCTTTTACAAATGAGATGTTCCTTGTTCCCTCTCTTTACAAATGAGATGTTCACTTGTTCCCTCTCTTTACAAATGAGATGTTCCTTGTTCCTCTCTTTACAAATGAGATGTTCACTTGTTCCCTCTCTTTACAAATGAGATTCCCCTCTCTTTACAAATGAGATGTTCACTTGTTCCCTCTTTTACAAATGAGATGTTCACTTGTTCCCTCTCTTTACAAATGAGATGTTCACTTGTTCCCTCTCTTTACAAATGAGATGTTCACTTGTTCCCTCTCTTTACAAATGAGATGTTCACTTGTTCCCTCTCTTTACAAATGAGATGTTCACTTGTTCCCTCTCTTTACAAATGAGATGTTCACTTGTTCCTCTCTTTACAAATGAGATGTTCACTTGTTCCCTCTCTTTACAAATGAGATGTTCACTTGTTCCCTCTCTTTACAAATGAGATGTTCACTTGTTCCCTCTCTTTACAAATGAGATGTTCACTTGTTCCCTCTCTTTACAAATGAGATGTTCACTTGTTCCCTCTCTTTACAAATGAGATGTTCACTTGTTATCATTGATTAATGTTTATGTTACTCTAATGTTGGAATATTTCATTAGTAAGATGGAAACATCAAATTATATGACCAATGAATGCATAAAGTTACATTGTCTTTCATATTATAGAATTGATATTTATTTTTTTTCTCTGCAGACCCTGTGGCTGTGGATCTGGTGACTCAGGATGTGCAGAGTGTGGGGTCTGCAAAAGCTGTGCCGGTGAAAGTGAACTTACTGACCAACTCAACGAACGAGGTCTGAAGGAGGTTTTCAACAAATCTGATCACTTCATTTCATTTGATCTCACCACTGGTAGGACATGTACAATGATTTAGACCCTGATTTGTGGTGGTGGGCTTAGGTGATGAAACTGTACTCACACCTCCTCTATAAAGAAGCATCCCAGAAATGTGTGCCCACCATTGGTGGCAAAATGTGGTTGCTTATTTTTGCCTTTCCAAAAAAAAAAAAAAAAATTTTTTTTTGCTCCGGGTTGTACCCTTCCTGTTTTGTTTTTGTGAAGCTGTCCAATTGAAGTGACACCAATTTTATACATATTCTGTAAAGCCCACATAAAAGTAGGAAATTCTAAGTTAAAAATTTACTTTCACTTTAATGCTATCAGCCCGTAAGAGATTTCCGCCGATAGGTCGGCCCGTAAGAGATTTCCGCCGATAGGTCGGCCCGTAAGAGATTTCCGCCGATAGGTCGGCCCGTAAGAGATTTCCGCCGATAGGTCGGCCCGTAAGAGATTTCCGCCATTAGGTCGACCCATAAGAGTCTTCAGTTTTTAGTTTCAGCTTTGACTATGGAAGTACATATGAGACATATTTTCCTCATATGCTTTTTTCTCATAATTATTTTTATTTTTTAATCAATTCACCCCAACTAGGTGATAACACCATTAAAAGATGCAAGGGGCTACTGGAAGTGAAAGTGAATGAAAAGACGTTAGAAGGAACTGGAAACCTATTAATGGTAAAAATTTCAGAGTTTATGCAGAGATATTAGAAGTAGAATTTAGAAGAAACCAGAAGCCCAGTTCTAAACAGCAAAGAAGGGATGCTGAGATGATTCTCCATTGTTAAAGCTTTGAAAATTAACACTTCAGATCTCCCGTACATTTATAAAAACAACTTTGTAATTTTGCTCACTGATATTTTTTAGCAACTTAATTGATAAGAATGTGATAAGATTTTTTTTCATTGGTTGGTTCTTTATTTTTATTATGGTCATACAATTAGTGTAAATTGCAGCATACAAGTTGAGTTTTTAAGCCTAAAAAATATATCCCAAAGTATGGTTTGATATTTTTTTTTTCTTTTTTTAAGTGTTTCACCCCAAGAAAGGTGGGAAGCCACTTGCATGCAAGGGATTACAGAGAGTTGGAGTGAGAGCAAATAGGAGTGATAGAGGAAGGACAAAGAGAAGCATAGGGGATAGATCAAGGCATCTGGAGACGTCGATTGGCATTACATTTGAATAGTTGGAGATTATAGCAATCAGGGAAACAGGAAAAGGGGAGGGAGTTCCACAGGCAAGAAGTGTGAGACATGAAGCTATTGGAGTAGAAGAGACGGCTACATTTAACAGTTTTGACAGTGAAAGGGTGAGAGCGAGATGCCAGCCTAGTAGAATGCTTAAATTCATGAAATTACATGATGGTGATTTAGAGGGGCTACTAATTGGATAAGTCTGGGAAGCAGCGAAAGCAGCTCATCAGAGCAGTTACCATTAAAGTATATGTAAAAAAAGACAGAGGGAGGCGATGGCATGTCTGTGCAGTTGCTCTCTCACAGACGTGCTGTCACCTCCCTCTGTCTTTTTTACAAATACTTTCATGGTAACTGCTCCGATGAACTGCTTTTGCTGCTTCCCAGACTTCATGAATTTAAGCGTTCTACTAGGCTGGCATCTCGCTCTCACTTATATGACAATTATTAAATGCAAATCACAGAGTTGTAAACAAGTGGGACAGCACTCTTAACAATTAACCTACGCCATTTATCGAATCTCCAGCAGACTGCCACAAATATATCCAACTAAAACTTGTGTTTGATGAACATATTTTTCACATTAATACAGAAATTAATATAAAATAATGAAATAGTAACACAAATTCAGTATTCTATTAATGCTACAACACACATCTTGTTCATGAAGACCCCAATGGTTTACCTGGTAACTACTGTTAACAACCTTGTAATAGGGGATTATTAAAAGGATGAAAGTCTAACCTGAGTGTCGATAGTGCAACAGGCCTACAGTTTGCAGCTTGCCGCATGACGTTGGTGGCATCACTGTTTGTTTATTTATGTCACGGATGCAAATGGCAGATGAGTGATACTGTATTTTACAATAACATACGATATGTAGCAGTCCTATCAAAAAGCTACCCAGTATGAGGTGTTGTCTATGGTATTAATATTTTATAGGAGTTGATGTTGATTTTAATGTGCTAATCAGTAGACCTGACAAATTTTAAATGTTCACTAACTTCTACCAATACAATATACAGTACCTACCGGTGTGTGTTGTTGCGTTGTTTGCTATACAATGCATATTGAAAGTTATTACGGTTAGTGTCTCAATATACAGGTAAATGATTTAACCACATGTGGTTTTAGCACAGGTTATCATATACTGTAACTTAACTTCATTTACTGGTAGACCTAAGTTTTGAACCACTGGTAGCCTACTATATGTTGGGGATTGACCTATACGATAGGTACAGGCCTAACTCCGAATTTCAAGCTAAAAATCTTGAGATCAACTTGTATGCCACAATTTACAGTAATGAAAAACAACTCATTGACTAGTATATAACCTTCATAAAATAGGATTTGTTAACTCACTATCAGTATCTTGTAAAACTGCACCATTGAATTTTGTCATTTTATAACTAAATGGCATTATCATTATGTATGGGCATATGGATGAATAGTTAGAATGAGACCAGGTTCAAATCTCACCATGATCAATTTGTCAGGTGATGATCCAGCCATATAGTAGTTAGTACTGTAATAAGCTTTTAATTCCAGTTCATGCTGCTTTCGAAGGATGATCTGGCATTTGCAAATAAAAATAAAACAAATAAAAAGTAACTCAAAAAAATATTAGTCATAAAATTGTCATAAGTGGCAGTACGTCATGTAAGAAATTTGAATAATGTTACTATTAGTATTGCTAAGCTATGTAGATGAAAGAAATAGCAGCTTATCATAGGTTTAGAGAAAATAAAGAATAAAGTCTATATATCTGAATTTGAATTACTGCAGCTGGTACACTAATTGCTACAGCAGTTGTCTCAGAATAGACAATGTGAGATTTACTTTTTATTTCTATATTTGTGTTGCTACCTACATTTAGGAAGTTGTGATAAAAATAGAACTGAAATTAAAATTAAAGGAATATAGTAAAAAAATTAATAATTGTCATCATCTATGAAATTAAAATAGCTTAATACTATTATTTTTTATTATGTATAAAGGCAAGAGAAATAAAATGAAAAAATGGCAGTTATAAATGAATCCTAATTGGTAAATTTCATTTAAGAAATACTAATAAAATCATAAATTTTGTCATTTTTAACCCATTAATTCTCACAATAAAATTTGTTATTGATTATTAAAAGTAAAATAAAAATCCAGTGTTAACTATGTTTCTAAAATAACTAAAAAAAGTATTAATTACGTATTTAAAATAAAAATGCGGTATAAAAAAAAAATCTAGTATTATATGATTACGAAACAATCCTGTATTAATTATACATTTATAAAACAATAATTTATAAAATGACCCGGTATTAATTACTCATTTATGAAAATATGTGATATTAATGATACATTTATGAAACAATCTGGTATGAATTATGTTCTTTCTTTTTAAAAACCAAAAACGGTATTATGTTTACATAAAAATGTATAGTTTTCTAAAAGTGCAATATTAAAATCTCTGACCCATTAATATCCCATGTCTCATTTTTTCGATTGTGGACATTAATACATTAATAATGAAATTAAAACTTCTGCCTTCTGCATAGTATCTATTACTTTTGTAAGAGGATGACGTAATTATGATTGTAAAAGTGAAAGAAGATAATTCTTGTTAAAAAAAAAAAAAAGTGTCTAAATCATTGTTCACTTCACTTTTCATGCTTTGTTGTTTTTGCTTAATTCATAATAAATCCATTTTGTTTTTAAGAAACAAAAAAAAAAAGATTCATTTTTGATTCTTTAAATATTTTTCATGTCATTCAACTGCTTTAATGCTTTTGTTTTTTTTTATAATTTCATATTAGCAACCCTACGTTTATTTGTTAATTGGCTTTGTTTTTCTCATATCAGTCTTTTAAGGTGGTATCTATCACACTGACAATTGATAAGTATTTATTAAGTTTGGCATAAACTGGCTGTCTTCCAAAAGTAAAGTTTAAGAAACAGGAAAATTTCATTAGAAACAAAGAAAATAAGTATGAAACTGCTATATAATATCAGTCATTCTATATGGCAGTGAATGCTGGACAATTTCCTCACAGATGAAGAGGAAACTTGCGGCAAAAAGGATGTGGTCCTACAGAAGGATACTGAGAACATCATAGTTTGAATATGTAAGTGATGAGAAAGTTTTAAGAAAAATAGGAACCAAAGAAAAAACACTTATATTTAGTATCAGAAATAGATGAAATTTCTGTGATACTTAGGCTTGGAGAATTTGACACTCACAGGACATATTGAAGGCAAAAGGTGTAGAAAGAATTAGTAACCGATCTAAAAAGCTTATTTAAATGGATTAAAGGACAGGGATTAGAAAGGATAGTAAAGAGATAAAGATTAGAGCTACAAAAGATAAAAAGTTGTGGAGAGCCATGATCATCTACATACTGAAAGGACATGGCACATGAAAAAAAAAAAAAAAAAAAATATATATATATTAGTGCTCTTAGTCTAACATTTAACACCTGGTATCTTTATATCTATGTACAAAAGTGATAGTGTACATGTAGTATTAATGGTTATTGACTACAAAAGTGGGATTTGTATACCAAGTTCAACAGTAGCAACTAAAATGGAGAGATCATCTAACTTTAAGACAAAATAATGATGTAAGAAGTTGATATTCCACTTTACTTCAAATAAAAAGTTAAGAAGGAAACCCCCATGACTACTGAAAAGAGCATTAAAAGCTATTGGACATAAGAAACCAATTTTCTAGAAAAATTAAGAAAATGATTTTGCAAAATTTCAACTGAAAGCAGCACTAGCTGTTTAGTCAATGAATGCTGAATGTATCCTTATAAGGAAACATTAGTCAATGAATGCTGAATGTATCCTTATAAGGAAATAGCAAATATTACATTCATTACTATATTGACATTTTAGTGAATCATCATTTTATTTTTAACCTACATGTGTCTGTAAAAAAAACATTGCTGCAGTGTTTGATAATTTTAATGTCCAAATATTTATGTATTTTACAGTATTTCAACAACATATATATATATATATATATATATATATATATATATATATATATAATACATACACACACACACACACACACACTGCACTTCTGTGCTAAAACCCTTGGGAAAGGTATTAATCCTCTTCTCTCTCCAGCTATGGGTAAATGTAAATAGCAGAACAGACTGGGTTCTGTAGCCTTGGATGCCAACTGGTCTAGAAGGACAACTCTGAATTCAAAACCTGAGGAGGGTCATTTGGGGACCTTGTGACATGTAGTGCTGAGCTGCTTGACCCTTATACATTGAATACGAGGATGAAGCACATCAGTTAATAGTTTTTCCTCGTCTTTTTATTCATTTTCTTTCTTCATGGATACACTCTATCTGATAATATATATATATATATATATATATATATATATATATATATAAAAAAAAAACTTATCTTAGCTGACATATTTTGTCCTCTGAGGAACTTTATCAAGGCAAGTGCAAGAATTTTATTTTGTAACAAGTATTTATGCAAAATAAAATCCTTGCCTTGATAAAGTCCCTATAATTCATATTGTTCTTTTACAGATATACTCTATCTGAAATATTTACATAGACACAATTTTTTTTTTCATGAAATCTTTTCATACTACTAGCAATAAACGTAAGTTTTGGAACAAATTTATGAACAACATAATTGCTTTTAACATTTTTGCTGCTGTAGACATATGTATTCATTTTTATGAAACTTACATTGCCTGCTTTTGATCATTGTGTGTGTGTGTGTGTGTGTGTGTGTTTCAAGACATGATGAAATGCAATCCCTAGTGTTTGTGTTACAAACTAACTAGCACTTAGTGCTATTTCCATACCAGCATAGACATATGGTAGCATACAATACAATCTGTTTTGTGACCTATTTTAATTATATTGTGCGTCATAAGTGCTGTTTAGCTTAGTCTTCACTACAGAGTATCCTATTGAAACCAAAATGGCAGTGCACATGAGAAGTTTCAATTAGTGTTTTTATTGTTTTTTACTTGCAGTAAATACCAGTTCCTATTTTTTCTTAAAAATGTGCCAGTACAGCCAGGAAGCAATACTATAAAAACACAGTACAAGTGTTTAATAAATTTTACTTGTATTATTTCCGTACCAAATAAGAAATTCAAATTTTTGGATCCTTAAAACTAAGTCATATACCACCTTAAAAAACTCCAGAAGCAAAAACTTAGTAATCAGTTTGAATATATTATAATTATTTTCCATTTGCTGTTTGAGGTTTTGATGATGGGTGCTGATAATTTGCAAGTTATGATTTCTGCTTAATAGGGGGAAAAACTGGCTTGAAAACAAATTTGGATTTGGACAAAAAGAAAGGTGATTTCTAATATTTTTATCAATGTTGAACTGTATTTTTTGTTTATTTTTTTAATTACGAATGTTGGGTTGGATTGAGCATGAGTCCTCTCAGTCTCTCTACTGACTTGAAATGTCTGTCCTTTTTTTTTTTTTATATATATTTCATTTAAGGTTGCAGCTTTTTCATCAAATATGTAGCTTGTTTTATTAGAGGAGAAATTAGGGAAATGGTAAACTGAATTATCTTTATGAATATTGTTCTGGTTTAATATCGACAAGACATTCAAAGTTTACAGTTTATTTTGATAAATATCTACATGTTTACTTCTTACATTGTTAAATTCTGTATCAAAAAATTAGGTTATGATCCACATTATTTAACTTCTCAGAGAAAAATACTATTTGGCACTAAATGCTTTATAAAGATGTTGAAATCATATTTAAAATATTTCATACTAGACTCATGCTTAAGATTGAATTGCCAAAAGGGGGAAGTATAATTGCTTTAGAATGGTTGTGTTGCTTTAAAACCATCTTTGATTGCTCTTCCCTATTTGGATATTGAACACTGTTGATTAGTTTTTATACTTCTATGACATAAAAATATTTCCTTTCTCTTATGCCAATAAAATATTTGCTTTTATTTCATTAAATGTAATAAATTATTTCATATGATATTTCAGTCATTTTCTGTGTGCGAATGCAAACACATTTTTTCCTCCTTATATGCAGAGTATTATATATATATATATATATATATATATATATATATATATATATATATATATATATATATGTTAGGGCCAGAAATAAAGGCACAAAGAGAGGAATTGATTTAAACAAATATATTAACAGAAACAGTAATACAAACATACAAATGACAGTGTTACAGCAAGAATGTTCAGTCCAACTGTCAGAGCTGACTGCTGGAAACTTCCCTCCCCAAAAGGCAGTACCTGCTTGTATTTATAGCTGGGAGAGTCCATGCGTGTGTGGGTAAATTACCATAACAAAATATATATATATATATATATATATATATATATATATATATATATATATATATATATATATATATACACAAATAAAAATTGGTAATTGGTAGGGATAATTCCAAGGAGGACATTAATCAAAAAGAGAGCTCAATGTAAGAACAGACCAATATAATAGTGAGTGCAGATGATCCTAAAAAATTAATTCAGTTATAATTTATTTTATGAATAGACAAAAATATATTCATCTCTTCAGACTGCCATTTTTTTTAATAAATTGAGTCAATTTATTTCTTTTTTTCATCTCCCTTTTCCTTTTGTCTGGAGAAATTGACTCCATTTATTAAAACAAACAAACATTGGTCTGAAGATATGAATATATTTTTGTATATTCATAAAATAAAGTATAACCAAATAGATTTTTAAGTATTATCTGTACTCAGTATCTGTCTATATTTCTGAGATGAGGTATTATGTACACTATTTACATTATTCGGACTATTGTCCTCATTTTTGTTGCCATATTTATCACAACATTTCGGCTGTTGTATGCTCTGGCCTTCTTCAGGTTGTTGGAATGTTGAACTGAACCCTTTATTTCACTCGCTGGGGTAGACTGTTCTTTTTCCACATGCTATGTTTAATGGATGTCGGTTATCAGTTATCTCCTGTTAATTCCCCTTTCCAAGTTCTCCACCGCCTTCTCCAGGTATTCTTGTGGACACATGGCACAGTGGATAAAGGTGTTAATTAGATCCACTGACAGGACCCAAAGAGTGTAAGTTCAATACCTGGAAAAGGTAGTCTTTTATATATAGCAAACAAGAGACGTAACTCAATTGCATTTTGAGTTATCGTTCTTTATAGTGAGAAGTAACTTAGCACCCACTAACATGACCTTTCTGCATTGTTGTTGGTCAGAAAGCAGCATGCTACATTTTTACTACTCCAGCGCCAGTTATCAAAAAGAGAGTTTCGAAATTGTCCGCCAAAGTGGAAACAAGGCAGGACTGTCACTGGTTCATCTATTGATCAATCAGGGAACTTGTTACATGCTGGTTACGATAATACTGTGAATGAAACTTCTGGATTGGCCATTTCTTTTATTTTCTTAAAGGGAACCATTACAGTTTTAATCTGACAATATTTCTTACAAACAAGATATATTCTTTCTGAATATACCATTTCCGATGCTACCAGAAAAGAGACCTATTAGGTTCTTTACATCCAGCTGAACTTTACACTGATTAGTAAATAATTTCCAAAGGTATAAATTAGAAAAAGAATTATCCAATTTAATGAATGCTTTTCTAAGCTCTAAAAATTCCCTGGCAGAAACAGTATGACTAATTGATAATAAATAAAAAGATCTATGTCAAAGAATGAATGTCTTGTATTCTCTAAATAAGTGTTCAACTTGTAGTATACTTTAAAGTCTGTATTTATTTTATATTGGCCCATCTTATTGGGTTATATCTTCTGCTGACAATATTCAAATTAATTACTTATCAGTATTGATACCACAGAAATAAAATGAACTTTAGTTCTTAGTTTATCTTTTGGAAAAAATCACAAAATAGCCATTTTTGATATTATGACACCATATGAACATTGGGTTTTACATGATGTTTGACTTTGCATGTAGGGTTGCTAATATAGGTTCATATATTGATTGTTTCCTCTTGCTGCTGCTTACACCTATTTTCATATGACCCCTTCTCTTGAAGAGGAATTGAACATGTCTAAAAATTTCTTCAGTTGTATTCATGCATTGTTGTTTACTTATTGTACTATTTTGTCACTTGATGGTATTTTGCACTAATATTGGGTCATTGTTTGGTTGATTAATATTCCCTCAGTCTCTGTTTCATTACCCCCCCCCCAAAAAAAAAAAAAAAGAACAGTATATTTTGTTCTTAACAAAGGATATTAAGGACATCCTTTGAGACTTCTCAAAACTATGAACAAGATTTGGAATTTACTTTTTAAAGCCTAAAGACCAAAATTTAAATCAAAATTTTCAAAGTCTACCACTGAGAGCCACTCAAAGCAGAGGCTTACTATTAAAATGTTTGATATACATGTGAATAGGAAAAGAGGTGATGGGAAGTGAAAGATTATAAGATTACCTCTAACCTGGTGAATGAGAGGTGTGGGTGTTTCCTAAGGAGCCAGGCAAACCTACCTAGGTTTCACCTAAACGGATATTTTTTTTTTTTTTTCACTTGGTCATGGTTATTTTTGGTTTTAGCTATAAATACTGTTCCATAATTTTTTCCTTTTCAGCCAGGATTACCCTGAAGAGCTGTTTAGGTGAAACCTAGGTAGGTTTGCCTGGGTCTTTAGGATTATCTTAGGCTTTCTCTACTTAGTGTATTGAGCACTTTATGCAGTTGTCTTTTTATTCGTTTTGGGTTTTTTTTTTCCTTAGGACTTGAAGCTTAAGCATTGGACGATTGTTTTTGTCTTGGTTTAATGTTCTTGGTTCTTTCCTTTTTCATTTCCCATTTTTCTTTGGGTGCCGATTTGTTCTACTGCAAGTTGAGCTATTCGAGGTTTTCCAAACGAGTACCACCATTTAATATATATGTGTGTGTGTGTGTGTGCTTTTTTAATCAATTCACTCCAAGTAAGGCGGTGATAATGCCACTAAGACACAAGGGGCTGCTGGGAATGAAAGAGAATGAAAAGACTTTAAAAGGGACCAGAAACCCAGTCCTTAACAAGGAACGAGATAAATCTCTACTTCTGTTCAAAAAAATGGTGAGGAGGGTGTACAGTATGATAGTCGAACCTATCTATGAGGCGATATTGAAAAGTTACCAAACTGTATGCATGATGATTGTACTGTTCAGCAAAAACATCTTTGCAGCTAATGCCTATTGGTAGCTATTGAAGTGATATCAATGCAGTTAATGACAAATTAATGTTGATGTGGAAACTAAAATCCCAAATTTGATTCATAAAACCTCCCTAAATTCTTTATTTTAATCTGCTTAGTGAGGCTGAATAATTTTGCTATATTTATTTTGTGAATTGTAAATACATGCTTTCTGTCTGAATTTCTGGGATGAGGAGTTATCATTACATTTTTTACATGCACACTTGTTGTTGTTATCAGGCCTTAATCAGGTGCTTCTTAATCCAGGTAATCTTCAAGCAATTTTGAACTGAGCACTTTATTTATTCTAGAGGATATGCTGTTCTTGTTCTACTGTATATGCCTAAGGATATCTTGTCTTGTTCTTATTTAGTAACACTCACTTATTGATGCCGTTTCCTTTGAGTTCAGGGATTGGACTCACAATTACTATGTCACCAAATTTATGAACTAACACTTTAATTAACTAATCTATTGTCCTGTGGGCTAATTCTGAGAGGAGAACTTAAACCTAACCTGTCTGCACTCTTCAGCAGGTACAACATTTGAAATGTTGCAATAAATACAACAAAGACGGGGACAATAGTTTGCATGTAAATAATGAATGCTTGTTGATTGCCATTATAAGGCAACAATAGTTTCCAATGATTGTTCAGTATTTGGAAATGTTTTTTATAAAAACAAAAGTTCTTTTGTCACCAAAAGTAAATTCCAAATCCATTGAGAATCTCTTCGATAGCAATGAAGAGATAATCCATCCAAAGATACAAATAATGACGCAATATTCTCATTGTTTGAAGTAATCAATTAACAAATTTTGTTAATCCATAATTGGATTAAGTGAAATTTCTTTTTCAGTGTCAAGCTTTTCAAATGTTCCTTCTCGTCACAGTTTTTTTCTTATATGCTAGATACATGTGTATTACTTTGTAATTGTTTATTGGTGTTCTTTGGTTGGAAGACACAAAAAATAATTTCCTAAAAGAATTTTGACTAATTTTATGAATAAAAGTTTTAATGCAAGACAAAATGATGATAATTTCATTGCAGCAGCAGATAAGTCCCCAAAGAGATAGCTCTTCTGGTACTCTTTTAATATTTGCAGTAAAGTGTGAAATTAATAAATGGAGTGTTCTTAATAAAGGGGTTGATTGGAAAATCATTTGAAGCATTAAAAAGTATGAAATTAATAAAGAGGGTGGTCTTAACAAATGGGTTGATTAGGAAAAGATTTGAAAGATCCAAAAGTGTGAAATTAATTAATGGGGTGATTGGAAAATCATTTAATTTTTTAAAAAGTGTGAAATCAATATATATCTTAATAAGTATGACAGGGTAGTCCATAACATTTCCTCGAAAATTACCTTCCTACCACTAACTGCCATCTATTAAGTACTCAAGAGTGTGTTGCCAAGAGTTGTAAGAATGATATAAGATAAAAAAGAAAAAAAAAAAGAAGCTTAATTATAAAATATTTTGCAAATGGACAAATAATATTTTTATTCAAAGCAAAGTGTTTTTATTGCTGTCTCTGGAAGCCTGTTCCAATAATTGTCACTGTCTTAATTATTGTTATTCATTTTTAAACATATTTCTTTGTTGTCTAACTTCACTTTTGTTTTTAAATATTTTAGTTGGACGTCCTGGGGTAAAACCTCTTGAGCAGATTGGCAAAAGAATGGAGCAAAAGATTGAAAAAGTTCAAAAGGCAAAAAATAAAAGTCTTAAACAAAATAAATTTCGAGGTAATTATTACTGCTTGTTCACTTATATACACTCTCCTTGAGGCACCACGTTCTTTTATCTTAATTTCATTACATTTGTACAGGGTTTAAACAATATAGACATTTATTGATTGATTGGTTTGTTTGTTATGGCTTATCAACCTTTTAAAGTTTATTTAAAGCCAGAAAATATTTTTAGATTGTAAGAATTTTTTGGAGATAATAATGATTTGGCTGATACAAGTCCTACTATTTAACCCATAGCTGGAGGAAGATATTTACAATTAAGTATGAGTGGATCAATTGGTAAGGATCAAAACACATGACATTAGCAAGACTAGCTTATCAAACTTCATTCTATGTTAAAAACTTATTGGAAAGAATATTCTTAACCATTTCTGCAAGTTTATTACCATTAAATGTGTGAGTAGTGCACATGGAAAGTGAAATTGGCATACTGAGTTCAAATTCAGGCCTACTATGTTGTGTTCACTTTCTCACTAATGCCCTTGGAAAGGCATGAATCTTTCTCCTCCATATCCCCAACTATGGGTTAAATAACAGGGCAAACTAGGCTCCTTAGCATTAAGTAGCAGCCAGTTTAAGAGATGGAGAACTATAATTATATATGATAATGCTCATCAAACAAGCTGACAGTGGAAGAATGGCTGTTTAAATGACTACACAAAACACTTGGGGTGACATTCTTCTGTCTTTGACCAGTCTTGACTAAAATAGTTTTTGATTTGGGATGAGTGTGGGTTGGGAGATTTGATTTATAACTTTTTTTAATCAAGCTGGCAGGAGGGAGCAGTTCAAGCACCATAAAAGAGGAAACCATTTTGTTGGTTGGCCATTCCACCCAAGAAAGGAACTCTATATAAAACACTTTGATTTTTCCATTTCACAAATCTAGTAACAGTTGTCCTGCCTTGTGGTTGAATGAAATGCATAAATAAACCAGAATGATTCATTTGTTTGTTTTTTTTGTCATCCCTTATTTAAAGACATTGAGGAGACTTTACAATTACATTTTCTGCGTCAAACTACAGCGATCACTTGAGGAGCATCATCTGCAGCCTGCTTTGTGCCTTGGACAGTTGCTTGTCCAAGGCACAATGCTACAAATTTTGAATTCCAAACTTTTTTTAATCATTTCAACCTAAGCAAGGCAATAAAGCCACTAAGATACAAGGAGTTACGAAGTGTGAAAAATAAAATGATTATTGTTAAAAAGAACAATAAAAGAACAATTTAAAAAGACAAAAATAACGATTGATATTGCATTTAAATTTTTGAAGATCAAAGTTGACTGGAAATTAAGAAACTGGAAGTAGAGATTTCCACAGGTGAGAAGTGTGAGAGAAGAAGCTGTTAGCATAGAACTTAGTTACATCTAGCTATTTCAAGTGTAAAATGACGAGACCTAGCTACCAATCTAGTACTGCGCTTAAATTTGTAAAGTGTAGCTACCAAAGTGGAATGCTCATCAGAACAATTACTATGAAAATATTTATAGAAAAGGCACAGTGGAATCAGGGTACGGTAGTGGGAAAGTGGCTTAAGTCGACATGCCAGGTCAGGACTAATAACATTGCAGATTCTTTTTTGTATTTTATCAAGCATCTCTAAATATGTAACAGAAGAACCAGACCAAAAGTGACGGCAATATTCACTGCACAGATGAATGTTGGATTTATAAAAGTGCAAATTAGATTCTGGTGATAAAAATTGTTTATCAAGACACAGAGGACTAACTTTCCTAGCAGCAGACCTTGGAAAATCAGTCAATATAATCTTTATAATCTTTTCACTTCATGCTAGCAGGAAACTTAATCAAAGAAGGTGCAATGAGTCACTTTGCTTGAGGTTAGCATCAGCCATATTGATAAAAGGCACGAAAGATTTTTTAAGAGGATTAAAAGAGAGCAGTTTCATTATGGAGGTGTTTAAATTAACAATTAAAATTAAAACTCTGGATAAGGCAATATATAACTGCTATATTATCTTTCCGGTGACAGTTCAGATAATATGGAAAAAATCTGTGGAGAGCTATGATTGCTTACATTCTGGAATTAAAAATTAAAAAAAAAACTGTTATTTACACTATCTGCATGCAGACTATTTTCCTCCTCTTATGTTGTTGTTATGTTTTGGTGATTGTGCCCTCTACCTTTCATCAGGTGTATGTCAATCCTGGTAACCTACAGGGAATTCCAAACTGAACCCTTTAATCTACAAGGTTAGACTGTTCTCATTCCACTGTTCATCTCTAGGGATATCTTGTCTAGTTCTTATTTTTAGCTACATCTGGTATTAAGGCTTTTTTTCAGGAGGATTTGATGATGGTAGAGTCACCACTTAATTGCTGTTGTTCCCTGGTCCACTATAATCTGGAGTGGTACTACCTGTTAGGGCCCCAGATATATACAAATAGTTAACCCCCCCCCAAATTGGCATCAAAATGCTATGAAAATATAAAAATACCAGCAATAGATTTTCATAGTAAAAAAAATTACCAGCAATACACTTAAAAAAAACAAAACAAAAACATTACCAGCAATACATTTAAAAAGAAAAAACGAAAACATTACCAGCAATACATTGAAAAAGAAAAAACAAAAAAAAAAACTGTTACCAGCAATACCTAAAAAAAAAAAACTACCATTTAATACTTTTTTCCAGGAATAGATTCTTGTTAATAAAAATTACCAACAATACATTTTTGTAAAAGAAATTACTAATGCCCCCAAGAAAATTAAATTTTGGCATTAAATGACTCATAAGGAATTGATATGCCACTGTAAAAACAAACTGAAACTCTTATTTTTAGTACTGCTCAGTTATTGTTTGCCCCCATTTTTACAGAGTCCAAGTACACACTGCCTGACCCCAGGATTGAACTCATAATTATTGTTACCAAATTCATGAACGAACCCTATAACCCACCAGGCTGTTTGCTGTGGGACAATTCTCAATGCATGTAAATAGTGTAAATAACTCCTTATCCCAGAAATTCAGATAGAAAAATAAATACATTTTTTTTTTTTTTTTTTTTTTTTAATTATGATTGTCTGAAAAGAAAAAAAATTGCATAATTAAAGATTTGAGCAGGTTTTTATTGTAAGATTATTTCATTTTCTAAAATATCACTTCCTTATTTGTTAAGTTGTATAAAGTATTTAGTTTCTTGATTCTGTCTTTTTCTTTGTAAGTCATGTTTTTAACTGTTTGATAAAGATTAACAATTGAAATGTTATAATCTGTTGGATTAACCATCCAAGCTTTTCTCCTTATAAAACATTTTCTTCCTATTTCTATACACTTACAAGAAACCTTAACTGTGAAACTCAGCTGACTTGTAAATATAATAACATTAGATCTACATAGTGTTAGGGTTTTTATTTTTATCATTGATACTTATAAATCTATATTAAAAACAAAAAGAAAAAAACAATAAAAACTTCCTAACTCATTGCAGGTGAGGTTGATGAACAAGAGACAGATTATGCTAAAATGGTCAGCCTCCCCCCAGCAGAAATAGTTGTTGGTGATGGAGACATTCCAGTTACTCAGGTGTCCTGTGGACAGCATCATACAGGTATGTTAAAGACACTTGGAATTTGTTAGAAATAACAAAAAAACAAAAAAAACAATGGCTCACATTTTATTTCCTGTTTGCATTTATCCTTGGCTCAAGTAATAACAAAAAATAAGTTCTGCTTATGTGTATCCATAAAACTTTTAAAATGTCAGTTAGTATTGAAGGTTAGAATAACAAGCAAATCATGAGTTTTTTAAGCACACACTTAAAATTTTATTGTTGCACTAAATGCAGGTGTATTAATAAGGTGTAATAGGCAAACAAAGATCAAGATGAAAGAGAAATTACATAGGGTGTCCATAAAGTCTGTTTATAATTTCAAAAATTTATTTTAATATTGGATATACAGGTGTCCATAAAGTCTCTTTACAATTCAAAAAAAATATAAAAACAAATGAACAGACAAATATGTGGAAATTGTTACAAAATGAGGTGTAGACACTGAATTTTTTTTAACTAATTTAATACACCTATATATATATATATATATATATATATATATATATAATAAAGAAACATTTTTCCCAATTTGTTAGATTTTCTTAAAATATATATTCATAATATACATTTTTTCCTTCCCTGGTAGCACAACTCTGAGTTTCATGTACAAATCAATTGTCAAGTGCTGATTGAAAACTGAACTCAGTTCAGTTTTTTTCTACTTGCACACACACACACACACACACACACACACACACACACACACACACACATGCATATACAAGTAATATTCTGTTGGTATATAATCCAAGAGAATCCTAATAATATAAAATATTATAACTGATCCACAAAGAGAGCTCAGTGTATTTATATTAACAGAGCATATAAATTATATACAATAAGAATTTAAAATTATCTCATAGTTATGATTATTTTATTTGAGATTATCTGCAAGGTTTTTCAAACAAAGCAGAAGGAAAGAAAGACTGAAAAAAGGAAAGAGTAAAAGAATAGTGACCAGACAAAAAGGAAGACAGTAAGAAGGAGGTAAAGAAAGGGTTTTAACTTCTAGACAGATGGATGGTAGCAGGAGGCAGATACATGTAGACGTGACGATCAATTATATTAGAATATTCACCTCGGTTTCTATCAGGAAAATCGACATTGGAATTTTTTATCTTTATATTAACAAAATCACTACTACTTCAGTATTAAAAGATATTATATTAAAGTTATCGAAGGCTAATTTGAAAATGGACGTTCAAATAGAAATACATTTTGGTCAACATAATCGACCAACAAAGAGTGCATTTGGAAATGATGTAACGTTATTGTGGAGAGATTCAATTCCTGCATGCGATGATAAATAGGTGTCTGGATGTTTGGCCACATTCTTGTGCACTGCAGCAATGTTTTCAGCTGAATGATCATGCAATTGTGCTTCACATCTGCTACTGACCCAGACAAATAATTTTTCCAATTGTGCTCTTGAAACTTTAACACGTGTGTGTGTGTGTGTGTGTGTGTTTAATAATCCATTGGTATATAATCCAAGTGATTCCTAATAATATAAAATATAAAAACTGATTCACAAAGAGAGCTCAGTGTATTTATATTAACAGAGCATATAAATTATATACAATAAGAATTTAAAATTACCTCATAGTTCTGATTATTTCACCTTACAAATTAAGATTTACTCGCAAGGATTTTCAAACCGATCACGGTGATAAAATAAAATGAAAACAAATTCATTATTATTTTAATATTAAGAGATATAATTATATAGTTATATTAAAAAGAAAAATGTATAAAAATTATTTCAAAATTATTTACATATTAAAAAACATATATTGTTTTAATTTTTTACTTTTTAGGAAATGTATTATTTAATATTCCTCATTTTTTATTAAAAAGAACATATATTAACATAACTATTACCATCTATAAGGAAATAAAAATAAATATCAGACAATTTTTTATTTTATATTAAAAAAATAATTGAGGAATAGTAAATGAAAAGAAACATCTACACTTAAAATTACAAAGATAGTATTTATATAATGATGGAAAAAAATATTACAGTCAAGTTATTAAATAAAAGAAATATATAAAATATAATTTAATAAGTACAAACCGATAATTAAATAAAAGAAACAATATAAAGAAAAAATATAAAAAAAAAGACATAATTAAATATAAATAATATATATAATTATTATGTTATGAATTATTGTATCATTATTAAATAACATTAAATAATATCATTATTTAATATCATTAAATAATACTATAAAAAATATAAATACCTCATTAAATAACATTATATTATTAAATGATATATCATTATATTATACAATATATTGCATATCAATACAGTATATATATTAATATATCAACATAAATACACCACATATCATTATATTAAATAATAATATTATTATATTAAACATAATAAATAATACTATTATATTAAATAAAATTACTATATAAAAAAAAATATATATTTGTCAGGCATACTGCTGCTGTATGTGATAGGCAGCAATAAACTACAGAACTCAAAAATTAATTGCTGCATTTAAGTACTGCATTAATGTTTAAACTTACCTTTTAAAAGTTCAATGATAATTCTTCTGTCAGCACTTAATTTAAACACAATTTGATGTATGTAGGTCCTTACTCTCTGTACAAACAATTATTTTTATTTCATGGGTGACTTTTGCTGGATTTCACAATTAATTTCAATTATTCCCAAATTTATTTCCAAGTTATAAAAATTATCATACAAAAAAATTTGTCACAAAAAATTATGTAAAAAAAAATCGCTGAAAACAATTGCAGTAATGAAAACTTGGGAATCCAAAATTTCAGTCGGCCTGATTCCAAAATGGCATGTTGAGCTACAGCCCTAGGAGTAAAGTTTAAATGGTGTGATACACTGGCATTTGCATATATATATATATATATATATATATATATATATATATATATATATAAATATATATATAAAAATGTGTGTGTTTTGCATTATTGAATGTAATCAACAATGGAATATAGTTATGTTTTTAATCAACTCTGTTTCTGACCAAATGTTTTACATTTGATGAAAATCTGTGAATAAGCAACAAATTGTGAGGAAGGAAGGTTTTAGTACTTTTAGACTGTTCCATCTGTCATCATCACAGATGAGGGTTAGAAAGATGGGAGTTACAGATTTTTTGTTTCAGTCTGTTGAAAAATATTCTATTAATTGGTTAAGATTGGAAATTATACCCTGTTGTTAATGTGATGTGATGTTTGCAATTAAGCAATTAAGATTATAAACACTTGGGTGCCATTCTTGAAGCAAATTTTGTTTATGGATGGCACTTTTCTTTCAATGTTGATAGCTTCCATCATTTGTAATATTTTCTTATTTGAGTGATGCAAAATTGTATTGTCTTAGAGCTGATGTAAATTATCAGGGAAATTATGGAGATGTTTGATGCAATGATAAAATGTACTCTTGGGAAAAGATGGCAAGTAAGTTGGCAAGAAAGATGTGATGGTAAGATCAATGTATATTGGTGTTTTTGATTATGATAAGAGGTATAGTTCCCTAATAGACACTTAAATTAGTATATGACAATGGACTTTTGTATAGTTGATTATGTTGAGAAGTGATGTAGATAGTGAATCTCATGTGGTTGTTAATATCAGTAGGTCTTTTGGATTAAATTTTTAAATGCTTTCTCATCTTTCATGTAGTTGGAGTGCATCTGATTACAATAGTACAAGTTGATATTGTTTTGTTGAGGTTAAGATTAGTATTTTTTTTTTGTGCTGCAATAATAAAATTCCTGCAATAGTTAATTTCTTGTAAGAATAATTTGATTTCTTCATTAACAATATGATTAGAAAACCAACTATTACAAAATTTTACTATCAACTACCAGGTAGATACTATTTAATTTTACTTGTTGCTGTTAATGCTCTAGCTATTGATAGTGAACAATTTAATTAAAACTGCTTGTCTTCAAAGAATTATCTTGCAGAAATAACATCGTTGACTCTTTTGAAGCACAACTGTGCTGTAGTTGTTGTCAAGATCATTGATTTACAAGGTACATTCCAGAGGTTTTGAAACTTTTTCAGAAGAGACATTAATTTTAAAGAAGTACAAAACTCTTTTAAAGTAGGATCCTCTGATTTCAATGTACTTGTAGCGCTCCAGCCACTACATGAAGGCCCCTTAGAAATCACCTAAAGTGAAGGTATCTAAGACCCTTCATCTTCTCAATGTCTTCAAATGACTGCCCCTGTGGTTCTCCTTCCACTTGAGTAACAACCAAAAGTCACAGGGAGCAAGGTCTGGACTAGGGAGTATGAGGGATAGTTTTGATGCCCATCTCTGTCAATACAAAACTTGTTTGCATAGTAAGTTTTCAGGCCTGACTGCATTCTGCAAACTAGTCAGCTGTGACAAGCAGTGTTTAGTAGGGTGTGTTCAAAGAGCTGTTACATCTGCCTTATTCAGTCTGAAATAACAAAAGTTGGCAGGTCAGCTTATTAGATGTATAATAATATAAAATCACAATAATCTATCACAGTTATAACTGCCTCTACTAAAAAAGAAATGTCTCAAAACTTGTGGATTGCCTGTCATATATGATCATACTATTTCTATTTTCTTCTCACCCCCTTCTTTTTGTACTTGTGGGTTAGCATTTTATACATTAAAGCTCTCATGGGTAAACTGTTGCCCCTTGGGCTGCATGTGGCCTGTTTCATTTTTCTGAATGGCACGCTTAATTTCATAAGGAAAATGACATTTCTTAAAATTCTGTTTTGTTTGTTCTAAATTTTTCACTTATACTCTCTCATACATAAACAATGATTATGTACAATGTTGCTTGAATTTTGTGAACTTTCAGTGAAAATAACCTGTTCATCATTTTAAACCAATGCAATTTTCACTAAGGAAGATCAAACATGTAAACATACGTTACTTTTGAAACAGGAAGCATATTATTTTTTTCTCTGACAAAGAAATGAATTAAAAAGAAAGCACTGCAAAGAAAAAAAGGAAAAGAAACACGGTCGCTCATCTCAGTTTCCTGCCCAACGTAGCTGTCCTTAGGAACATCATTAAGAATGCCTTTTTCTTTGCTGCCCGAGTGTCAATCTCGTTTGTTCTTTTATTGTCTCTCAAAGTACTTGATCCAGGTGTCTTGGATTAGATTGTCATATGGATATGCAAATTGCATCACTCTCCTAACATCCTGGCTTGTCTATTGTGTGTTCATTCTACTCGGACAAATCAACTTCAACTGGTTAATTTGGGGCTCTTGTTCAAATTGCACCAAAATCAATTCTGCTCATGGCTACAAACAATGCATGTTGGCATGTGAATTATTTTTGTGGCAGGCAAATGACTCCTTCTCTTAACCACTTCTTTGTTACACTCTTCAATCTGTCAATTTTTCCAAACCCTCTTTTTTCCTTTTGTCTTCAATCTGGCTTGTTTTCATCTGTCTGCCACAGTTTCCTGGCTGTCCTTAGAAACACCATTAAGAATGCCTTTCTTCCAATTCCTGGCTTGTCTATTGTGCGTCCATCCTACTCGGATAAATCAACCTCAACTGGTTAATGTGAGACTCAAGTTCGAATTGCACCCAAATCAATTCTGCTTATGGCTACAAACAATGCATGTTGCCATGCAAATTCTTTTTGTGGTGAGTGAACGCTGTCTTCTCTCGGCAACTCCCTCTTACAGAAATATACTTTTTTTGTTTTTTAAATGAATAAGGTACAAATAAATCACAGACAATTGTTAGTCACATTGTCATCCATGGTAATATCATACAAAACAAATTATTTAATTATAGAAACATCTTTTCTCAAAAAAAAAAAAAAAAAATTTCCCTCATTTTTAAGGTATATGTTTATGTAGGAGGCATGGTGGAATAGTGGATAGCAACTTGGATTGAGGAATCGGAGAGCTGAGTTCGAATTCCAGTTGAATCCATTACATTCACTTACATGCTAATACTCTTGGGAAAGGTATTAATCCTCTTCTCTCTCCAGCTATTGGTAAATAGCAGGACAGATTGGGTTCTATAACCTTGGATGGCAACTGGTCTAGGAGAAGGACAACTCTGAATTCAAAAACCTGTGGATGGTCGTTTGGGGACCTTGTGGCATGTAGTGCACCAGGTCTCTGTATTCTGCCCTTCAAAAAGTGTGGTTGGTTCTGCACAAAGCCTTCACCATTATAATCAAATCATATGTGCTGGTGTCTGGGTTGTCGGTTCCTAGGAACTGAGCTGCTTGACCCTCATACTTTGACTATGATAGGATAGTCCACCATGCTAATGTATATGGTCTTATGTTGTGAAAATAACTGAGGTAGATTCTATGAAAAATTACCTTGAATGTTTTAGTAGTGTAGCCTTGTGATGAGCCATAGATCATACAAATCACTGCTCGAAAAAGGTTGCCCATGCCTTTAAAAGTTGTGAAAACTCTTTGATGAAAATATCAGTATAATAATAGTTTGATTGATTTGTTCAGTGTGACTTACAATATTAAACATTGTATCATTTTAGTGTTATTGCTACAGAATGGAGATGTATATACATTTGGCAGTAATCAATATGGGCAGCTTGGAGTTGGTGATACAGTGGTCAGGTAAGAATTTTATTTTGCTCGTTCTCTCACTTTTCAACTTGTATATCTTATATTATCTTATATTGATTATACAGGTCATCAAAACTCACCAAAGGATTTCAAAATTTAATAACTCTTTATTTTTTCACTTTAATTGTAGAGTTAGTGGTTATTATTAAATGCAAATAAATGGCCGAACTGCCCAACAAACAGAATTGACAAAGTTTACAATAAACAACAAGAAAAAGAAAAGAACAGGGCAAAAAAAGATTATAAAGCAACAGATAAAAATTACACAAAGTAAGAATTAGTGTTGACACATGAGTAAATTTGGATAAGTGAATGTAACGTTCTGACTTCAAAGACAAGACAGACTGGGACCAAGTCAGATGAAAGTGAGAACCAGCATATATTATTGTCTAGGAAGAAATCCCAGCATACATTTGTGTGGTTCTGACTATAAATTGGGGAGGGAAAGTGTTTTGCAATCAATCATTGTTGAAATTGGAACCAACATTAATTCATAATAGCATAGTATTATATAGAATAGCTATAGGAAATAAACTTACACTAGTTGAGAAAGATTACATCTTTTATGTGGGGTCCATTTTTAACTTTATATGAGTGTAACCTTTCTAAGGCATTTTCCCTCACTGCCCTCATTGTTTCAGATTTTTATGCTTTGTTGTCTGTCTGAATGTTGTGCTTCAGCTGTTGGAGAGTCTAAGGCTTGTTGACAAACTTTTTCTTTGGGATAGCCCCATAGGAAGAAATTAGGGCTTGTCAGACACAGGGAACATGGTGGCCAGTTTATACTGCAACCATGAAAAATTATTCTGTCCTCCAAAATTTTCCTTGGATATTGGATTGTGGACCTAGTTTTATGAGCTGTCACCTTACATTTTTGTACAGAAACAGGTTGATCCTTTTAAAAATTTGTTGGAGTTATGTCAGAGAGATCCCAACCTGTCTTCGAGTTGATGTGCTTGGATCTTCTTTGATACTCTCCTTCACTCACTTAAATACTCCTTAGTTCCTAAATGAATGTGGAAGGTCACTTACTGAACCATTACTTTCAAAACTTGGAGAATCTTTAACAATGTAATAGCTCCAGTATGCTTGTTGAATTTGAATTATTGATTATTGGTTTTGGTAAAAAGTTTTTGATACTTGTGTTCATTTTTTACTGATGTATTTTTACATGATTAATTTCCAAAGCCTCCTTTATGAAATACTTGAAAGAAACCTTAATAAACAAAAGAGTTATTAAACTTTCAGAATCTATGGTAACTTTTGGGTCACCCTGTATTATAAATGTGAGTTGTCTTTGTGTGTGTTTTTCTTGCTATTTTGTTTCCAAAACTAGAGAAGTTTAACTGAGTAGTATTGTAACAGATAATGGAAAATGTGATGCAGAGATCTGAAGGTGTATTGGAATAGTGAAAAATGCTTTTCAGAGGCTAAGAAAACTATTAAGAGATTGGAAAATTTTATTAGAAACAAAGAAGAAAGTGTAATATCAATTCTCCCATATGGCAGTGAATGCTGAATAATTTCTTCAAACAGGAAGAGGTGACAGATGTGATTCTACAGAAGGATGCTAAGAATATCATGGATGGAGTATGGGAACAATGTGGAAGTTTTAAGAAAAATGTCTATATAATGTATGTTTTAACATGTTAGCTGCTAGTGGTTGATTATGAAATTTGGCTTCAAATGTCAATTTCATAATAGCCAACTTGGGTAATAAGAATTTTTTTATGAGTTGATGTATAGCTTCAACTGAAGTGTTAACATTGTTTTCACACTAAAAAATAAATAAACTCATTGTTGGTGTGAAGTGTGTAGCCATGAATAAATGTAAAATAAATGAATGGCAGAACTATCCAACAAACAGATTTTGACAAAGCTTGCAATAAACAATTACAAAAAAAGGAAAAAAAAAAAAAGGCAAAAATAATATAAAGCAAGTAAACAATATATGCAAGGCAAATTAACAGTAATAAGGCAAACCAACAATAATATCTCAAAAAGTTCACAAACTAAGAATTGGGGTTGACACACAATAGCAAGTTTGGACAAGGAAATGTAGCATTCTGACTTTTAAGACAAGACAGATCGGGACTGAGTTGGATTTAACTGAGAACTGGGCTATTTCATTAGCTAGGAAAAAATCCCAGCATGCATTTGTGTCTTCTGCCTATAAATTGGGAAGGGGAAAATTTTTTGCAGTCATTCTGGGTCGAAATCGGAATCAACAGTTGGTGTCCTTGGCCGAAAATGTTATCAGAAAATCCCCAAAAAGATAACTCTGCATCATGATGAAAACTGCAAACCACAAGTTATAGGAAAATATGTAAATATAAATTTTGTGTGTGTGTGTCTCTCTCTCTCTCTATATATATATATATATAGCTTGAGAATCCTTTATTCAAAATTCCTGGGACCAGAAGTGCTTCGGTTTTCAGATATTTTTTATATTTTGAAATACAATCGTCCCTTGTTTATCACAGTTAATCAGTTCCAGACCCTACTGTGATAGGTGAATTTCCGCAAACTAGGATTCTTTATAAATCAAATATTTTTGTAGTTAGATTATAGAAAACCTGTTTATGACCTAAATACGGTTTTTGATGTAAGAGCTCTCTAGACATGAAATAACACCCCTGTAGTCACCTTTACACATATATTAGACAATATAAGAGAAAATAAGGCATATTAGATGTTACAAATATCTTGTTATAGTACATTAAAATCATACACAAAGTTTTTCTGTGTATGTCGCTTCATCATCGAACAAGTTGCATTGTTTACCTAGGTTAGAATAATAACATTACAATGCCAAATAAAATTTGGCTTTATTTTAATCAAATACTATTGCCCTGTTGTTTTGTACTCCGTTTGTCTGTCAACTTACTATCGTCTGAACAGTTTTGTTTGCAGACTCCTTTGTACTAACATGCAGCCAAACACCTCACAAAAAATGATCCACAGCACACCTGCAACAATAGCCAACCAGTGAACAGCATGTTCTGATTCCCTTGATTTCACCACACCTGAATTTTGAATAATAGAAGCCTGGAAATAAGTTCTTGCCCACACACAAGCAGTGGTCAAGCAGCTGCACCAGGTATTGAAGAATTTATTTGTGGAGGTGCTTGAATACATAGGCCTACAGTAATTTTAATACAGAGGTGTATAATTGACTCGGACAATCAAGCACGCACTGTATTATTTTCACCTCTTGATTAACTAAAAAATTGGCTATGTGTTTGCTCCTGAGATCTGGGCAAGAACTGTGAAGCAGTGAAGAACCATGTTATGATTTTTTAATGAAAAGATGTGAAAAAAAACGCAATAGAGTGAAGCTGTGAAAATTGAAGTGCAAAGGTTCCGAGGGGCAAATGTACAGGCTATTTAATTTGTATATAGCATCTCTAAAATGACACAGCTTGGGAATTGAACCAAAGCATAAACAAGATATTCCTTTTACATTTAATAACACTGCTTAAACATATACCCTGAAGGTAGTTTTATATAAATAAAATATACCCTGAAAGTAGTTTTAATAAATTTTGTCTACATACAGATACAGGCAATGACACTAGTCATCTGATGCTCATATAGATTTTTAAATGGTGATTTCATGTAAAAACAATGTTTTGTACTTTCTGTATATGTATAATGCTATTTGGGTTGCTGGTAATTAATAATGATAATGGCAACTTGGAATATCAATGAAAACTAGGAAATGATGAATAACTTAGCATGAAAAGGGTTAAACAATATAAGGAAAGATAAACAGAGAATTGAGATATGTACAATAGACCAGATGATCCCCTAAAAGCGATTCTCAGTTTGTGTGACCAAGTCATGTGTTGACAGCCTTTGGCAAACAATGCCGGGATCTAGCATGAGAAAAATTGTGTAAAACTGAATGAATTCATTTTGTGGGATGTTGGCATTAAAAACTATAAATTGAACACCTGCAGAAAGGTGACCTTTGGCTGAACAAATTGTCACCATAATAGGAGTTTCAAAAATTTCCCTGGGAAAGTGTCTCTTGGGTCAAAGGTGAGAAAGCCAATTGTGGTGTCAACTCACTTATGACATAAGAGCATTTAAAATGATATTTTTCAAAATTAATCTCTGACTGAATGCTAGAGATGACAGGTGCAGAAGAGCGATCATAGAAGAATGAGGGGCTGCCTGAACCCACTGAAGGGTAGCAGTCACAGAAGAGGCATTAAAGAAGTTGAAGGAATTGCTCAAACCCACTGTAAGGTAATGGTGGAAGATGGTAATAAGAGAGAGTAGAAGCAGCTAGGTGGAGCAATGTCTGCAACCATCCCCCATGAGAGAGGGAGAATTCCCCAAAATTATGAATTAATTTAATTTCTCAAGACCAGAAACAATAGACTTTTGTTGGCAATCAGGCCTGCATCGGTTTCTAGTTGGAGTCCATAAAAATGAATGCATGAAAGCCATTCAGTCAGTGAGTTAAGAGTCAGGGTTGCAAGTTGACAGTTGAGAGAGGAGAAGAAAAGCGGCGAAGGTTGCTGAGAGATTCCACAACTCCTGCTAAACACAAGAACCTCCAACTTCGACCTTGAGACAAACTTACCAAAACAGTAAAACAAATTTTGCTAAGTCTGCAAGCCAAAACTTACCAGCTTACCCAAGTGTTGCGTCCAATTTAGGAACGAGTTGGGTCGACAAACACCTGCATGCAAACACAACTACTGACAAACCATTGTACGCAGTATTGATATAAAAATAGTAATTATTTTTATATATATTTTGAGTGCTGTTTTTTCTCCAGTTTTATTGTATATCCTCACTTGACTTGGACCAGCCCAACACGAAGATACCTGAAACAAATCGATCTTGGCCTCGTTGTAATCAAATCAATCACGATGTGGGGTAAGACAGGTCATGGTCGAAGAGATCACTCCATTGATCAAACCAGGATCCACCCCAGGCTGACTGCAATGAAAGGTTATGTCTGTTGTTTGTTGTGAACCAGGATTGAGCTTGAAGTGTCACATGTGTACACAAAAAACATGATCACTATTTACAAAAAATATTCAGGGCTTTTTGACATTTTGTATAATATCTTTTTTGAGCATGAAACACCTGGTAGATAATCCATGAATGAAGTTGTTGCTGTGACGATTGCTAACAAAAAGACTGGTGCCAATGTAGGTTACATAGCTTGGCTTTCTGAATTTTTCCATTTGTAGCAAGTCATGTTAGCACCTGAAAAAAAAAAAACTTTCAGATTTTGGATGAAGGATACTCAACCTGTAATTTGAGAATAATGTGAATAAATACTGAAATATCACCAAATAAACTTTTTTGTTTATCAAATATTATCTTATTGAATTACCTATCTGTTATTTGACAAGTTCCAATGTTTGCAAAAGTTTTGAATACCATTTGTTTTTTCTTTAAATAATATCTGTAAATCCTATGCTAACAGTTTCTTTTCTTCTTGCTCGTGGAACTCCCTTCCGGCTTCATGCTTTCTAGCCAACTTTAATTTGCAAAAATTTAAATACAGTGTCAATTGCTATCTAATGTCCTCCTGATTGTTCTTTTCTCTTCCTGCTCATTATTAATATTGCTTTTCCTAATTCTTCTACACCCAGCAACCCCTTGCATCTTAGTGGCTTTACTGCTTTGCATTGGGTGAAACTGATAAAGAAAAGAAAAACAAAACAAAAAACCAGAAAAAAACAAAAAAAACAGAAAAAAACAAAAAATAAAAGAAGAAACTTTTGTATAAATCTAATTCTCTTTGATGTATGATCACCTTTTCTGTCTGTCAGGAGTACATCAACGTGGTGCAATGGTTAACAAGCTTGAATGATGAGTTATGACTGAGTAGTGAGTTTGATCCTCATTGGATGCCTCTACACTTTTGGCTAATGCTTGGAAAATCATTTTTGGGCATCTTGACGTGATTTAATGGCTAGCAAGCTTGTCTCACTAGAACAATTACAAATGAATAGTGAGTTTGATCCTCACTGGTACCCCCCCTTAAGATACTTTGAAAATTACCATCTTTTCTGTCTGTCAGTTTATTTGTGATAACTAATTACTATATTTGTTACTTATTATTATTATTATTATTATTACCACCACCATCTTTCTTTAAAAATTGCAAAAGGTCAGATGATCTCTTCCAGTGAAGAGCTGATGTTCTCAAATATCAGCAAGTCTTATCATTCAACATTAGCAATTTACTCAGCAGATCAGTCTTTCTGACTAATGCTCATTCTATACCAGGTCCAAGAGCCACTCAAGGTAGAGAGTTACTGAAGGAGATTATTGTGTGAGTGGTAATAGTAAGAATTGCAGAGAGAAGTGTAGTAAACTTCATTCTTCTTGTCACTGTGCAAGGCACAATGAAATTAGACAGCAGACCCCCAAGGACACCAACATACACACATACACCCATGCATGACATTGAATAAAGAAAAGTAATATGTTTAAAATGTATTGGAGTTTTTCAGCATGCAGCAGCTTGATAATTTGATATAACTTGATAAGGATAAAAATAAAAACTGACTTAGTGTAAACATTATAGGAATTTTGTATGCTATATTATTTATATGCAAGATAATAAAATTTGACTTTAGCTGGTAAAAAATCTTGTTGAATTTGTGAAAAAAATTTTTTTTTCTTTAATATTCAAAGGAGTTAATTCACTGGGAAGTGTTTTACTAGGTGTATTGGTATAGGAAAAATGCTTTCCGAAAGCTAAACAAATTATTAAGAAACATGAAAATTTTCTTAGAAACCAAAAAAAATGTGCTGAACTGCTATGTAATATCAATCCTCCTAAATGGCAGTAGACAATATCCTTACTGATGAAAGAGAGACTTGAAAGAACAGAGATGTGGTTCTAAAGAAGGATGCTGAGAATGCCATGGACAGTGTATGTAAGCAACAAGGAAGTTTTAAAGCAAACAGAAATAAAAAGGATACTTTAAAAAACAGTTGAAATTTCTAGGTAATACAATGAGGAAGGAAAGCTTGGAAAATTTGATACTCACAGGACATATTAAAAGCAAGGGAGATGAAGAAACAGCAAGTAACCTACCTGGACAGCAAAAATGTAAATGGTTGTCTTCAGTAGATTGAGATTCAACTATAAGGATGGATAATGAAAAGCAAGCATTTCTAAGAGCTACAAAGGATAGGAAGTTGTTGAGTTATGATCACCTGTGTCCTGAAGGTACATGGCACATAAACAGAATAACCTGATTTAAGTCTTATTGCATAGTAATCATTTTAAAATGTTGCCTTTTGTTTTCTTAATAACAACACCAAAAAGCTCTTTTTCTATATTTAGAAATTCTTGATAAAATCTGAAGAATCTGCTATGTTATTGGTACCTGGAATGTCTGCTTCAGTCCCTCTCCTACTACTGTTATATAGCTTTCCTGTGTCTTCTATAAATACTTTCATGGTAATTGTTCTGATGAACTTTCCTCTTTGGTACCTAGACTTTATGAATTTAAAAGCATTACTAGATTGGCGGCAAAGTTTTAATCATTTTACTATTGAAATGGCCGCTAGATGTAACCATAAGTTCTATGCTAACAGTTTCTTCTATTGCACTTCTCACTTGTGGAACTCTTGGTTTTTTGCTTCCCAGTCAACTTTGATTTTCAAAGAGTTAAATGCAATATCAATCGTTATTTTCTGTCTTCTTAATTCCTGTTCTTTTATTGTCCTCTCTCCTTAATAGTATTTTTCTTATATTCTCTAACACTCAGTAACCTCTTGTGTCTTAGTAGCTTTATTGCTTTGCTTGGGGTGAAATGATTTTAAAAGCAAATGAATGGAATAAATGTATCTTCCCTAGAATAAGAAGCAACCATTAATTTTAAATTGTATAATCTAGTAAGTTTTCTTTTGTTTCTTTTGCTTGCAGAGGAGAGCCTACCAAAGTACAATTACCAATGTCTGCTGTTCAAGTAGCGGCAGGAAGTAGTCACACTGTGATATTGCTAGCTAATGGCCAGGTTTATACCTGTGGCAGTTACCAGGTAAGTTTATTTATGATCTTACAGACAAGTTACTCTGTTCACTGTCGAGTATAAATCAAATATTTATGAATTTGACTAAATCAAACTAAATATCTTAAAACATGGTGATTTAGTTCTCTATTTTTAAAAAAAACGAAAATTTTATCAAAAACTGGGCAAAACAGAAATATTTCCAAAACAACCCCAGAATGTTAACGCTAAAACAGCATTCTTTAAATTCACAGCACTTATTTCTTGTGGAGACATGATTTTGCCAGACTCTATGCTTAATAATAATACTATAAATTATGGCATATAATCTTGAGTTTTCAAGCTTAAAAAAAAATCTTTCCAGAAGTAGGGGTCAATGGATATGGTAAGCATAAAATGCTTACCCCCGAATTGTAGACAAGTGGGACAGCATTCCATACAATTAACCTACACCACTTACTGTACCTCCAACAGGCTGACACAAATATATCCCACTAAAAATTGTATTTGGTGAACTTATTTGCCATATTAACACAGAATTTAATATAAAATACTAAAATAGTAACACAAATCCAGTATTCTATTAATGCTACAACACGCTATTTACATTATTCGGACTATTGTCCTCATCTTTGTCTCTTTTCTCCTCTTTCCTCTATATTTTTGATGTATTGGGTCCGTACTGATCCTTCAGTATCTGTCTATATTTCTGAGATGAGGTATTATGTACACTATTTACATTATTCGGACTATTGTCCTCATCATTGTTGCCATATTTATTACATTTCGGCTCTTCAGTATCTGTCTATATTTCTGAGATGAGGTACTATGTACACTATTTACATTATTTGGACTATTGTTCGAATCTTTGAGAAATATGAGGACAATAGTCCGAATAATGTAAATAGTGTACATAATACCTCATATTAGAAATATAGACAACTACAACATTGTTTATTTACATCACTGATGCAAATGGAAGATGATTGATACTGTGTTTTACAATGACATACAATACGTAGCAGTCCTATCAAAAACCTACCTGAAATGATGTGTAATCTATGGTATTAATACTTTATAGGATTTGATATTGACTTTAATGTGTCTATGAACAGACCTTATGAATTTTAAATGTTCACTTAGTTATACCAGTATAATATGCATGACTTACTAGTGTTTGTTGTAGGTTGCTTGCTATACACCTCATATAGAAAGATATGGTTAATGTCTCCATATACAGGTAAGTGGTGTGACCATATGCAGCTTTAGCACAGGTTATTGTATACTGTAGCCTAACTTCATTTACTGGTAGGCTTAAGTTTTGGGCTACTGGTAGCCTATTGTATGTTTGGGAGTGGGTGGTCGACCTATATAGTAGCTATAAGCCTAATTCAGAATTTTGAGCTAAAAATCTTGAGGTTGACTTGTATACCAGGTTGACATATATAGTGGATTTCACACTAATATTAATAGAGTTTAATAATAACTATTATTATTATTATTATTAAAGTAACTTAAACAAAAAGACAGCCAATTATATATTTGAATTTGATTGTTTTCAAAAAATTTTGGAATGGCTACTCTTTTTCCCTATTTTTTTCTCTACCCAGTTTGTGATTTTGTTAAAGAAAAATTTTGCCACAACTTCTTCCATGTGTTGTAAGAAATGAAAATACAAAATTACCAAGAAGTAGTGCAGGTATCTTGAGTGATGATTAATGCAAAAGCTGTCCACAAATATACACATTCCATCATCAATATTATAATATTTGGCACCTGAAAAGAAAAAGAAAAATGTAATTAATTTTTTTGAAGAGTTCTCATTATTATTTATTTTTTCAATATTTCTTTCATCTTGATTTTTTTTTTTTTTTTTTTTTTTTTGAAACTTTCAGGTGTTCCTCACATTTATTCTGTGACAGTTACAGACCTATCAATTGTACTATTCAGACCTTTAAAAATGTCTGAATTGTTTTTCATTTTTTTTAATTTAAAAATTTTTTTTTATTTCATTTCAGAAAGGAGCCTTGGGCCGTTTATGTCCTGAAGAAGGAGGTGCTAAAGAAAAAAGTCATCCTTGGTACACACTACCAGGCCCAGTGCCTGGAATTGGTAAGTAATTACACTCCTCTTTATTGGTCAGTCTTGTTTGCCGACAAAACTTTATCAATTCAGGCACCCTGTTTTGATGAGATATCAAAGTTGTTTTAAATGGTTTGGATACTTTAAAATAGTCCAAACATATAATTTATTCCAATATTTAAATTGATGAAATTTTATATCCACCAGAATTATTGTAAAGTAGTATATTGTAGTGGTTGATACTAAAGTAAGTTGGTCATACAAACAGAATATGGACAAATCAATATGCTCTTTTCTACGGCAGACTATAACCTTCATTCTTTACATATTTGAATTAGACTACAGTAATAATAATAATAATATCCTATCATTCAGATCTGAAGAAGTCTTTTGTTGTACATTTCTCTGTAAATTCTTAAATGGTTCTGCAACCTGATTCCAGCAATGCAGAGTCTGAGACAGTGTTGGCACAAACATTTGGCTGTTGTAATCATTGCAGGATGTGCATTTTGTAATGAACATCACCTTGGAATGAGAAATCTGAGAGCCAAGGATGAATTCCGGTCAAATTCTTTAGGTATGAATGCATCACTTCTTGCCCCAGCTTTGGTTTTGAATAGGAGGATATACTGGGTCTTATAGCCTTGGTTGGCAACCAGTCTACTACAGAAAAAAATGACAAGCTACTGCAGGAAAATATTCTACCTAGTCAATCATGAATTAATAGACTTGATTACCCAAATGTGTATCATGTATGGCACTTGACTGACTAACTGAATCACTGCTTATGTTTCCCTGTGGCGATGCTTTCCTGTAGTGATGAGTTTTTGATGCTGGGCCTCCTTAGGATTTGCAAAAGCTTGATTGACTATGGCTTGCAGTGTAAGCAGTTTCTACTATAGTATTCCAGCTAATTTGATTCAAAGCAATGAAGAGTTGGTTTTAATGACATCTTAGTAGCATTTTTTGTTTGGTCAGCCATATGCTGAATATCGCATGTTTCTTGGGATGAAAGATAGTATAATCCACTTATATGAGTTGGTACTGGATGATCACAGATTTAATACGGGAAGAATAAATCTGGTTCAGGACTTCATGGTTTGTGTTAACCCCTGCTCGCAGATTCTAAGCATGGAAAGAAGAGGTTCACATGTGGAAGTTTTCTTCATATGATTGCAGTACAGAGTTAACAATTTGCAAAATTACTGACAAAATACCATCTACCAACTCACCAAATATTCTTTACAAAATACCAATTTAGAAAACACTAAACTTACCAAATACCAATTTCATGAGAGCAACTTGAAAAATAGCATTTTCATGGAAAATATCATTTTCAAAAATGTAGCAACTTGAAAAATGTCATTTTGAAAAATGTTTTTCAAAATGCAGCAAGTTGTAAGAATGCTGTATTCAAAATGCAGAAGGTTGTAAGAAAGCCATATTTAAAATGTAGCCAATGAGAAGATTGCTGTATTCAAAATGCAGAAGGTTGTAAGAAAGCCATATTTAAAATGTAGCCAATGAGAAGATTGCTGTATTCAAAATGCAGAAGGTTGTAAGAAAGCCATATTTAAAATGTAGCCAATGAGAAGATTGCTGTATTCAAAATGCAGAAGGTTGTAAGAAAGCCATATTTAAAATGTAGCCAATGAGAAGATTGCTGTATTCAAAATGCAGAAGGTTGTAAGAAAGCCATATTTAAAATGTAGCCAATGAGAAGAATGCTGTATTCCATGGTTCAAAATATAATAAGCTATTATTTAAAATATTTAACTAATTGTCTCAAATTTAATAAGAAATTTGGTTATAATATTGTTATTTTCATCATCCATTTGCATTTTATCTAGGTGCTCGTTATGGTCGCCGAGCCACGTGGATTGGTGCGAGCAGTGACCAAACTTTCATGAGGATTGATGAGTCTTTGATTAATGCTCATACGTTAACTGGCTGTAATATTTTTGCAAATCAGTCCTGTATAGGTAAGTACAGACATAGACTTGGTTATAGTATTGTGCCAAAGTCTTACACAAATCAAAACCATTTTATTTTTTTATTTGTCCTTTTTATGAATAGGCTAAGAAAATACTTGTAGCCTCTTCTATTTCATGTAATAAAAGAATTTAAGAATGGCCTAAAACTTGTGTACACACATCATTTTATATATTTTTTAAAAATACTGACATTACTTTACGTTGTGTCAGTATTGTTTTTCTCTTCTGTTAATGACAAAAACAAAGGTATTTGTTCAAATAATTTATTTTTTGTTTATAATTCTAGGTTTGATTCCAGCTGAAGAAGACAGTGGTTGTTCCATGAAATGTCTAATGATTAGCAAACATGATGGAAGTTGTAAAAGGTTTGTATATTTTCTTACTCTTGCTACAAAGCATTCATTATATTTTTTGAAATAAAATTTTGAAATAAGTAACATCTGGATTAAACTTATTTTTTTTTTGTCTCTTTGCAGTTTCATTTCAAGTGACCAAGAGAATCTGTTCCACCATGCAGTTTGCTTGGATCCTGTTTACGACACTTTATGGAGGTGAATCCACTAACCTTTTGGAGTTTTTTCTCAAACTATTGACGGTTACTTGATTTGTTTGTCTACCTTTAAGGGAACTTGGAAATTCTTATTCAAAAGAAAGAAACTTTAGTCCAAACCATCTCAATTACAGACTTTTTACTATGTTATCTAACTTGCTTGGTCATGCAAATAAACCCTTGGTTTGAGAGATGATATTGGTAGCATGCATACAGTACCCTACTAGAAATTAAAAAAAGTAGCATTTGTGTAGCACTAAGCATTTTCCATGTTCTCATTCCAACAGAAGTGGAAATAACAAAACCAGAACTTCCTTTGGTTGCATCTCTTATTGTCTCCCATGGATTTTGGCTTCACTGACAAACCTACAACAGATGTGAAATCCTTTTCTAAATCTTCATCTATGAAATCAATACATGATAATCATATATAAAGTGCACTTCTGTCTTACAAGGAAATATGAAAAAAATGAATTTCTCTGCTCGTTTCATCAAATATTTATTGTAAGGAGATAAATGTTAATGTCTGTAATATTATGAGAAAAAAAGCACTTTACGTGATAAATGTTTATTTTTCATTATTTACATTTGGACAATTGTCCTCACCATTGTTGCTACTATCACGTTTCAGCCGTTAGGCTCTCTGAACTTCTTCAAGTGTTTGTCAATCCAGATAATTTTGAACTGAACCATTTACTTAATCTATGGGGTAAATTGTTCCCATTACACCGTCCATGTGTATATGTATATATATATATATATATATATATATTCAATAAGTAATGGATGTTCAATGGACTTATCTCATTGACTGACCTGTCAGTTTTGTGTAAGGGTAAGGGTGTTTGTCAGGGTCAGACAAATATATTGAAATTATTACTAGATCTCATATTTCTACAGAAATAAAAAAAATGGCCAATATATATATATATATATATATATATATATATGCATGTACACATGTTGGTACAAGGTTGTGTAGAATAGACTCTTTAATTAAGGGTCAGTTTTTATTGTTACTTTACTTTTTTTTAATTGGACATTTTGAAATTTAAGTTGTTTTCTTTTTGTTTTTTATTTTCACAGTTACAATCCAAGTACGCACATGGTGAATTGTTACATGGTGCTTCTACCTGAAGTAAGACTCTTGCAAACTGTTGACACCAGTTATTGCAACATCCTCAGCCCAGAAATGTTTGTGCCAACCCGAACGCACTCGAATTCAACCCGGTCACATTGCTCACTGCATATGCTCGGTAAGCTGATAACCAATCAGTGCTCTTTTATTACAGAAATGAGTTACTATAGTATCCTTATCGCTGTTGTTTTGATCACAATTCTTTGGGCGAGGCATTTGCAATTCTTCCTCAGAATGATTTCTTAATTATTAAGGAAAGTTTATGAATTTTTTTTGCTTACAAGTATTTTCTGAGAAAGTCTCATTGCAGTATTTTCATTTGTTGCAGGGTTGCTAGTATGTTTTTTTAAATGTTAGCCACCATTATGTTGCAGGAATCAACATTTTGGATAGTAAATATTTACGGGCTCCTGGAACATTTATCCCACAAACAATATTGGTGGACTCCATGTGAGTCCAGGTAAAAAATGAGTAACACAAAACAATAAATAAAACAATAATTTATGTATTTATAAAAGGAATTAAATGTGACGAAAGGAAGAAAACATGAAACTAGCTATAATAAGAATGTGCTTGTTTTTGTGTGAGAGAGGACAGTTGGGGGTCACTTTTTACCCATGTGCGACTACATCCGAAAGCCAGGGGTAAATAGCTGTAAAAGAGCCTAGTGAGAGAAATGCACACCTTTTTATAGGCTTCAGGAGTGCCCCCTGGCAACATTTTGACATTTCAAAGTCAAATGGGATGGCCCACACATTGTTGATAATTTTATTTTATGGATTAAATTTTTCAAAGTTTTCAGGAGGTTTTGAGAAGTGTGGAACCACCTCTTAATTGCTGGTGTTCCCAGGTCCACCCTGAGCTGGGTTGGTAGCACCTGTTAGGGTCCCAGCTATGAGTAAATAGTTAACACCCAAACTTGTGTAAAAATAGGTTTTAATACCAGAAATACTTAAAAAAAATAATTCCAGCAATAATTTTTGAAGGAAAAATTATTATCAGCAATATTTAAAAAAAAAAAAGTACCAGCAATACAAACAGTTATACATTCTTTGGAAAAAAATATGACCACCTATAGTTTTCTTCAAGGAAAAATATTCTCAGAAATAGATTTTTAAAGAAAAACATATTACCAGCAATAAAAATTTTGTCAGCATTAAATAACCCAATGCCATAAAACCAAACCAAACCATCTCGTTGAGAGGTGTTGTTTACAATCTCGACTAGAAATGGCTGAAAAAAAAAAAAAACTTGACCATTGTTAAATGTAAATAAATAGTAGAACTGCCCAACAAACAGAATTGACAAAGTTTGCAATACAGGGGAATATATATATATATATATATATATATATATAAAACAATATAAACAATATATATGTAAGGCAAATTAACAGTAATATCTCAAAAAGTTTACAAACTAGGAATTAGGGTTGATGCACAAGAGCAAGTTCAAATAAGCGAATGTAACATTCTAATTTCAAGACAAGACAGAGAACTGCTTATTTTATTGGCTAGGAAGAATTCCCAGCATGCATTTGTATGTCTCTGTCTATAAATTGGGGAGGGCAAAGTGTTTTGCAGTCATTTGTAGTTGAAATTGGAACCAACATTCCTTACAAAATAAACAGCCAATAGACTCAAAAATCAAAAATTTTTAGTAATATAGTCATTGATTTAGTTTGTAGACACAGACTGTGATTCACTGTGTGAATATAGTTTCACCAGGTCAGAATAAAGCCTGTGAAATATAGAACAAGAAAATTTATATAAATGCTTTGAGTAACTAATTATAAATTTTGAAAAAATATATTTTCTTTTTTTTCTTTTGTAAGAACAAATAAATTTACTAAAATAGGTTGTGAGGATCTGAATTTATATTTTTTCTTGTGAATTAACAAAAATGTTACATACTATTTATTCATTAGATTGTTTATTTATAAGAACAATTTGGCAAAGTTTAGCAAATATACCTTCAAAAAGACAGTATACTGTAATAACTGTCAAGAGAGAAAGTGTCCTTTTGACACACAGTTGTTTTTGTGAGAGCATTTGAATCTGAATGTAATGTCAATTTCAGTGATTAACCTTATAGGTTTCATCAAATGAGATTTTAGATCAGGCTGTCACCTTTTTATATAAACTTAGCTTAATTTAATTACATTGAAATACTTTTTTTTATACAAATTTTTTAAAAAAATGTTAAAAGATCTGATTAATTCTGATGTGCAGACTTTTTTTTTATCATCTGTTTATATTTCTGAGATGAGGTATTGTTACTATTTACACTATTTACATTGTTCAGAATGTTGTCTTCATCTTTATTGCCATATTCACCTTCAACTCTGTCTATATTTCTGAGGTGAGGTATTGCAACTGTCTACACTATTTGGACTGTTCTCATGTTTATTGTCATATTCATGGTGACCTTCTTCAGGTGGAATATATTGGAATTTCAAACTGAACCCTTTATTTAGTCCACTAAAGTAGATTGTTCTAGTTCCACATGCCATACCTTTTCTGGATACCTCAATTTCAGTTAATTCCTTTTAGCAACTCAACTCCCTGAGTTTTTGCTCACCTCTGCTGTCGCCAGGTATCACTGGATTACTTTGACCAAAATTTTTATCCACTGGGCTATGTGTCCTTGGGAACGTCAATGAATGAATTTTTGGCTTATAAACATAATGTCTTAGTAATTATTTTTTTCCAGAGATCATATTACAATTTTTGTTATTACCTGAAGATAGTTGGAGTGTACAATGGTCATAATGTGAATATGACAATAAAGATGAGGACAAAATATAGTGAAAATGTTTTTTTATGTATGTAAATTTTCTTGTGATTAAATGCTTTCAAAAATAGTATTTTACATTCTATGACCCATATAAGTGTTAATATACAATTCTTATTCTTTTTTTTAGCCTGCCTTGATACACTGACCACTGCCCAACAATTGCATTTGACTGTGTATGAAGAAGCAAAAGAGAAACTGGCTGCCACCAAAGATTATACAAAAGAAGATTTTTCTGTTGTCAATAGATTTGACAGTGAGTTTATAGACATTTTTTTATTAAAATATTTTATTTATTTAAAATATGAAAATATTACGCCATAGCATAGCTTCCCTTACATTTTCTATAATTATTTTCATTGTAATTGTACTGATGAACATTCCTCTTTGGTACCTTGACTTTACAAATTTAAGTGCAGTACTAGATTGATAATTTGGTCTCATCATTTTACAGTTGAAATTGCTAGATGTAACTGTAAATCTCTTGTATTTCTGACTTGTGGGACTCTCTTCCAGCTTCTTGCTTTCCTGGCAACTACAATTTCAAAAATTTAAATGCAATATCAATTTACTTAATTTCTGTTCTTTTATTGTTCTCTCTCTAATAATGTTTTTCTTTATTCCTTTTCTTTCACACTCGGTAAACTCTTGTGTCTTAGTGGCTTTATTGCCTTGCTTGGGGTGAAATGATAAAAAAAAATAATAATGTAGAAAGTAGAATGAAAATAAAATTTTAAAAAAATGATTAAAAATAGTGTACAACTGATTCTGGTGAAATGAACATTGGTTGCAAGGAGAAGCTGCTTTGGATTGTGAAACAACAAATTCAGTATTTAAAATCAAATTGTCTTTTTTTTATGCAAATCATTTTAAAAGTAGTGTCGGCTTATACAGATCAAAATTTGAAACTCCAATGTGAATTTGTTTAAGCAGAATACAGTGAAACTTTAAACAAATATATTTTTGAGGATACATCTATGTGAGTAGTCACATTGCTTTTTTAAACTGTGAATTACATCTAATAGCCTGCAGACGTGTAAGGGTTTGTGACGTCGTCCCCCGGTCGCAGCGCTGACTGTGACGTTCTATCCTGATCTACCACGGCGCCAGTTGTGACGTCCCCAAACAGCACCAATTGTGGCGTCCTGCCACAGGGCGCCAGCTGTTCGCTCCCTCGCTGTTCCGTTGGTTGTCGCTGCTCAAACGTGACGTCCGCCTGTCGCGTCAGTCGTGTTGTCTCATCCTGTGACGACCAACTGGCTTGGTATCGGTTGCGGCACCCAAATGTGACGTTCTAACCTTTTGGTGATTCGGGTGGGAATCTGGTTAGATTTGATATCAGCCTCGTTGTTCCCAACTCGCTTCCAACGCCTGGTTACCAAGGTAACTGCATTGATCTCCAGTCTGCTTACCCACGTTGTGAATTGATCTTAGACGAGATCAAACAGTGGTTGGGGCCGTAATGCAAACCGAGTTCAACGGGGGTGATACTACACAAATATGCATAAAATAAAATGAAAACTCAAAGTATCAAAGAAAAACGTAACAAACTTTATGTCTAGTTGTTCGATACATAGGACTGCATCTATCTCCCAACCCGTTCTGTGGATTGTGACACGTCGTTTTCCGTTAGGTAAATTTTTAACGCTTCAAGTTGTTTGCTCTCTAAGAAATTGGCGTTTCGGTGTGTCTTTGGACGTAAGTCGAAAAAAAAAAACTTATTTCGTGGTCTGGTTCTGAGTCGCTCTTCAAAATAATTGTTCTTGGGTTGAAGAGGAGTCCGAATTTGCGTGAATCTTGGTCAGCTATCTGCGAGGCGGCTTCAACTCTGAAACTCAACTCTCCGCTGGAGCCCGAACTCTCTGAATTCTGCCTGTTGGGGCCTACTCATATTGACGCCGACCAAAAACCGGGGTGGGTCTGTCAAGGCCGGGGGTTCCTTGATAATTCTAAATACATATCCACCTCTTTTATTTCTGGTTAGGGATTTTCCACTCTTTTCCATTTTTGGGAACCTTTCCTCACTCCCACTTTCTCACCATACTTCTGAGGGGCGTGAACTGCCCTCCCCACTTCCTCGTAGCAGCTTCTCATACTTATACTCTGGATGAGGCGTCGACAGCCTTCTTCGTGGCCACGTGATCACCACTCGGCCAATGAGGTCTTAGTCGGGTATCTTTCCTCCTCCTTAAATTGCACGTGATCACCACTTGAACAATGATGTTTTAGTCGGGCGCGTGAACAATCCGTGGCTTTGTTTCGGGGAAAAAAAATATCTTGCTTAACTAAAAAAAATTATCTCTTCTCTTTCCCTTTTCTTCTGCTTTAATCGCCGTTATCATTTTTCTAGCCGCCAAACGGACAATATGACAACTCTTGTTCTACACGTGGTTTTTTGTCAGGTATTTTATCGCTAATTATCAAAATGGGTGGTCTTCTTAACACGGCCTCAAAAAAAGAAATATCTCTAAAGTTTCAGTCAGTCTGTCGCCTCCAAGGAAGAAGAAAAAAACACTTCTGGGTCCCCATTCATTTTCCTTCGGTACATATTTCTGATAACATAATTTTATTATCGCAGGCCAAAGTTGTTTAAATCCCGAAAAAATCGGTCAGCGGACACGGTTTGTGTGGCTTTTAATTTTTCATATCTACCCAAAGTCCTGTAGTTACACCTGTGTTTTGTCAATTATCAAAATTAACGTTTTCAATTGAATTTTTCCCTGGCCAGCCGACCAGCCGTTTTGTTTACGTATTCCTAGATAACACAGCCGTTATCAAAACACATCTGTTTCTTTCTTTCCCTTTCTTCTTACCCAGAATTTCTCTGTCATTGTAATGACACCCTTTCGCCATGGTTACTTATCAATATATTCATTGTCTCTTAGCCGTGTGTGTGTTCTGCTGATCACCCACCTATTCGCTCTCCTTTTTCTTTCTGCCTTCTTTTCTTTCTTTTCCTTTCTCTGCCTCGTAAATGGTGCTGCAGGTCTTAGGTTCAAACCCTGCCAGAGGATATGTTTTCTTTATTAAGACTCACAGCTATGGGGGAAGAAGAGGTGGATTTGGGAAAAGACACTACTTGGTTTCAGTGAGAAAATGAAAGAAAGATAGAAGTGTTTAACAGCTGTTTCAGTGAAATGGAAAAAGTTATCAATTTCAAATCTTTTCATTTTTACCTACTTCTTAAAATAATGACCAGCTGATGATTGTTATTGCAGTATTTTTTTAAAGTTGTTAGGCTCAAATATTTAATGATGTGATAAGCAAAATCTGTCTCTATGAGATGAGGTATTATGATCCTTTACATTATTTACATTATTTGGACTGTTATCCTCATTTTCATTGCCATATTCACAACATTTTGGTGTTGTATGCTTTGACGTTCTTTAATCGCGAACCAAAAAACTTGGAGAGTTAAGTTAAAGGGAAATAACTGCGATATCTGGGAGAGGCATGGCATGTGGAATTAGAACAATCTACCCTGGTGGACGAAATAAAGGGTTCAGTTCAAAATTAAAATCACCTGATGAAGGCCGGCGTGTACAACGACTGAAATGTTGTTAATATGCCAATGAAAATGCGAATAATTGTCTGAATAATGTGATAGGCAAATTTCTACAGATATTTTATTGTTGTAGAACTCGCCATGAGCTTATTGAATCATTAACTTAAGAATTAAGATTCATTAGCAAATTCAAATAGGAAAACCATGAAATTTTCAAGTGTCTTTCTAGTATTAATGATATTTATGTTTAAACATCATATCATTTATTATAGCAATGTTCATTACAATTTTATTTCTTGTGCGTATTTGAAAAAATATATAAAGAAACAAAGCATTAATTCTGTTCTAAATGTTTTGTGTGTACAATGTCTGATCAAAATGTATCAGGAACCATTGCTATGGTAACAGAGCTGAAGTTTACAGAGTGAAGCCACTTGGAAAAGATCGACCTAGAACTCTTTTGCACATGCGCACTAAGTTATTATGTCCTTGCTCACTTCTGTTGATTATAGCAGTGCTTGGAAGGAAAGTGTGTAGAGTGTAGCTTCCATCAGTGACCATGGCTTGTGCAGCAGATTTTGGCCAAGCAAGACATTCCCCAGGTCTGACAATCACCATATTTCTCAGATCTTGTCTCTTGTGACTTTTCTGTGTTAAAAAATCAAATCCCACTTGAAAGGAACAAGATTTCAAGACATTGAGGAAATCCAAGGGAATACAATGAAGCAGCTGCTCACTATCCCCAAAATGGAGTTCCAGGAATGCTTCCAGCAATGGAAATGACACTGGATAAAGTATCTGACTTTAGAAGGGGGACTGTTTTGAAGGTGATTAAATGCTGAATTGATATGTTGTAGTTTTCTTCTTTTTATAGCGAAGAAAATGGTAACTTACCATGTCAAACCATTCGACGTGTTGTGTCTATCCTACATCAGAAAAGAAAGGGCATGTGATCTCTTGTTTATATATGAGAACGTCATGCAAATTTTGGGTCATACCTCAATTAATCACTAACTTCTCAACCAAGGTATAAACAGATGCAACATGTGGCCAGTGAATTGGCTCTACGAGTCGTTGCTCAGCGTGAAGGAGGATTTCTTGAGATATGCAGCTGCTGTATTGAATTTTATTCCTTCAAAATTCTACTACAAGCACTAGTTGCGATAGATTTTTGATCAGACCTTGTATGTGTGTCTGGCTTAAACTACCATATTTAGATGCTTAAAACCATATATATTGTGATTCAGTATGCTGCAAGGAAAGTTTTGATAATTTATTTCTATACTTTTTATATAAGTGAATATATTTGCAAATTTAAAACATTGTTTTCATTCATTTTTTTTTTTTTTTTAAAGTATTTTTTACATTTAATATTATTTTTTTTACATTTGATATATTTTTTCTAATAGATAAAAAGTAGATTTTTGGTTTTGTAAGGAAAGAGTTATTGCCTATTCTGGAAAAATGTTTGTAAAAATAAAAAAATAAGATCTTTATTAAATAAAATAATTGTATGTTCATTCTTTTAATCTTTTAATTTTCAATTTAATTTTTTGCCAATGTTAAAAAAATAATTAAATGTCATAGTTTACATATGTAAATAGAAACTTGTTTAATGTTTTTAGGTGTAAGTTTAATTTTATATTTGTTTTTTATATAATAAAATAATTTATTAATAATTAAAAAAAATGTCCTTAAACACAGTCAAAATCTATGGAATATTCTAAAATTCATTCATTAACTATGCAATTGATTATTTAAAAAAAGTAATCTAAAGTATTTGCATAGTTTTTGCTATGTTAACTACTAATATGTTTTAATGGCAATTTAAATATGTTAACTGTTAAATATATTTTAATGGGAATTTAAATAGACTGGTTTACTCAAAAAAATAGGAAAAAAGTTTTGGTTAATAATTTTTGTAGATTAGCATTTATTAGATCTTCAAGTCAATTGAAAAATATTCAATTTTTTTTATTGATGCCCAAGTGGAGGTGGTATTGTTCATAATATAAATACAGTATAAAATCTATCCCTAATATTTTAGTTCTCTGAACCTAGTTGTTGTTTATAAGTGCATAGCAGGATAGACAAAGCTCTCTAGCATCAAGTGGCAACCAGTCTAAGATAATGAAAAGTCTGAATTTCAAAGATGTGAGGAAAGCAATGGGAAACCATTCCATTATCTTTCCCAAGAAGTCATGGCAGTTCACAGATAATAAAGAAAAGGAATCTGTGGTATGCCACAATCACTTTGAATTAAAAAAAAAAAAAAAACTGAAGAGAAAGCAACAGGAAACCACTCCACTGCCTTTCCCAAGAAGGCATGGCAATTCATAGATTGCAAAGAATAAAGAATATGTGGAGAGCCATGAACAGAAGGGATGTGACATATGAAAATTACTTAAAATAGTGATTGTCACAAATATTTTTTGATCCTTTTGAAAGTTTGCTATTTTTGTTATTGACCTACATAGACAGGTGATTTGAAAAGAATTATTGATTGATCTGTAGGCAGCAAGGTAACATGCAATAGAAGAATTATTGTGTTTTGGAGGACTATAAGATCCATTTATACACAACATAGATAAGTATGAAAAACCTTTTAATATACAAATTTGTTTTTTATATTATTTATATATTTGTATTTTATATTAAGCAAGTTTACTTTCTCTCTCTACTAAATTATCTGCATTTTTTTTTTCTTCAGGTCATGGAGGAGGATGGGGATATTCTGGTCATTCAGTTGAAGCCATCCGTTTCATGTCAGATACAGATATATTATTAGGTGGATTTGGACTCTTTGGTGGCCGTGGGGAATACTATGGAAGAATAAAGGTCAGTCACTTTTTTTTTTTTTGTTGTATAAGTGAAGGTCGCCAACAATTGTAAAATTCCTCACAAATCTGAAAGATTTAAATAGTTTTTAGTCATTTGACTCTCACTCCTGCAATAAACAAAGTAATAGTCCTGGACTTTTAGAGCAAGAAATTGAACTATAGTCTTTGCCTTGTGAAATACAATCTTTTTAAAAAATCATTTCACTCCAAGCAAAGCAATACACTAAGATGCAAGGAGTTTTTCTACATACCATGTCCCTTCATGATATTAGGTGATCATGTCTTTCCACAGCTTCCTATTGCTTGTGGTTCTTACCAGGTTTTCTTCCTTTACTAAGGCTCTTGCCATCCTGTTCTGTGATCCTTTCACACATGCTTATTGGGTAAGTGCCTTTTCCTATCGCTCTTGCTCTCAATATGCCCTGTGAGGGTTACGTTTTCAAAACCTTCCTTCATCTTTATTTGTCCAAGGAATTTCAGATTTTGTGTAATTTACTGATTGTGAAAGAATAGGAGAAAAAGAAAAACATTATTTAGGAAAGAAAATGATAACAGAACAGGAATTAGGAAGAGAAAAGAAGGTAGACAAAGAAAATATAGATAAATATTTAAAATAACTGAAAAAAAGGCTATTTGTAAGCAGTCAACATTTGATGAGTAAGTAAAAAAAAAAAAAACCCAAAAAACAACAAAAAATGTTTGGTTAATTTTATTAATATTTTAATGCTTATTCTCAAATCCACAAAACACAATAAGAAGTGACTATAATAGTGATCATGGCTCACCACAACTTCCTGTCTGTTGTTGCTCTAAATAACTTTTGTCCCTTTGCCATCTTTTTTTGTCCCTTTTCTGGTCATGGGTCACATGACAGCCATTTAGTGATGTCAATTCATACAGTGACGAGAGTGGCCAGTCATTCAGTTTATTAACAGCAGCCAAACTGAGTGGTTGCTTTTTTAGCCTGGGCCCATATGGCGCTGTTTCCCTTTAGGAATATGTCTTTCCCAGATATAGAAAGAAACTCTATCGTGCAGTCCTCAATTTGAGAAAAACCAAGACTCACCATTTCCCCTCACCTGAATATGTCCTCACCTGTGAGGTAGCAGATGAATCCGGCCATTTTGAATCTGGTGTCCTAAGCATGATGGACTTCTATATTATATCTAAGACCCTTCCTTTTTGTTTCTCCTTACACTTTGCTTTGCCATGTAGATATATGTGATACATTTTTTCTCTGCATGGGATACCTGTAAATATGTATATATAGTTTTGTGTATGTCTTAGTGGTATAAAAGTCTCTCAGAGAACAAAGTGTGTTTGTCATTCCTTTTCCTTTCAGCCATCCATTCTGTCTGTTAAATGTAATATTATATCATAGATATAATAATGCCCATAATAGGGGAAATATAACTGGGAGAATAAATCCTTTTTCCTCTAGCTCCCTCCTGTTACACCATTATCATACAATATTCAACATCAATAATCCAACAAGGGCTGACATGTAAAGTCAAACAATCATTATTTTTTTTTTATCTACTTTTTATCTATAAATAAAATTAAAGCATTTGAATTTGCTTATGGCATTTTTTTGATACTATTTTACAAATTTAATTTTTTTTAATACTTAACTATTATTTGAATGTTTTTTGAATGTTGGATGATCAAAATGATGCATTGTTATTTCAACTGATTGATAAATGTGATTCTGTTTTGCCAATTGCAGTTGTTTGAATTGGGTTTTGATGGTGCTGATAATGAACAGGATGGAACATTGTTGGCTGAGACAGAAGAAATTCCCTTTGAATGTGCTGCCAGGTGAGGATCAGCTTTTTCATCTTGCGTGTTAGTCATCAACAAAGATCATCTACTAAAAACAAAGGATCTTGTTGTTGTAAAGAAAAGACTGTCAACTGATAGTAGCAACTGCAATAGATTTCTTCTGTTTCTTGACTGCAACACTTGTAGCCAAATCGCAGTTCAAACGATAGTCCGTCGTAACAGTCCAACAAACAAAGTAGAAACGACAAAATGGTGTCACACATCCAACCTTCTCACGAGCAAAAATGCATGTTCCACTGGCAGCTCAGAAAATCTTCTGCCTTTATAAGCAAAACACAACGGCTTTGATTCATCGAGAGATTTTTCTGATTGGTCATGCCATTCAGGGGAGGGGAGAACATTGAAGTAGATTTTTGCTAACTACTTTTTGTAATTTTTCTTCGGCAGATCGCACACAGAACACAAACTTTTTTTCGGGGTAAATGATTATCTCTTTCACTATACTCCCCCCTGTCACACAAGTAACACTCAGGAGCGGGCCTCTTTATTCTTGAGCTTCTCCAGAGCGGGGCGACTGTTGGATGGGATTGTGTGGTATGTTCTGAAGACTCGTCTTCTGAGGATTTCTCTGATTTGACAACCTTGGGCATAGAGTCTTCGCCATCTGATGAATGTTCTGAAGACTCGTCTTCTGAGGATTCTTCCAATTTGACCACCTCATGCACAGTCTTCGCCATCTGAAGAGGTGCTATCCCTACCTCTGATGGTTATTATTCGTTCACTTCCTGAGCACTCACTGCTGGTGTCACTTGTTGAAGTATCTGAACGTACATAGCGATGCAAGTCTTTTACGTGTCTTTCCCAGTGTGTTTTGCTGCCTTTGAATGAGCATTTCGCTCGCAGCCTTTATACATATTCTGGCCTTCCCCGTAAGAGTGTCTGTTATCCACTTATGCACGCATGCGGAATCTGTGAATAAATGCAACACCTTTGCATTCCATTGAAGGGCCGCAGTTACTCCTTTGATAACGGCGTCTAATTCCGACAGGTTGATATGTTGTGTATCCGTCTCGGGACGCAACCAACACGTGTCTTCCACGACAATTTCATCTATTTCAAGATTTCACACTCCTGTTGCAAGGGAGCTCGCGTCGACCCAGACGTCAAATTCACATCCGCCAACACACCATTTACCACGAACGGGGTCGTCTTGACGCACCCTGGTAATGACTTCCACTATCATGTGTCTAAGGGGAGCATCATCTGTTTTGTCATCCCAGCTGGAAGTGACAGCAGTCACCCTACGTTTGATAAATGCAGTGGCAATGCGGATGCACCTGCCCACGGGAAAATGTCCCACCAGCTTTCCACATAACGAGAACACTCTGCGTTGTCATGTGTCTGGGAATGTCTGGGAGCTTGCTTCCACGTTTTCAGTAAAGCATGTTGTGCTCCCCCCAGACCTGCAAGCCGAGCACACGTGCACTGTCCTCCAGTCGTTTTGGGTTCTTGCACTCGAGCCCAAAGTCCACAAGATGCTTTCTCACCTGTGCAGTGGGCACTAAGGTTTCATTGATGTAGATGTCGTCAGTGTAAGCTGATGTCGCTTGACGAATTGTCTCATCCCTGGACAGCACAGCATCCACGATGGCTTTCATAATGGCCGGCGCCACATTGAGCCCGAATTCCATTTGCGCTAAACAGTATCTCCTCCCATTAAGGATCACCGTCTGAAATGGCGGCAGTGACCGGTGCACGTATGCAGTTATGTTATCAGGCAAACGTCATACCAACTGTTCCAACAGGCCTCAGTGACAAAGAGGTAGCGAATCAGACTTGATATAGTGCCGCTCGATCACATATTCAGTGATGGAACTCATCCAAGTTTCTGTTTTACCCATAGGACTGTGCCCCCACGAGCTGCGACTACTATCCCCAAGCCGCTCCATCCAGAGCATTAAAAGCCAGTTCAAGCAAGGATATAAAAGTGATAGAAGTTAGGAGGATTTGAGATAATTATAATTAAGTAATTATAATTATCTCAAATCCTCCTAATTATAATCCAGTGTTTTCTGCATTCTGTTGAGGTTTCTTCTTGACTTGGTGAATTACTTAATTATAATATATATATATATATATATATATATATATATATATAATATATTACATACCTAATTACATATGTACATAAAGATACACACATATTTTTATGTATGCATACTGTATATGCACCATATGTCTTGATGCTTATACTCACACAGACCCATTTCTGAAATTCACTGCTAATAACTCAGTCTCAAATCCCTCTTATGTCAGTCATGTGTCTCATGTTGGAAATCATGGGTCAAGGCAAATGAAGCTAAATATGCTTATTGTTGAGCAAAATAAAATTCAAAGGTATGTGGATTTCATGAAAGATTTCTCAAGTTTTCAATGTGTGCATCACATGTGACTTGGCACACATCTAGTCAGTAGTCCAGTTCTTGTTCAACTGTAGCATTGGGACTTTCTTCACCCCAAATGTAAACATTATACTTGTTGACTTTGCCATTCATATGGAATGTGACATCATCAGTGAAAACAAGATTTTCTTCATCTTCTCTTAGAGTTTCTCTTGTATATCAACACAGAATTGCTTGCACTTTTGCTTTTCATCTTTAAAGCCTGACTGAACTGTAAGTTGTAAAGTGTCATTCATAAGTGTTTCTTTGTGACACACTAAACTGTCATTGGAGGAAACTGGGTTTCCTTACTTGTTCTTCTTATGGACTTCCTAGGGCTTAAAAGTGTTTCCTGAACCCAATTACAGAAAATACCTTCATAAATATATGGTCCATATATAATGTGTGTGCATCATTTTATAGATTCTGTGTATTTAGGCAGCAAATAGTTCTTTAAGACAAATATTATTAAAAATGGTAGACTTTAAGGATTGATTTTATTTATGGTTTTTTTGTTGTATGAATTTACTTTCAAGGGCCTATTTTTACTATTTGATTTTGCTAGTATTTTGGTATTTTTGTGAGTAGTTGTCTGATTTTACTATGATCCTTATGCTGCTTATTAATGTGTTATCTGATGGTACACTGGTTTGATAGGTGGCAAGTGAGTCTCCATGAGATTGTAGTTGTGGTATATACTATTTGTTTCAAGGATCATAAGTCTTTTTTTACTGATTGATTTTGCTAATATTTTGGTATTGTTTGTGAATAGCTGTCTAATGTTACTATGATCCTTATGCTACTTATTAATGTGTTTACTTTATATATACAACATTGGTGAAATTGAGACCTTCCTGATGCAGTTGTAACTTTGCTGGTCATGTTGCAAGGATTTTTGATGTCAGAATACTTAAGGTCCTCATATATAATCAGCTCTTCACTGTGGACAAAGGAACATTGGATGGCTGTGGCTCAGGTATAAAGACAAGCTAAAGAGTAACCTCTCAGCTGTCAATAGAAATAACTGAAGATATTTGTTCCAGAGTGGTATCAGAAATCAGTTTTATTGATTGGCTAAGAGACGAAAGACAGCAAAGAAAAGCATCAGCAAATGTTCCTTTTGCTATGTCCCGACATCCTTACTGTTACACACTATATGGACTTGTCACTAGCGGGACTGAAGTGTCACATATGACACAAACATAAAAACACTGAATGAAATTGTCGGATCCTCATGTCAAAATCAATGGGAAGATCCATTTTATATATATATATATATATATTCGACTCTCCTGTTGAATTCGACGTATGAGGGTCAAGCAGATCAGTTCCTAGGAAACCAACAACATCACATGAGATTTGATTATAGTGGTGAAGGTTTCATGCAGGACCATCCACACTTTTTGAAGGGCCGAATACAGAGACCTGGTGCACCATGTACCACAAGGTCCCCAAATGACCCTCCGCAGGTTTTGAATTTAGAGTTGTCCTTCTCCTAGATCAGTTGCCATCCAAGACTATAGAACCCAGTCTGTCCTGCTATTTACCCATAGCTGGAGGGAGAAGAAGAGGATTCAAACCTTTCCCAAGGGTATTAGCACGTAAGTGAATGTAATGGATTCAACTGGAATTCGAACTCAGCTCTTTGATTCCTCAATCCAAGCTGCTATCCACTATTCCATGCTTATTGATCCACCCTTATATTATTATTATTATTATTATTAATAATAATAATAAAGAAGAAAACAATAAAGATTCATTTTGGTTATAATTTATTTCATGAATAACTATATAGTCATCTCTTCAGATTGAAAGATTTTGGTCTGAAGTGATGAATATATGGATATTCGCAAATAAATTATAACCGAAATGAATCTTTATGATTTTCTTCTTGATTATTATTATTATTATTATTATTATTATTATTATTATTATAGTATTTTTGTATTTTACATTGAGCTCTCTCTGGATTAATATCCTCCTTGAAATTATCCCTACCAGCCACAAATGTAAAATAAGAGCTTAAATTTATACAAATAATAATAAACTAATGAATACAGTAGAACTCTGAATTTCATGCACATGGCTGTTATGAAGCATGGATTGAAAACTTACCATTGTAAAATTTAATATTAGTATTTTAACCTACTGTTAAGATAGAGTAGTACATGTTACCTATAAAATATATATATATATATATATATATATATATATATATATATATATATATAAAAAATAGATTTTTTTACCAATATATTGTAAGGAACTGCGCTGTGACAGTTAATCTTATATATGTCTGCTTCAGAATTATTATTTTGGACATTTTTGGTTCTGATCATATCCATAAGAGTTTTAGCTGGCATTTCAACTACAAAAATAAAATGCAATGCCAATTACCATCTTCCTGAATTCTGTTCCTTTATTGTCCTCTTCTCTACACTAAGGTCTTCTCATTCTCTTTCACTCCCTGTAACCCCATGTACCATAGTGGCATTATTGCCTTACTTGCTGATTATTGTGGTATTTTGTCCCTGCAATATCAGTTATTATTTGTAATACATGTATAAGCAACTTTTATATTCACTACACCCCATCATCCTGAAGTGTTACTGTCATCTGGTGGTCATGAGTTCAATTCTTGGATCTGGTAGTGATGCCCCAATTCAGCTGGAATGAAAAATAACTAATATAACAGGAAAAAAATAATATAATAATCAACAGGTATCCCATAACAGCCAGTTGATGGACACCTGATGATGACCAGAAGGTATTTGGTTGAAATGTTGTGTCTATAATAACATCTATGTTAACCAAGATGAGAAGAGTAGTTTGAAATAATACAAACATATTGACAATTAATCATCTCTAAAATGAAATACTAAATTTTTTATTTTTTTCAATTTACTGCAGCATTTTTAAGTAGCATGGTTGCCATGGTAACAACTTTTCATTAATTTTTTTTTCAATTGTGTTTGGATAATGCTTATGTAAAATGAGGGAAACGTCAACAAAAAAATAAAAATAAATTTCAACTTCCAATTGGTTTTTACGTATTCTATCTTATGTGATTTATATAGTTTAAATTCAGTAATCGAAGTTATGCTTGCTGACTTTATTTTTTTTTTTTGTCTTTTCTAGGGAGACATATGCAATGCTATTTTATGAACCGGTATCAATCCAAGCCAATATTTGGTATGTTGCCTGGGCCCGAATATCTGGGCCTAGCAGTGATTGTGGATCCAGTGGTCAGGCTGTTGTCACGACAGAGGATCAGTAAGTAAATAAAGAAAATCCTATTCTAAGATCGATTCAGATTTACTTCATCATTTGTATATAACTCGCCTTTTAAGTAACCTGCATTATCATAGGTAGGATTTATTAAACAAGTACTTGAATACATTCATTCACTCTAACCATTATATATAGGAAGTTATCAGTAAGCCTATTACTTAATGCTGAAAAAAAATAATTTATTTCATATAATAAATATTCATTTTTCAATATAATATCATTCTTTGTCAATATTGAATATTACTCATATTGATGGGTCATAACCCAGTAAAAATTTCAGATCAAAATTCAGCTTAGAAATCTAGGTCATGTTCCAGGCTTATATATATATATATATATATATATATATATATATATATATATATATATATATATTGGGAGGCACGGTAGAGTAATGGATAGCAGCTTGAATTGAGGAATCGGAGAGCTGTGTTCAAATTCCAGTTGAATCTATTGTATTCACTTACATGCTAATACCCTTGAGAAAGGTATTAATCCTTCTCATCCCCCTCCAGCTATGGGTAAATAGCGGAACATACTGGGTTCTATAGCCTTGGATGCCAACTGGTCTAGAAGAAGGACAACTCTGAAGAGGGTTGTTTGGGGATCTTGTGGCCCTTCAAAAAGTGTGGTTGGCCCTGCACAAAACCATCACCACTATAATCAAATCATATGTGCTGGTGTCTGGGCTGTCGGTTCCTAGGAACTGAGCTACTTGACCCTCATACGTTGAATACGATGGGAAAGCCCACCATATATTACAATGTGCTTTGTTTTTTGAATATTCAGTACTTTGTTTACAAAAGCCTGTTCATCTTGAAATGGGCTAAATACCCAGTAATTTACTGGAATATGTTTCGTTATGTACATACATACACAGCAATGTGTGTCCTGCCTAACAGAGGATCTTAGTTTACCTGTCTACATACACCTGTTAAGATAATGAGACTTGTAATAACTTGAGGCAAGCTTTTACAAGGCCAGATACTCTTCCTGATGATGAGGTATATATATATATATATATATATATATATATATATATATATATATAGAATAGAGAGTGAAAAGGTGCATAACCTTCTCCCAGGAAGTGGTTAATCATTGTTACTGTTATTTTTAATAATTATATTTTTATTTTATACAAAATTGTTAACGATTTGTGTTGTTATTAAAATTTAATGTTTTACAAACACAATCATGTGAAAAATGAAAAAAATTGTTCTTGCAGTTTTTCATAAAATCCTTTAAAGATTTAAAAAAGAAACATTGGTGTCAGTTTATGAAAAAGTCTTATTTTCTTTCTTAATTACAGGGTGGTGTTCAAATTCAAGAGTTCCAAAAAGTCCAACAATGGAACAGATGTAAATGCTGGGCAAATTCCTCAATTACTCTACAGGTAAATAAGATCCAATCAAAATTAGATTTTTATGACTAATTTTACTCTTATTTTATGATTATTGTATTATTATTATTTTTAATAATTTTTGATGGCATGACAAAGTGCATTTCTGACTTGAATAGCATGTTTGTCTTCATTTTTTTTCTTTCTCTTTTTAAAAGAAATCCTATACTTTTATCTTCTTTTCACCTTACGTTAATTCCTAAATTTTATTTGTTTTAATAGATATTGTGAAGTCATCTTTTGAAGTATTAACTTGACTGATTAATTTTCATAGAACATCCAGATAATCAATTAATTTTCATAGAACATCCAAATAATCAATCTAATTTGAAGGTCTTGTTGGTAAAAAATTTAATGAAAGCATACAGGACAGACATTATTATTAAAGAACTGAAGATAAAATAGGGAAAATAAAACAAAACTAAGAAGTAGTTTGATATGAAATACAAAATGGGAGTTGAAAGATGGAAGAAAATGAATGAGAAGTTAACTGGTTATTGCTCCTTACTCTTCAGAATTCTGAGAATAGTAAAAATTATTTTTGTGCACAATCAAGTAAAAAGAACATGGAAAAATCATTACTGTGTGTTAATAATATACTGAAAACTGAATATTTTATAGGAAAATCACATTGAGTACACATTTTATCTACATATATGCACATTGGATTAAAAACAAGAATTTCTTGTTCATTCTTTTTCAATTTTTCAGTATTTTTAATAACTCTTGATTTTTGGTGTATGCCTCTGTGCGTGTATATATATATATATATATATATATATATATATAAACATTTTTATGTTTAACATTCTTTTTATAGATACAAGTATTTAAGTAAATGCTCTGTTTATAATAAGCAGTATTAAATAACATTTACCGGCCTGAATGTCTGAGAAATTTTCATAGAAAATATTCGTCCTTCGACAGGATTCGAACCTGTATCCTATACAGAACTGACATATAGCCTGACGTGCCTTACTGCTCGGCCACAAAGGATCGTTCGGTTGGCAAGATCAAATTTACTGCTTATAAACTTCAACTTTCCATGAATCTCTCACGTACATTCATAACTGCTCATGGTGTATCAAATGTAAACAAATGACGTCACACATTATGAAATGGACAATTATTTAAAGACATTTCCTTATAAAATAATTTAACTTTTCCATTTCTTGATAATACTGAAGATTGTTCAAAATATTTTGCAAAAAAAATGGTCTGTCTAAAAATATTGAATTTTAATGATTTTGTGAAACATAAAATTAATGTAAAAAAAAAAATGTTGTTTTTGTAGATTGCCTTCTCCAGATAGACAAACAGTTCCTCGAAAGTCTGAATATATGGAACCAGCTCATGTGCTAACCCAAGACTTCAGTAGAACAGTCTCTCCAGTATGATAAGTTGTTCTTATTTCTCTTATTTATACAAAGCTTATGTTATCAAGATAAATGACTTGCAAAACTCTCTAGCACTCAACCTGTAAAGATAACATTTTTGTCAGCTTAACCTTTGTGTCTGACCCCCCCCCCCAAAAAAAAACTGCGTTTCAAAAGGATGTTTTTTTTTTTTTTTGATACTGCTATTACTTTAAATTACCAAGTCTCTGTCTGTGCAAAATGTTTTAGAAGATTATAAAAGTATGTGAACTAAGTACAATGTGATATTTAGTATTTAGCATTTTATAAAGATTTCTTAGTATCTATCTATATTTCTGAGATGAGTTATTATGTACACTATTTACATTGCTTGGACTATCATCCTCATCTTTGTTGCCATATTTATCACAACATTTTGGCTGTTGTATGCTCTGGCACAGTGGATAAAGGTGTTAGATCCAGTGACAGGACCCAACGAGTGTGAGTTCAATACCTAGTTAAGGTGGTGGAGAACTTGAAGAGAATTAACAGGAGATAACTGATAACTGACATCCATTAGACATGGCATGTGGAACTAGAACAGTCTACCCCAACCAACAAAATAAATGCTTCAGTTCAACATTCCAACCACCGGAAGAAGGCCGGAGCGTACAACGTCCGAAACGTTGTGATAAATATGGCACAAAAGTTCGAGCAATGTAAAGATTTCTTATTTAGCATTTTATAAAGAGTTCTTATTTAGAATCTTATAAAGAGTTCTTATTGTTGTAGAGTAGCTAGCACCTGTTCAGCACTCTGCCAGATGGCCTGGCCCATAGCCTTAAATAGTCTACGATTAAGGACCTTCAACAGTTGATTAATAAGTTGATTAATATTTGGACTGATCTTACTTTGTTTGGCTATACAGCATTTGACCCTCCTCTATTCCTTGTAAGTTGTCTTGTTAATTGTTTTGTAACTTATTGTTCTGTGTTTTTTGTATGTATCCATTAGCACTGGATACTGATGCTGAATAAATATATTAAGCACTTATTCTTCTTTGTGCATCATTCACCTCAACGATACAACACTTATTTAGCCTTTTATAAAGATTTCTTATTTAGCATTTTATAAATAAATATGAAAACAGGTTTTTTATTCATTATTTTATAAAACTATCAATGGACTACATAACAAAAAAATTTGAATAAACCTGATTTTTTTGGACATAAGACAGTTTCTTTTCAAATTATTTTATATCTTAGATTACTTGCTTTAATTTTCCAATTTTTATGAATAAAAAAAAAATCATTCCATATTTATTTATTTCTAAAATGGTAAATAATAAATATTTCATTGTAGTTGGTTTGCACTTTTTATAATCTTGTAAATATAAAATTATTCTTTTAAATAAGCAATCTAATAAAGAGATAGTGTTTAATATCTTTATTGTAAATTCTTAAGAATAAAGAAAATGCATAAATCCCCTTTCATGTGTGTGGGCTTCATTAAAATTCTGATAATCACTTTTTAAAAAAAACATTACCAAGAGAGTCAAGAGTGTATACAATAATAGCAGTGTCAAGGGAATAACCATCCTTTTGACATAACATTTTTTGCAGGCATGAAGGTTAAACATTGCCTTTTTTTTATTATGATATTTTTTTATAAAAAATATATTTCCTGGAATAGATTATCATTTAGGTTAGCATAGGCTACAGCCTCGGGCCACTCAAGCTTTTTATGATTTTAATTTTTTAGATGTTATAACTTCTGAATAAACTGAAAAGATATCAATATGACAAACTCATTTATTTGACTTTGCAAGAAGCAAAGCAAGAAAAAGAATGTTTTAGTTTGTGTCATTGTATTTCAAGCAGAGGACCTGTTTGATATTAGTTCAGAAATTTTTATAAAGCAGTTATAAATTCAAAATAGTTTCATAAACTAAAATGATATCAATATGACAAAACTCATTTATTATGATTGTTTTATTGTTATAATGTTGGTTATTAAAAAACTATTATTTTACTATGGTTGTGTTGAAATATGTCTTAATTTGGTTAACAAAAATGTTAAAATGGTATTTTGTAAAGATTATTTTTAATGATATACAAAAGGTAGTTCTTCTAATTTATTTAAAGAATTTGCAATAAGTTTATTTCAAGCTATGTAATTGTCGCTGAAATATATCCTGAGTAAAAAAAAAATTCATGATGGGTGTGGGCAAGTTAGAGGGTGGCTTCATCTGAGAGTGACCCCATAATTTCATTAGCCTATGACCCCAAAAAGATCATAATCCAGCCCTGTATTTATCAAATATATATTATGTATTTGTTAAGAATGTTATAAGAAAAAGCATGATGTAAATTTCATTTTTCATTTTATCTGTCTTTTGACCAAGCCCAAGGTACAGGTCTTGCATTTAAGAGAGTTATCTTTCACAAATGATTGTCCCCAATATTGTGAAAACCTAAGGGAATTAAGTCCCACTGACTGAATTTTATTAAAGATTTTGTAGTTATGTTGTTTAAATTGTACTTTCTATTTCCCTAATTCTTTAATTATTGCAAATTGTGGTTTTTTTGTTGATATTTCTTGTTTGTTACTGTTATTTTAAATGGAATCAATCTTTATCTTTTAGGATTGCTTTGATGCCTTACTGAGTTTATTAGAATGGGCATGGTCATCATTCCATGCCTCAGCAGTGGAAGTGGACGGTCTAAAGGGAATCAGCCGGACAGCTGTTGTCTTGGACCTTCAGAGATTTGTTTACATCTGTAAAGCCTGCCTTCGATTGATTAAGATCTACATTAATGAGGTTTACTCAGATGGAAGTGAGAATTTTTTAATTGTTCTCTAACAAAATATTAAATAATACTTAATAAATTAATATTAAATTTATTTTAAATTTTTTTTTTTTTTTTTTTTTTTTTTAATGGGACTGAGAAGGGGGTCCTGGGTATGAGCTAAATCTACATCTAACAATGGAGTTTCAAATCAGGGACAGAATTAGGGTAGCCTGAACCAGTGTTTCCTCAGGATGATCTTTGGTTAAGAACTAGAACTTGTTTGCCTCCTCACCAGGGTTACTTTTTCTTTTCTTATGCAATGGGCACACTGGGAGGGTGTTGTTGTGTGTGTTGTTGTTTTTTTTGTGTTCATTGAATGATTACCATGAATTATAACAGGGTAATAGGAGGAATTACCATTGAATCACTTTTATATTTGTGTGTGTGTGTGTATATATCTCAGTGAGTGAAATAAAGGATCATTACTTATCACTTCAAATTGAGAGTGTTACTATATTTCTTATGAGGGTAAAATGGTTATTGCACTTGCTTCCTTTTTCTTATGGAAGAGCATAGAAGCTGTTGAACTAGAAGTTGTTCATGATTTCTTCAACACCAAAAAAAAACAACCTATGGTTTCTCCTAAAATGAGAAATTGGCAAGCTGATTTTGAATTCTATCTGAGTGCTTCATTCACTGTCTCACAAATACACTTGGAAAAGGCATGAATTCATCTCTTCTTCTTCCAGGTATGGGTTAAATAGCAGGGAAGAGTGGGCTCTCTAGCCCTGGTTGGCAGACAATCTAGGAGAAAGTCAACTCTAAATTGAAAGCCATATATAGCCTGGCATAACACATACAATATAGCCATCAGCAAGATCATGGAGTTCACAATAAATCTTGACTGCAGTAGACCTATAACTGTGTCTATTATTATTATCATTTGGACCTTAGATTTTCTTAAAGATTTTATGATCTTGTATGTTCAGCAGTTGAATAAGTTCAGTACATTCAAACCCTCGGTCATGATGACTTATGACTTTGTTACCACAACCAATGTCAGCTTCTGTTTTTGCCATTGAGTAATGACCTAGAAAAGGTACAAAAACTCCATAAAAGAGATGTTCATTGCCTGTCGTCAAATACACAATACTGATAAGAAAACAAGGTGACAGACAATTGTCTTTTATGATTCTGTCTCCCTTTCTAAGATGAAACTGGGTGAACAGATTATGCTAGAAGTAGTGAAGTGAGTGACATTTGAAAGTTTTGAATAGACTTTATTGTCATGAGTAGCCCAAATTGGCCCAGTTTATTTAAAAATTTCCCTGTTGGTGAGTTTAAGAATATATTAGCTACATCCTTTGCAAAGAGATAAAAATAGAAGCCATCTTCCAGATGGATACTTACAGACTCTAGTATAAACCTGACCAATGTTTACCTTTTTGAGTCTAGTAAAAATTGGATCAGTATCTACCTTTTTTTGAGTATGGTTCATACATGGCCTGTATTTAACTTTCTATTAATTCCTTGTGATTTCTTTCCTATATGACTTCAACATTAAATAACCTAATATTTGATATGTTGTTCAATTAACCAATCTGACCATTATTTTAAAAATATTTCAATAAGTTAGTGAAATTTCAAATTTTGTCATGCTGAGCTTTCAAAACTTGGCCAATTTGGTCAGCCTGCACTTAACCAGCGTTGAGAAAAGACGGGATGGTAAATCCTGAGTTTCATTTGAAATTAATCTCCATCTTCTTACTCCCCCCCCCAAGTTATTATGCATGGATTTGTCTCATATTGGACTTACTAATTCTGACCAGGCCTTATTTAGATCTATGTTTATGAACTTTGACTGCTTCAACATCAGGAGGATCTAAGGTCAGAAGAAACAGACAACCTCTTTTCCAGGATGATCTATTGGCAGTGGCTTTCAAGAGATCCAGCATTGTGCAGAGGCTGTTATGCTGTGTGACATGCCAAACCATGCCATCTTCCAATGCTTAATAGTGTCAAAGAGAGATTCATGTTGGCTTACAAAACTTTTGACCTTGCTTCATACAGGGGTCATTGGTTTTGTGCACTCACTAAGAGATACAGAAATGCATTCTCAAGCATTTCTTTTTGAATGCCTGTATCCTTTTCCCTGTCTCAGCCAGGAGTGTCAGTTTCAAACTTGTAGAGGATGAGTGATATGACTAGCAATTTGTAGAGCTTGAAGTTGGTATGAAAGCTGATGTTGCTTTTACTTATCCTTTTCAGACTGGCCAATGCTGCTGTGGCTGTGGTGATCTGTGTGCAGATTTCTGGGTTGCAACTACCATCTTTTGAGTGGGTTGCTCCCAAGTATTTGAAGCTGGACACTTCAACCAGTGGGTTTGCCATCCATATTGCCATTGGCACTGGTGTTGCTTGTACTATTCACCATTACTTTGGATTTTAATGCTAAAATATCAACCTTAAAAAATTAAAAAAAAAAAAATCTAATTTTTCATGTTTTTATTTTTTCTTTAATACATAAAAAATGTTTTTAATGTTCATACATAAAAATGTTCTTAATGGTCATAATTCTTTCCTTTTTTTTTTCTTTACAATTCTCACAACAGTTGCTGGTCGAAAAAATGTTCCAGAGAATATGAAATTAGCTGAAGGTGTTGGCAATTCTCGGGATCTGCTGAGAAAGATTTTGGCAGAAGAGGTTCGTCCATCCAAAGTGAGAATTTTCTTACCCACTCCTCCTACCAGTCCAGAATTCCGACAAATGGAAGAAGAGATCCTTTCTGCTTGCCATGATACTTTCACTGGGTGCTTCCATGCATTCTACCCAACGGCCAATCTCAAGTGGCTTTGCCTCTGTGACTTGCTGGTCATGTTAGAACCGGTAAGTTGAAATTCCTTGCTGTCAATATTTAGGTTCATGTCATTGACTTGTAGGATTGGGTCACTTTATATTCGGTTTTGTTATATATGGCTTTATGTGTGTGTGTATAAACATATATATATATATATATATATATATATATGTAAAAGGGAACATTGATGTCAAAACTCAGAGGTGACAGACTATTCCATGCTAAATGCAATTGTCAGGCTATAACCAGTGGTTTATAGAGACAATTGCATTTAGTATAAAACAGTCTGTTACCTCTGAGTTTTGACTTCAATGTTCACTTTTATATTTACATATGCTCTATCTCTGATATTGAGCATTTTATCCCATAAATATAGCATACCTTAAAACTATACTTCTTTATATATATATATATATATAATTATTTTTAAAAAAATGATTCCTTCGCTACATAAGAGTTCTCATGTTTCAAAAACAAGAGCCAAAAACCTTAATATAATTATTAAAATTAAATTGAGTTAAAGTATCAAGCCTTGTTTCATCAAACGAAAATTTAGGAACCTAAAAAGGGGTTGTTACTTTAACTCAATTTAATTTTAATAATTGAGGTTTTTGGCTCTCGTTTTTGAAACATGAGAACTCTTATGTAGCAAAGGAATCATATTATAATCATATATCAAATGATATATCAAGAAAGTTTGTCAAAGATGTGTTTTTATAAGCAATAATTTGGACTTTGCTAACCAGAAAGTTTTCTGTGGCTGAATGTTTGACATCACGTTAAATCAAAGGAGAGTTTCTGAATAGGAAAAGCTGTCGGAGAATGCATATTTTCTATGAAATTTCTCAAACATTCAGATTGGTAAATCTAATTAATACTGTTTAATTAAAACAGAGCATTTCCAAAATAAGTTGTATCCTTAAAAATAAAGTATAAACAGAGAATATATATATATATATATATATATATATATATATATATATATATAAGAAAGAAAGAAAAGCCCACAAACGTTTTTGATTATTATGTGAAGTTTTTCATACATTATTTTGTATATTTTGCTACATGAGTTTCGGATCTTGTGACCCTCCTCAGGCAAAGAATAGTTAGTTAAATATATTATTTAAAGGAATGAGTTTTTTCTTCCTATGTTAAACCTTTTAACCATTGACTTTTGTGTAGAGTAGTCATCTGGCATCTGAATCTTTCTTGGACTGGCTGAAAAATGTTCTTCTGGTTAAGGAGTAATAAAATAATTAAATTTGGTCAGAGAAAGAAAGAAGGATGTCTTTGCTTTTATCTTTTTATATCCCCGTGTATCTTTTCGTGGTGTTTTCCTTCCTCTATTCTTGTATATTGTGTGTTCGTGTTTTTGCCAGTATGTATATATATATATATATATTCTTTCTCCATACATACATATTGCATTATTAACCTATTATAGTATATATATTAAAACTGAGAAGGTACTGTGATTAAGCTTTTTTTTTATCAAGTTTTTTCTTGTGATTTCTTTTCTCGACATAAAGTATGTAAGAACTGTCATTAAAAAACAGATGAGAGGATGAATTCTTGTCCACTCACTTGAGGAAATTTTTTATAATGCCTATTTAATATCTAAGCAAGCATTCACTTGTAAAATTAAGGTGGCAATATTTTCTATTTTGGGTTTTTTTGTATAAGAAAGTTATACATGCCTATCAAGAAGACATGTTACATCTCTCTGACTGTAACTCAATTAGGATTCCTGTCCTGGATACGACAATAAACTACATCCAGGTCCTTGGTAAGATGATAAACTACGTCCAACAGCAAAGCCTCTGATAAGGAGGTTTTGATAAGCATGGAACCACCTCTTAATTGCTGGTGTTCCCAGGTTCACCCAGACCTGGGGTGGTAGTACCTGTTGGGGCCCTGGCTATGGGCAAATGGTTAACCCCCAAACTGTGGTCAAAGCACTATGAAAGTGTAAAAATAGATTTTAATATCAGAAATACTTTTTTAAAAAAATTATTGCCAGCAATACATTTTTGAAGAAAAAAATATATTACCAGCAACAAAAATTTTGTTGGCATTAAATAACCCATTGAAGTTAATATGCCGTAAAACCAAAACAAACCAAACAACATAATCGTAGAAAATACAAATACAATAGCATTGTCTACATGTGTATAAAGAAATAAAAAGGCTAAAACTAATGGAAGTATTATAAATAATAATAAAAAAAAAACACTCAGTAACATGAAATATGAACATGGTCACAATGTGCTCGCCCTGTTTGGAAAATAAACATTGTCATCACTAGATGCATATAGAAAAATGTACACATTCAGTTAAAAATTAAAATAAAAAAACATCCTTGATAATGTCTAATAGAATAGCTGAAAATGTTCAGCTATATAGAGCAAGTAGACAGTTTTTAGACCAACTTTATGCCCAGAAAAGAAAATAGTTATAAGAATGCAAGAAAAATTGAATAAAAAAATTTAATCGCAGTAACTTGTCAGTCATCTTTAATGAAACTTGTATAAAAGAGGGTTTGCTGCCCAAATACACAATTCTATATAAAAATTTCTGATAGAGTATATCTGTAAAAGGACAATATGAATAAAGACAAAAGGAAAACTTATCTTAGCTGACATGTTTCATCCTCTTTCATTTATTAGACATTGAATTGTATCATCTGACTTGCGATATTTCATCTGTGTGAGAAGGGTTGTAGGTTGGAAAATAATTAGTCACTGGAAAGTGAGCACTGAGCAGCTCCTACCCCAGTTTCTTTTTTGTTTGTTTGTTTGTTTTTCTTTTGTAGATAAAAAAAAAATCCAATGTTCTTATGATTGAAATCATTCTGTCTCTTCAATGTAAATTTAGTTGAGATAAAATCCGTTTTTCTGATGACACTTTTTTCTCAGATTTGCTGATGATGGCTTTCCATGACTTCTTGTCTTTTGTTGCTCGAAGTAATTCTTTTACCCTTTACCATCCATCTCTGTCTCTCTTCTGCCATTCATTCACACAAATTGTTAAGTAGGTTACTTACTGTTTTCCTCTCTTGCTTTCAATATGTTTCTCTTTTTTTTTTTTTTTTTTTTTTTTCTTAGGGTATGACCAATATGGATGGCTATGGTCGTCTTCTTGCTGCCATCATGGAAGCCCTCACTCACCCTACCATCAAACTGACCAACATCATGCCCATCAATTGTGAACCTGAGACAGAGGAGATTCTTCGCAGACAGTCTATTAGTATTGATGACAACACAAACAGTGTGGCACGATTAGCTGAATCACATCGTTTTCCCCTGCTTGTTGATCACATGACCTATCGTACAGAGTTGGAGGGCATAGGCAGTGGACATACATCATTTAAGGAGGTGCTTGACCGACTGCTCATGATCAGCACCGTCCCTGTCCGCCAGGCGCTAAATAAGGAATCTCCCAGTTACCCGCATGTACTGGTATCAAACACCTGTGCCTTGCTATTGTGCCTCATTAGTGAGCTTGCTGCCTCCGCGACTGGGTCAGAGGTAAGTTTTGTCATTTTTTTTGCTTGGACTAGATTTTGGACAAAAGAGTTTGATGTTACAACCTAATTCCGTGAAATGTGATATGTTGTTTGTGCTTTATGACCTGATGCTCATTGTTTGAGCAAGGATGGCAAAAAAAAAAAAAATGACTACCTATAGTACAATAAAAACTCAAAAGACTCCACATTGAATCCAGTTCTGAAAGTGAAACCTTCCCCTAATTCATAGTCCTGGAATCTGTGGTGAACAATTATGTAGAAGCAAGCAAGTGTACTATAGTTAACATAGGTACCTCCACAAGATCGCTAAAAAAAGAGCATAGCATGATGAAAAAAGGCGTAAACAGCGAAAACAAAATTTTATCATCTAAATGTTTGTTATTCATTAAGAGGAAAGGTCAAAGTATTTTTTTAGGTATTTTTTTCCATTTTTTAATCGTTCCTAGCACGTCTGAAATTTTAGTTAAAAATCTAGTTTTTTTTTGAGTCAGCAAAATTGACCATTTTTTCCATTTTAAAAAAATGGAAATCTGACTTTGAAATTTTTTTTAAATATCAATTATCATTTTTTCAAAACTTATTTTAAGAAAATCAGAAATTATAATGTTTATTTAAAATATTTTGAACCAAACTTAGCTTTTGTGCCAAAAAGATGTAATTTGAAAATAAAACAAAGCAGGTCATAAACTTTTCGCGTCTCTTGACATGTGATGAATGATATATTTACAATTCCATGAGGCTAATTTGTTCTCGGAAGGAGAAAAAGTGAAATAATTAACATTTACGTGAACAAATTATTCACCCGTTATTTTTAACGAAAACTTTCAGTGGTCTAATTTTTTTTTTTTTTTTTGTTAGCTTTCACCTTTACGTTTATGATGCTTTATGGGAAATATATTCTAAAGAAATTAAAATAAAACTGTTAAGAGTGACATTAAATTTCATATTTCTTAAGAAAGGTATCTAATTAATTTATAGGTACCTTTCTTATGAAATTTTATCAGAATTGTACATAAAATACTATAATTTTATGTACATTTATTACATTCTACTGTTATTTGTATTTGCATTCATTTTATTATTAATTTTGATATTTCATTTATGGAAAAATGTCGTAACTGAGATTAATATAAAAATAAGATCATATAAATTTCATAAGATGATACTGATACTTGTAGGTAACCTTCTCAGTTGAAATTGAAAAATCAAATTAACTTCTCCACACGTGTTTTTTCAAGTAAAAGTAAAGGCCTTAACAGCGGAGAACAATGCTTAACTCAAATAACGCAACTTAATTATATTCTGGTTGGTCTTCTGTATTTTATAATTACAGCTCGATTATAAGCACAAAATTACATTTCTTAATTACTGGGGATCTTCTGATTAGTCAAAATGATACAATTTACAACGCACTAAAAAAGATCTATCTCATAAGGACACTTATGAAAGCCTGTGCTGACTTTTAACTAATTTTATAATATTTTAACAATTTAAATGTAAAATCTATTATAATTAATGAAATAACAAATAATTGTATTAAAAATTCATTTTTCATCGAAAAAATTTTTTTGCTTTCACAAAATATTGTCCATATTCATAAAAACAACTAAAAGCAAATAAAAGCATTTGAAATTAAATAATATCTTTGTTTTATTGAGTTTTGTATGTTACAATTCAGAGCTGATTTTCAGGTACTGGGTATCCAATTAAAACAAAAAAACATGATTTGCATTCCTCAAAGCCCTGTGCTTTTAATTATTGTAATCACTAAAACCGATGCGTCCAATTTCTAGTGTTTTCATAAAATTAGTTATGGGGGGTAATAAATATTTTTAAAAATATTTCTACCATGATTTTCATAAAAAAAACATTTATAATAATTTCGATCATCTGTGAATAGTTCCTGAAAGTTTCATTAACATCTGATAATTATTTCTATTTTTGCACGATTTTTCAAATTAATGTGTGTCATACCAAAAAACGTGCTAAAATTGTCTATGTTATTTACTAGTTCCCGCTGATACAAATAGAAACAAGGTTTTTTAATCAAAATTTAGAATTTTCTAAAAAAAGAAGGAAAATTTTTAAAAATAATTAAAAAAACTTTGGTCTTTCCTCTAAATAATAACATAAGCATTTAGACAATAAAATTTTGTTTTCGGCAAGGTTGGCGTCTTTTTCATCAAGCTATGCTCTTTTTTTAGCGATTTCGTGGAGGTACCTAAGTTAACAATTCTTAGGAGAGAGAGAGCATAATCTATCATGATCAGTAGTTGAACAAGACCAATGTGCTCAAACCCTCAGTCACAATGTCTTGTTTCTGAACAGTTCCGTCTACTCAATTTCACTTAGAAGGCTTGGGTCAATTTGTAATATGGTTTTCAGTCATTTTCCAGTGCTTCCGCACACTGGGATCTTTTCCCTTGGCTGATATTATCAAGAAGTTCTCTCCTTGATAAATCAACAAACTTAGATTCTAACTACTTGGCCATGTACATGTTATCATTTCTATATTTACAATTTTCTATGACTAATTTTTATTAATTTAGAAACTTAATTATTTTTTACATCCTGTTCTTTTTTGCCTTATGTATTCTCTTGTTCAGCAATTCTTTTCCTTTTTTTTCCACCAGTTGGATTTGACTAGCACATCTCGTCCATTGCTAGTCACTCCAAATCGCTTCACACGCACCATCCATGGTGCCTACTGGAATACAGGTAATGGCAGTCCAGATGCTGTAGCGTTTAGTGTTGATCGTCCTGGGATTCTGATTGCTGGCGTCTGTGTCTACGGAGGCAGTGTAGTCGGCGGACAGTATGAATATGAACTAGAATTACTGGATGATGTAAGTTACGTTTGCTCTCTCTTACTGATTGGTGATCTCTCTTTTTCAGTGTGCACACATTGGCTGTTCCTACTAGAATAACGTGATTTTGATACTTTTCATTTTTTTTTTTTTTTTTTTTTTATAATTCTAGTTTATAATTGAAATATGTGACTTTTTAAGAAATATATCCGTCTTTTTCATGTTGTAGGAAAAATATGAAAAAAAGTCATTTTAATAAAAACTGAAAAGCTTAAAAAAAATCACCTTTTTGTTAAATTTTGATTAAAATAAGTCTCCTTAATTTTGTTTAAAACAAGTGTCCTTACTATTAAATGTAAACATTTGTTCAATCTTTATTTTATTTTTGTGATGATGTTCACTTTGGACATGGCCCAACAGACACTTGAGGTAGTGGGTCACGGAGTAAGAGATATCACCCCAAGCAAGGTGATAAAGCCACCAAGACACAAAGGGCCACTGGATGTGAAAGAGAAGGAAAAAGCTTTAGAAGAAACAAGAAACCTAATCCTAAACATGAAGCAAAAGATAAACTTCTACTCCTATTCAAAAAACTGGGGAGGAGTGTGAACTGGACAGTACATGAAACTATCTCCTCTTATTAGGGAAAGGAAAAAAAAAGTGTAAATAGTAACTAAAATTCCAGAGTTTTAGGCAGAGATGTTAGAAGTATAGAGTTGACTTAGACTTTAGAAGGAACCAGAAACCCAATTCTAAACAAGAAACCTCTACTCCTGTTCAGAAAACTGAGGAGTAGTGTGAACTGAATGATAGATAAACCTATCTACTCCTGTTGAAAAAAAGAAAATAAATGAATAGTCCAAAGAAAAAGAATCATAATGTTTCTGTATGTAGCAATCAATATAGTTTCTGCTACCAGAGTAGAAATTTCTCTATGATTAGAATATTAATCTAATAAAATCATTAAAATTTTATACACAAAATAAGATACATTATTTACATTATTTGGACTATTGTCCTCATCTTTGTCGCCATATTTATAACAACGTTTCGGCCATTGTACACTCTGACCTTCTTCAGGTGTTTGGAATGTCAAAATTAACCCTTTATTTTGCTCACTGAGGTAGACTGTTCTAGTTCCACGTGCCATGTTTAATGGATGTCAGTTATCTCCTGTTAATTTCCCTCTGAAAGTTTTGCATTGCCTTAACCAGGTATTGAACTCACACTCTTTGGGTCCTGTCACTGGATCTAACCAACGCCTTTATCCACTGTGCCATGTCTCCTTAACTGTCAGTCATTATCTTCTGTCCTCTTAATTCCTGTTCTTTTATTGTTCTCTCTCCTTAATAATGTTCCTTTTTTTTTTTTCTCATACTCTTACTCAGTAAATCCTTGCATCTTAGTCACTTTACTGCCTTGCTTGGGATGAAATGATTAAAAAAAAAAAGGAAATGTCAATTGTAACATTTATTCACGAAAAATAACATTTATAATAAGAGGAAATTTTTATCTAATCTGTCTGAAACTGAAGGATTTTTTTACATTTCACTGACTATAAACTCATTACTATGCTGTGTCAGATGAAAAAGAGACTTGAAGTAACAGAAATTTGATCCTACAGAAGGATGCTGAGGATACCATGGACTGAACATGTGAGCAACCACAAAGTTTTAGTCTGTGTAAATGGATGGCAGAACAGGGTTTAGGAGAGATAACAAAAAGACAAAAATTTACTAAGAGCTATAAGGGACAGGAAATTGTGGAGAGCCATTATCACTAATATCCTGAAGGGACACTGCACATAGAAGAAATGTGCTATGTAGGCTTATGGAAAAGAAAAAAATTGAGGCGGAAGGAGTTACTAAAACTCTTTTTTCCTTGCTTCATTTGTCACAAGTTACCAAAAACTGATAACAGAATTTTTTTTAAAGTATTGTATTTGATACCTTATAAAACACCACCTTCTTGTTCCATTCTATCGCAGACTATTAAATATTGTATGTTAAATATTTCTGGAACTTTGTCCATCTTCCCTACTTGGTGATTTGCTAAGTTTATGTGGCACAAGGCCAAAAGCATAGGGTCCCCAGTGACGATTGAGCTCACTATTCATCCATGATTAAATTAGTGAGACAAGCCATTATGTCACGTTAACGTACACAAGTTAATTTTCTCTATTTAGCCCAGTTCAAAACAAGTTTCTTTTGGTGAATATATTTTTAAAATTCTGTTGACTTGAGCAAATGATTTCGACATAATCACAGATGCATTAAAAATTGTTAAAAATTTATAACTTGGGTGGGTGAAGAAACAGATCCACGTGTCTGCCAAGGGAAATGAATGCGGACTGGGTGAAGAAACAGATCCACGTGTCTGCCAAGGGAAATGAATGCGGACTGGGTGAAGAAACAGATCCACGTGTCTGCCAAGGGAAATGAATGTGGACTGGGTGAAGAAACAGATCCACGTGTCTGCCAAGGGAAATGAATGCGGACTGGGTGAAGAAACAGATCCACATGTCTACCATGGGAAATGAATGCAACAGATGCGTGCGGGCTGGGTGAAGAAACAATTCCACATGTCTACCAAGGAAAATTTGAATTTGAACTTGGTTTCCTGATTGCACTTTCTAAATTGATAACCATTATGCTACCTGAATATGCCTAATTTTATGAAATGATTTGTTTATTAGCTGACTGATAATGGTGATGATAATATTTTGTATTTTTCATTTTGTAGCAAAGTGAAGGTCACAGTGACCCAACCCAGTCGCATACCAGTAGATGGAATAGCTTGGAAATTGTGAAAGGCTCCTATGGCCCCGATGACTGTGTCAATGATATTGCAGAAATCAAATTTGATCGACCTGTTCCAATTAAGGTTTGTATCTTTCACCAATACAGTTGATTCTAGCTTGGTTATTAAAATCTGGTGGCATTTTTGTTAAAGATTTTGTGAATACAATTTAAAGTCCTATTCATTTTTGTTATTGATTGATTTTATCAAATTTACAATACAAAATCTACTGATTCAGAACTTTTATGTTCTATGTTAATGAATAAATTGATGGCAAAGTTTGATATTTTTTCCCTGTTGTGTGACATTGCTAAATTAGAAGGCATTGATTTTAATTTTCATGACAATAGGAATTGAAAATGAAGATGAGACATGATGTAGAGAAAAATAAATGATGATGAGAGGGGTCAAAAAGTATAGTGCGATGCTCGCCTACAGGCCAGCTCTTTTTCTTCTTCTTCGGTTGCCTCAAGGAAATGGATTGCGGTGGAGGCGAGGAAGTGTGGTTCCTAATGCCCCCGGTGTTGTTACGTGACAAAAAGTATTCTCTCTGTGTGGAAGGCTTGTTGGGCACCTCCCAGTGTGTGGTTGGATCCATGTGGCCTGTGGAATGCTCAAGAGGAGAGCAAGTTCAGTTACGAAGGGCTGGGACAATGAAATGAAGGATATCCTCCTCAAGCGCATGGATTCTGTGCAGCGAGATGATCCAGCCCGTAAGGATTGGCATGTGGATGGCTGGGAGCTGAATGTGTGGATTGATGCCAGTTCCCTGGTGATCGGAGTGGCATTAGAGAGCCATGAAACAGTGCTGGAGGACGCTTACTGGCTGCGACCTAAAGACAGCGCTCAACATATCAACCTGGCTGAGCTGGATGCAGTGTTGAAAGGTGTCAATTTGGCACTCCAGTGGCAGAGCAAAATACTACACATAAAAACAGATTCCACTGGGTATAGGTCACTCTGACTGGGAGAGCATGAGTGCACACCAAGGTGGCAAATGAAATGCTCATCAGGATGCGGCTGAATGCTTTCAAGGAGCTCATGGAAGAGTATCAGCTGACCATGGACGTGACACTGGTCCCATTGGCTCTGAATATAGCTGATCGACTGACGAGAGTACTACAGCAATGATTTGATGCAATCCATTTCCTTGAGGCAACTGAAGAAGAAGAAAAATAGCTGGCCTGCTGGCAAGTGTCGCACTGCACTTTTTAACCCCCTCATCATCATTTATTTTTTTTTTTTTACTACACATGAGCCAAAAAGCATAATGTATTGTATATTAGAAATATTACCATAGGTTTCTTTCTTTACCCCTTTATTTAGACAAGAGGACATTTAACTCAAACTGTGTCTCAAAAGTGATTCTAGTTATTTACAAAACAATACCTTTTTCTTTGGTATATACAATTTTATTATGGCCATTAAAACAGCTAGGATAAAAAAAAAAAGTTGTAATTACTATAAACAGCAAGTCAAAAAAGAAGAGAGAAAAATAAAAAAAAAAGTTATAATTACCCTAAATGACAAATCAGAAAGAGAAGAGAAAGGTTATTTAGGTTGCTGATCATGCTTTAGCCACATTGCTCAATAAATAAGTGAAAAAAATAGTAAGTTTGCTGAATTAATTATTAATATAGACATTAGGAAATCAATTAAATGTTTGTCTCATGTTTAGTTCTATGTACCTATGACCAGAGTCGGAAATTCAAGTGGACTTCATATAATGGCTTAAAGACCTTTAGAGAATAGATATTTTTCTGAAAAAACTGTTTATACAGAAATCTTTAGAGAAGTAAGAGAACTTCTATGACAACTTTTCTCTTTTCATAGGATGGATATACGGTTAGTCTTTTAAAATTGTAGACTAACAATTTTGATCAGTCAACAAGTAAATAATTATTTACATACTTTATCTGTATCACTAATTTCAATAAGTTTTGTTTATTATGTAAGTTTGATCTTCCTTGGGGATAATATATTTGAGAAATAACAAATCTTGTTTTCTTTCTTTGAATTTTTCAGGAAGGAATGAAATATGCAGTTCTTTTAAGAAACCATGGTCCCCGTACCCTGAATGGCGATGGTGGTCTGAGTAGGGTAAAATGTCCAGATGGAACAACTTTTACCTTCACTTCGTGCTCACTCAGTAGCAATGGCACCAACCATATGCGTGGACAGTTACCACAGATCATCTACTACAGGTGAGAAAATTCTTTTTTCTTTTGGAAGATTAATAATGAAAACTTTCAATTTTTAATGTAGAGGACTGTTTGTTATTTCATTCTAAGAAAAACCAAAATTTACTTATTGTGCTTGTAAAACAAGAAAGATGAAATAGTGCACTTGACTATTGTTTTTTATTGTTGTGGTTTCACCAGAGTCACCGAACAGGGTATTGCAGAAGAGGTGCCCCCACCCAAACCTCTGGAAACCCAATGGTACCTGTACAATGATTTATAGTCATTCCTAGCTTGAGCAACAATATCTGCTTATTGTGCTTGTAAAATCAAATAATGGGCATAACTATTGTTTTTATTGTATTTTGCTGTGGTTTCTCTAAAGCCACAAAGTTTAATGTGAAAAAGTAGGTGAGTCTAGTAAAATGTAAGATATCAAGATTATATAAATTTTGGTATACACACACACACATACATACATACATACATATATATATATATATATATATATATATATATATATATATATATATATATATATACATATATTATTTACATTATTCGGACTATTGCCCTCATCTTTGTTGCCATATTTATTACAGAGTTTTGGCCATTGTATGCTCCGGCCTTCTTCAGGTGGCTGGAATGTTGAACTGGACACTTTATTTTGGTCACTGGGGTAGACTGTTCTAGTTCCATGTGCCATGTCTAATGGATGTCAGTAATTTCCCTCTGAAAGTTCACCACTGCCTTAACCGGGTATTGAACTCAAACTCTTTGGGTCCTGTCACTGGATTTAACCCACGTCTTTATCCACTGTGCCATGTGTCCTTGAGTCTACCCCAGTGAGTGAAATAAAGAGTTAAGTTCGATATTCCAACCACCTGAAGAAGGCCGGAATGTATAACGGCCAAAACGTTGTAATAAATATGGCAACAAAGATGAGGACAATAGTCCGAATAATGTAAATAATACCTCATCTCAGAAATATATATATATATATATATATATATATATATATATATATATATGAAGAAAAATATATATGGAAAAAACAAAAAAAAATCCTAATATGCACTTATGCTGTTTTAATGTTAATATAATGTCAATGTCGGACGTTTCGGTCTAGTAGACCATCTTCAGGACATTCATAAAACATAATTAACATTAGACTATATTTAATTCAACATGAAAACAGAACGCTGATCTTGAAAAATTTCAGCTGTCTGTTTTGATTAGTCTTACTCTTATGTCCATCGTCTTTTCATGTTGAATTAAATATAGTCTAATGTTAATTATGTTTTATGAATATGTCCTGAAGATGGTCTGCTAGACCGAAATGTCCGACGTTGACATTATATCGACATTAAAACAGCATAATTGCATATTAGGATTTTTGTTTGTTTTTTCTGTATATTTTTCTTCATACTGTCGGATCTATATCCATATATTTGCAGGAGTTGACATGCCGTTAAATCCAACATCCATACATATATTTGCTTACATATATATATATATATATATATATATATATATATATATATATATATAAAATTGTGGATGCCTACTCAATGCATTAGGGCAGCCACTGCACAAGAGAACCTCACGCTCATTGGTACCTATACAAGTGTTTATAGTCATTCCTGGCTTGAACAATGCTATTTGCATTGATTCAATGACAAGAACAATTTATGATAATTGAAGACTGTGTTATATATGATTTGAGTTATCTAATAGTAAAACCCTGGCAGGGTCATTAATTGCTCACAGTGTTGGGTATTACTAAGTGCTTCCCAGATCTGGGTATGAAGATGTCTGATTAGGAGGTTTTGAGGAGTGTGGAACCACCTCTTAATCCACTCTGATCTGGGGTGGTAGCACCTGTTAGGGTCCCAGCTATGGACAAATAGTTAACCCCCAAACTAGCATCAAAACGCTATGAAAGTATAAAAATTTTTATAGCATAAATACCAGCAATACATTTTCTGGAAAAAAAAAATTACCAACAATGCATTCAAAAAAAAAAAAATTACCAGTACATTTTTGTAAAAGAAATGCTCCTAAGAAAATTAAATTTCATCATTAAATGACCCATAAGGAGTTAATATGCTGCTAAACAAACACACGCCAAGTGCTCCCTCACCTAAACACTAATTTCAGTGTTATTTTACTGTAATCACACACACACACACACACTGTTAGTGATGTATAATTTGCATACCATACCAATCCCAAAATGAGATAAAATTTTTACTTTCATTCAAAATTTGCAAGGAGAAATTTTCTTGTATCCTTACGTACCATAAGCACTTCAGAGCTCCCATTTTGAAGAAGAAATAAGCCATCAGTATTATAAAAAGTAATGATTATAATTGGTTGTTTCCAAAAAAAAGCATTTCCTTTTTTTTGATTTGAATTTCATACCAAATAAAAGCAACAACGGTTTGGTTTGATTTGTTTTATGACATATCAACCTCAATGGGTTATTTAATGCCAACAAGATTTTTATTGCTGGTTACATATTTATTTTTCTCAAAAATTCATTGCTGGCAATTTTTTACAAAAATGTATTGCTGGTATTAAAACCTATTTTTACACTTCCATAATGTTTTGACTCCCGTTTGAGGGTTAACTATTTGCCCATAGCTGGAACCCTAATAGCTGCTGCCACCCGGGCCAGGGTGGACCTGGAAACACCAGCAATTAAGAAGTGATTCCACGCTCCTCAAAACCCCCCTGATCAGAGGCCTTGCTGCCGGATGTAGTTTATCGTCATACCCAGGACGGAAAGCAACAACATCACTTGAGGACTACCAACAGCAGCAACAGCTAAAATGAATAGAAAGAGAAAACAGTGATATAATCAAGAGGTTGACATTCCACATTACTACAAATAAAATTTTAGTCAGGAAACCCACATCAATATTGGAAAGAACGATAACAAGTATTGAATTGGAAAAACCTACATTCCTGAAAAATTGTTTTAGGAGAAAGATTTTATAAATTTCAACTGAAAGCAGTACTGGCTGTTCGGTCAGTAAATGCCGAATGTTTCCTTATAGGGAAATGGCTAATATTATCGTTAGCATTACTTTTTTTTCATTTTCTCATCAGGAGTTATGACTGTATGAGGGAAGATTGTGTAGCACCAGTCTTTGATGTGAATGTTGCTGCTATTTCAGTCCAGTCTGTGTCTTATAATTTTAGAAGATGTAATTTTGTAAATAGGAATGACCGTTTTCTTTTAGCTTTGCAAAGTTTTTGTGACTTTTAATTCATTCAAGTTTTCTATGTGAATGGTTTGGCTTTAGTGCTTCACAGGATGGAGAGTTCCAGCAACAGCAGACGAAAGTTCTTGCTGAGATGCAGGCACGCAAAGATGCCATTGGAATTACCAATGCCATTTGCAGATCAGCAATTGATATTCTTCACAGGGCTCGTGGAATTGCACGTAAGATCATTTTTTATCTCTTCAGAAATAATTTTATAAAAGTATTTAAGCATGTTGGAATTTTTATTAAATTTAGAGAGATAAAAATGGAAACAAACAAATGTCTGTGTGTGAGGATGTATAAAAAAACAGGAAAATTTCTTTTGAGATAAAGAAAAGTATAATGAACTGTTATGTAATATCAGTCCTCCTATATGGCAAGTGAATGCTTGACAATTTCCTCAAAGATGATGAACAGACTTGAAGCAACAGAAATCTAGGTCTACAGAAGGATGCTGAGAATAACATTGATAGAACATGTGAGCGACAACAAAGTTTTAGAGAAAATGCAAACAAAACAATAAATACTTAACATCAGAAAAAGTTGAAACTTTTAGGGCACATATTGAGGAAAGAAGGCTTTGAATACTCACAGGATAGATTGGAAGCAAGAGTTGAGAGAGGAAAGCAATGTTGAACCTACCAAGTGAACTTGAGTAAATGAATGGCGGAACAAGGCTTAGAAGAAATAACAAAAAGATAAAATTTATTAAGAGCTACAAAAGAGAGGAAATTGTGGAGAGCCATTAATGCTAACATCCTGAAGAGAACTGGCACATAGATGATTTATTTATACAATGAACTTACGAAACCTAACTATGCAAAATTTGCCACATATACACTCACATTTAATTAAAGCAAAAATTTCTTTTGTTTCTTGTTTTCTATCAAAAACATTTTCTGATGTAGGATAATTTTGAAAATTCATTAGCATTTTTATATTTACCAAACAGTTTATTTTTAATTTTGTTTGAGAACTAAAATTTCAAGATGCATTGGTAGTGTAATTAATATCAGCACACACAGTGGAAATTGTGAGCTGAGTTCAAATTCTGGATTAGTCTATTTTTTTGTGGCCAAACCATAGTCTTTGTTATCATTACTGTTAGTGGTATTATATTATGTTGGTATTATTATATTGTAAAATAAAAAGGTTTAACTAACCTGGAAAATTATTCAGCAGATTTAAAAAATGCAAGAAAAAAAATCCAAAAAAGAATACTAGTTTAAAAAGTATCCAGAATTGCAGATTATATCTCCAAACCTATATTCAGAATGTTTAATTTTTTTTTTTTCTCAGCTGAAGAAGCAAAAGAAATTTTGGGTCAGTCTCCAATGTTTTCATCTTTACTACCACTTGTCTTAGCCTACATTGGACCTGTTGCAACACAAGACCCAAGGGTGAGTTGATTATTTTTTAGTTTCTGTAAATACTTTAATCAATTATAATTCTTTCATATAATTTCATTGCATTCAATTTTTTGAGCATTCAGATAAGTTATCATCCTGATTTTTAATGTTTTACAAAAACTTGATGATGTGAAATTTTATGTAGTTAGATTAACTGCAATTTGTATAAAACATGTTATCCTTAATGTGTGAAATAAGCTGCAGATGTTAGTCATTGCAAATATACTAACAGACTTTTATTAACTGGCATCAGATGGTTACTAAATGTCTATGGGCCATATTCATTGGTTTTGTTCCATTTAATCTTTATTTAAAAAAAGACTATTATGTAAATTTTTGTAACTTTGTATAATGTTTATGCATTACACCCTAATCTTTATTCAGTAAACATTTCATTGCTAATCATGCATTACTTTTTAAGTAATACACATATTTATGTCTTTGTTGTTTCTGTTCCTTATATTATGGCCGCTAATGTATATTTATTATTTGTATGTATATAATTTTGTAGCAACTGGTATATAAATTTTTAGATACCACACTCGATGTCTTAGTTGTTCACAATAATGACTCTAACTATAATTTTGATTAAAAACAAAAAAAACAAACTACTTTAAGAAAGCAAGTAATTTAGGATCAAAGTGTGTAGAATGTACTTTGTTTGATCATCCACAGTAAATTTGTATTTAGTTTCTTAGAACATTTCATCTTTCTGGGCAGATCTTCTATTAATCACAATGTGGGATACTTAATGACAAAAGTGATAAAAGCATAAACAAAAAGAAAAATAAGCTACATTAAATTGGTTAATTACATTTAGATTTAAAAGTTTAAAATTTCAGTGTTCCGCCATTTCTTTGTGCGCATATTTAGTTACATCAATGGAAATATCACATTCATCTCTGATGAAATCCTAAAGGATGAAATGCATCATGCACAAATTTATTTTCTACTTTGTTATTAATTTCCCTAATGTATACAATACACATACATAAAACAATATATATATATATATATATATATATATATATATATATATATAATAATGAAAGCCACGTATACTTTCTTAATATGTATATATAGAAAAAGTTTCAAATTAAAAATTGTTTTATTTTATGAAGTATTTATTTATTTATATATATATTTGATATTTCAAATTGTCCTCAATTTTCATCAGAAATAACTTAATTTTTTTATTAAAATAAATTAAAATTAATTTTAATTTGATTTGTAACAAAAGGGATAAAAATAAATATCAAATAATATAAATATGTAAAGATGAAAATATTGTGTATGTCAAATATTTGTATAAAATTAAAAAAATATTATATTTTTTAATTTGAAACTTTTTTATATATATATATATATATATATATATATATATATATTATATATTATATATATATATTATATATATATATATATAATTGGTCCCAACAAACAAGGAAATGTCAGAATTAGCCAAATGCATTTTCATTTTTGTAAACTAACTAAACATCCAATTTTTGGTAATTACAGTTTGACAGTACTTGGATTGAAAAAAAATTAACTTTGTGAAGTATACCAATTTTAATTCTGACATAAAATAACTTAGTTGGTAAAAATTAATAAAAAGGTTAAACAGACAAACCTTAGGTATTATTTTAAAAAAAATTCTTGCTACTTATATATATATATATATATATATATATATAGTTAAATTCCCAGATGAATTCTGTGGACAAGACAGATTGGTATCAAATGTAACTATAACAACAAAAACATTTCGATTTCATTTTTGCTTTGAAAAAGTCGGAAGATGAAACGTGTCTGCAAAATGTATGATTTTTTCCAATTGTCATTTGATACCATATATATATATATATATATATGGTATCGAAATAAAAGTATAAAATTTAATATTACAAGACATATTAAAAAGTATTAAATAATAAAAAAAAACTCAACAACAAGGGGGGCAAACCCGGCTTCCCCCCTTTGTTGAGTTTTTTTTTTTTTTTTTTTTATACTTTTTAATATGTCTTGTAATATTAAATTTTATACTTTTTATTTCGATCATTAAATTTTGTGTACCTACAAAATATCTTTAAATATATATATATATATATATATATATATATATATATATTACTAATTTTACTGCTCATTTTGTTTGTTATTTTTTGAAGCAATAAAAAATTTATTAATATCTGTTTTAACACCCTTATTATATGGGCATACTGAACAAGAAGGGATTAAAATATGTGACATTTTCTCATTTAGTTGGGTTATACTGTCCATAGTAATTTCTATTTTTACTCTTAATTTGGTGAGATATATTGTATTTTGTCTTTTAATTTGTACTATATCTTATGTTCTATCTTTTTGTAGGGTGCAGTGCAAGTGTTGGGCCTGATCCATGAGGTGTTACCTGCTGTGGTGGCTATCAATAATCAAGGGTTGATTACCTCCTATGGAGGAGGTCATACAGATGCTGGGTCTCTGGATTCAGAGTTTGGTGGCACCAGTCAGCATTATCGTATTGTTGAGAGTGATCACCCATACAAACCAGCCAATGTTGCTAATTACAAGGTAAGGGTGGTTTGCTTAGCTACAACTTTGTGTTGCTAATTACTGGATTAATAAAGAAGGTTGAAAACTTAATATTGCTAATTTGTGATGTTAACAGCACACATGAGACATTTCTAATTTTGAAGGTTAGTTGGTTTCATTATGACATAATCCTTGATGGGTTATTTAATATCAATCTAATTCCTTCATTTACCAAATAGGTTCTCTCTCCTCCTACACACACACAAAATAGTAAATTGTAACCATTGTTGCAATCATAAGTCCCATAACCTGTTAGGTTTTTTGATTGACTGGTTTATTTTTTATGGCTTATCAACCCCTTGCAGGTTACTTAAAGCTAGAAATTATTTTTAGATTGTAAGAATTCTTTTGGAGGCGATAATAATGGTTCAGTGAGACAAGTTTTACTAATTAACTCATAGCTGGGGGAGAAGAGGTGGATTCATACCTTTTCCAAGGGTATTTGCACATAAGTGAATATAATGAAGCCAACTGGGCTTGGAACTTGGCTCTGTGTTTTAATAATTCTGAGCCATTATTTATTATACCACCTGCACATCCAAATATATAACACTTAGTATTTCCAAGTCTCACCTGTAATCAGTGGTGGCATCCTACCGGTTTGTATGAATTGATTCTTAACATTAATGAAGCTTTGCAAACCGATAGTTGGACTATCTGAAAATAATCTTATATATCAATTGTCTAGGTAAAATGTTAGTTATGCTATGCTCATGAATGTGCCTAATGAAAAAAAAAAGGTAAATATTCTAGTTTATAAATTTGATAGGTCTTCGATTGGATCATCATTGGGACTGCAGCAATTCAGTTTGAAAGTGGCTAAGAAACCATAAACACAGCTGATGACACTAGATTAAAAAAGCATGTTACTTCTGAACAGAGATATAAGAACAGAATTTCAATCTGAAAATATCTTAATAGATAAATGTTTAACTATTAAATTATCAAAATGGTTTAATTCTTTTTTTTATACTATAAAGTGATTTGTTTTCATTCTCAGATTGAAAAGAAAATAAGCAGATTAGGTTCCTAAAGGTTACCTGCCTTATAGAACCGGTCCTGAAATTTAGAATGATACATGTACTGTAATGTGTAATAGGTCTTTGCTAATATAATTGTCTAATGTGTAATGACTCATTGTTGAATATGTGTTGATGGGTTACAGTTTGGCATCATGCAGAATTGCACTTTCTTTCTCACCTAACATTCATTGTGGATTAAAAAAATGATATCCAATTATTTTCTTAGTTAATTGTTTTGTCACTTTCAGGTTCAGTTCACGGACAGTGTGAAGTGGATGGTGTTAGAGTTTGATGCCCAATGTGGCACGGCTCAAGCTGAAGATACTCTCCAATTGTACATCCCATGTCGATTCAAGGAAAATGCTTTATGTCCTCTCACTGGGCAAGAGGAGGAAGAAGACCAGCAACCAACATCGGTTCTCTGGCCAGTTTTGAAGAAATTTCATGGTAACAACTGGCCTAAGTCAGCTGTTGTTTTACCAGGTAAACTTTGCTCATTTGTTTGAAAAACATTTCTCTCATTTGTTTGTTTTTTCTTTACCTCATTCTCTTTATCAAAATTTATTTTGTTTTTCACTAACTTTGTGATTTTTCAGCAAAATATTCTCATTTCAAATGTGATGTTTGTTTGTAGGAGTCTTTGTTAATATAATGCAGCAAAAATGGCACATCATAGTGAGATTTTTGCTAGGACAATATTTTTAAAATGCTCTAACTTGAAGAATAAAGCAATTTCCAGTCCAATCTGAAATTTAATAATGTAGTATCCCTGATAATAATGATCCAATTTCGTGTTTTTGTTGTAAATGCTAAAAGGTTTGCCATATCTGTTAGTCCCAATCTAGTTGGAATGACTGCAAAAACATTGCCCTCCAGAAATTTATAGACAAATCATACAGATGTATGCTGGAATTTCTTCCTAGCCAATAAGCAGATCACTTCTTGGTCTCATCTATCATATTTCTGTTCTTGCCTTGAAGTCAGATGGCTATGATCACTTGTCTGTATCCCTTTTGTGTGTTAACACCATTTTTAGTTTGTGAAATTTTTTGCTTTGCCTATATTGTTTGCTTAGGATTATTTTGCTCTATTCATTTTCTTTCTTTATTGGAAACTTTTTAACTACATTTTTTGGGCATCTCTGTAAATTGCATTTTACCAAGGCCAATTATTCTACAATATCAAAATTGAAAGAAATAAATAAATCAAATGGTTATTAATTGCAGCATAAAATAATAGTATTCATGAGTATCTTTTGGGCCACATTGGTTGCATGGAGAGGAAAGGTGCCACATGAACAACTGTTGATTCTTCTGTAACAATTCTGCCTGAGTCTGTGTCCTGGAGAGGATCCTCCAAAGTTGCCTCACTGCAGTGAAAATGAAACAGGAAGTAGCATCTACCAGTTAAAAGTCTGTGCTCTATTTGGTAAATTTCATTACCATGATCAGCTGAATCAAAAAAACCTTCCCAGCTGTAGAGCCATGATAATTATAACATTAGCTGTTTACTTATAAGGAAACATTTGGCATTCATTAACTCATTTAATTTTTTAGGAAAATAGGTTTCTCATAGGTTTAGGGTTTCCTTCCTAACCTTTTGTTTGAAGAAAACAGTTGTATACAACTGACGGTTTAGGTATTTCTGAACTGGTTTGGTGCCTTGCATGATATCCATATCAAAGTCAAAATCTGATGCTACTTAAGCTTTTGAAACTGCCCACAGAGTAATTAATGATACCTTTATTTACAAAAGAGAATTTTAATTCTATATTTTTAAATAAAAAATGTTTTATTTTTATAAAAATAAACATTATTTCATGGGTATCATTAGTTTATACAAAAAATTAATTAATCTTACATTTCGTCTTCTGTTCCCCTACCACCATAAACATTTTCATATTTTAATGCTAATGATATTTTTTCTAAATTGTAAACATCTCTTTTCAAACATCGTTTAATACTAGACTCCTGCTGGTCAGGAATTAGAAGATAAACAAATAAAGCTAACTTGAAATTTTTAAGTGTAGGTGTTTTGTATTAATTATCATTTGCCATGTATAATTTTAAAATAAAATTTATAGTTTTAATGAAAGTTGATTTAATTTCCTTTCCTGAGGCCTTTATCAATGGGAAAGAGCTGTCAGTTTAAAGAAGTCTTTGTAATCTTATTAACAAAACAATTAATTAATTGTACAGTCATTGATCTTAGGGAAATTTTGTTCTAGTAGTGAATACTTGTTGTGGGATACTGGTACTAATTTTGGGTAAATATTTAGGCACAATGATGGTGCTGTAATCAACATTTTGGAGAGTAAATATTTTATGGGCTCATGGAAAATTTATCCCACAAACAATATTGGCAAATTCATTGCAAGTCCAGGTAAAAATGAGTAACACAAAACAGTATAAAACAAACGACTACTAATTGTATGTATTGACAAAAAGGAATTATGATTACAATAAAAAAAAAAAAGAAAACTTTTAAAGACTAGTTAAATGGAAAACCTTTAAACTAGAGAATATGCATTTTTGTGTAAAATTTTTGTTGGCCTATGTGATAGACGTGTGTGAAAGAGTTAAAACAAAAATCAAGACAGAAAACCTTGAAAATTAATGTGCCATAGTGGGGGACACTTTTTTCCATCTTATAGCCAGAAGTTGTGAAAGAGATTAGAGAGATAAATGTATGCTTTTTTATATGCTTAATGAGCGCCCCCTAGAGACATCATTTTTTTTTTTTTTTTTTTTTTGTAGCAAAGTAAACTGGGATAACCTCATACTCTCTCTATTGCAGGATTTAAAATTAATCTTTGCTGAATAGTTTGTAAATGTATCTTGTATTAGGATCTAAAATGCAATTCATTTTTATTGTTTAAGAATATGAGAACTATGAATATTTCCAGCATTTATTACAAATGAAGACAACCCATAATATTTATTACAAATGAAGACAACCCATAATATTTATTACAAATGAAGACAACCCATAATATTTATTACAAATGAAGACAACCCATAATATTTATTACAAATGAAGACAACCCATAATATTTATTACAAATGAAGACAACCCATAATATTTATTACAAATGAAGACAACCCATAATATAGTATGACTGGGATTCCTTATTTTCCGATATTCATTTAAAAAATAAAAAATATTTGTAATAAAAAAAATTTCTTTAATTCTGAATTTTTTAGATGAGGAATGATCATTAGTTACATTATTTACATTTGGACTATTGTCTTCATCTTTGATATTATCAATGTTTCAACCGTTGTGCTCTCTGGCCATCATCAGGTGCTTGTTGATCTGGATAATCTTTAAGGAATTTCAAACTGAACTCTTTTATTTTATGAGGTACATTGTTCTCTTTCAACTGTATATGCTTAGTGACTCATTTTAATCAACTCATCTATTGTCCTATAGTTCAGTTTTAGGTTCAGAATTATTCTGTGGGACAATAGTATAGATGTGAGTTCAATCCCTGGGCTGGGTAGTACATACTTAGACTCATTTGAAATAGGATGAATAATAATAATTGAGCTGTACTATACAAGGGCAAGATGAGATATCCCTAGATATGGACAGTGTATTGAACAGTCTACCTCTGTAGATTAAATAAAGGGTTAAGTTCAAAATTCCCTGAAGGTTAATTTGATTGAAAACTCATAAAGAAGGCTGGAGGGCACAATGGTTGAAATGTTGTGTTGATAAAAGCAAAGATGAGGACATTAGTCTGAATGTATTGGTTATTTAAAAATAATGTAAATAGTAAATAATTTTTTTCTTTCTTCTTTTGTATTTGATAAGTTGTGAGTATTTTTGATCAGAATTTACTTTATGGAATGTGAAAGGATTAACATTTTTTTTTTTTTTTTTGTTTCATAAAGGAAATGAAGTGACATTTTCCTTGGAAAGTGCCTCTGATTATGTGAAGGATGAGAAGGCTTGCTTTTATGGTTTCAAATGTATAGTGACTGGTTATGAATGGACAACTAGACCAGAAGAGGTGAGAAGCTTGAATATGTATATTCTTATTTTTTACTTATAAATTCTTTTTTTACATCACCATGATTTGTGTAAGTACAAAAAATTTGTGCAGGGGTCACTGAAGGTCAAAACAGTCACCAACATTAAAGAAGTTCACCTTGGCACCCAACTCTTAGCAGTTTATATAGACATCTGAGATGTCTACCATTGGTCAGATAAATAATTTGAATACCCTCTTGTTTTTTTTATTAAGGAGTTTGAGATAAACTCTGATTTTGTACAGGGGGCAGGTGATGCATGTGACATGAAGACACTTCATTCAATGAGACGAGTAACTGTCATTGCTACATTTTAAATTATTTTACCTTTACTTTGAAGAATATCAATTATCTTCGTAGCAAAAACAGACTACATTCTTTAGTTTCACCAGTTCAGACTTTCACATCTGGGACTTGCCATACCATATTCATGGCATAAAGTCATCCCAAACCTCCATCCATGTTGCCTTCATATTCCTCCCACAGAATTCTTACATTGTGGAATAGACTCCTGAGAGGATGCTTCCCTGACCACTACAATCTTAACCTTTTCAAGTCTAGGATCAACCCTGTATGTGTCTTACATATTTTCATAATATTCACTGTTTACTTCCCTCTTCTCCTTCCCTTGCATCCTTACAACAATCTCACTCAGTAACCCTCTACCTTGGCTAGCTCTTGGGCCTTGTATTGTTTGAACTAAAATGCAAAAAAAAAATATTGTTTGTATTTTGTGTCATCTCTGGATCCCCACATTATTACATAAATTGTTATCAACGAAAAGGAACATTTCTTTTTCTAATTCATTTTATTGGGAGATAGTGGTGGATTCTAAGAGGCAGTGGGAGGAATGATGTCATAGGAATGCATGTTGCACATTGGCTCAATGTCCCTTTGTTGGTGGTAATTCTTATGGCACTCTGTTGAATTTGTGCCATTTTGGACGTATCCAAAACCCAGACATTGTCAGAATACTCTGCCCACGAGACACTCTGGCCAATTGCTGACCATTCTAGCCTTGTCCTTTGCATTCTGTAACAATGCTCTAATTTCAGAGACATATAAAAATTAGAATTTATTATAAAAATTTAATTGAAATAAACAAAAAAATTGGAATTTTTCTTTATGGATAGAATGAAAAAAAGGATATTAAAATTCTATAGCACTAAATAGTAACTATTGAACATTAAATTTGTAATTTTGAAAAGAAAGTTAGCTTTTTTAATTTTAATACCTAGTTTCAATATTCTATCCAGTTTAAAATTTATTTTATGGTAATTGTAAATCTTGCTAATTAAATGATTTACCTACTTTATAAAAGGAATTGAATATCAAAATGTGAGTTTGAAAAACCTTTATTGTTGCATTTCAGACGACCTTACATTTGGAAAGAGAATTGTCCTACCTTGGTGGCATGTGTGCCTCAGCATTAATGAAAAAAGACTTAACACTTCCTGTTGGTGAGTTTTTCAACTAAAATCCTTCTTTAACTTATGCAGCTAATATAATTTGTATATTTGAAAATCAAAATTATCTTATTATACATAATGTGAAACTGAATCTTTATACTTCATCAGGTGCAATGTATAATTTTATTGTTGAAATTCTAGTTTGTCCAGGTCCACAAAAAAATAGAAAATGACTTTGACAAGTTAGCATTTCAGTTTAATTTATATTTCTTTATATCGTCCTTGGTATGATGACAAACTAAATTTGGCAACAAGGCCTCTGATTGGGAGATTGGAGGTTTTAAGGAGCATGAAACCACATCTTAATTGCAGTTGTTCCCAGCCCTGACTCATGGTGGTAGCACCTCTTAGGGTCCCAGCTATGGGCAAATAATACCCCCCCCTAAAAAAAAAAACAGAACTCTATGAAAGTACAAAAACACTAGCAAAAAACAATTACCAGCAACACCTACTGATAGCAAAATTACCAACAATACATTTTATCTATAGTTGAAGGCATACAATTGTTCAAAATATTTAGATTTCAGAATTAAATAACTGATAGGGGTTTATATGTCACCAAACAAAATCAACCAACCAACATGAAGGAACTCTCACAGATGTGCCGTCACCTCCCTCTGTCTTTTTTACAAATACTTTCATGATAACTGCTGCTCATCAAAAGTACAGAAGTGTCAGTCACCAGAATGTTTTAGTAATCTTAGATCTTAGTGTCTCTTGCCCCCTCACTGTGCTTTTTTATTTTACTGTCTATTGCCCCCTCACTGTGCCTTTTTTTTTACTGTCTATTGCCCCCTGACTGTGCCTTTTTTTACTGTCTATTGCCCCCTCACTGTACCTTTTTTTACTGTCTATTGCCCCCTCACTGTGGCTTTTTTTTTTACTGTTTATTGCCCCCTCACTGTACCTTTTTTTTTTACTGTCCGTTGCCCCCGACTCTTCCTTTGTTAATGTCCGTTGCCCCCCAACTCTTCCTTTGTTAATGTCCGTTTCCCCCTCACTCTTTCTTTGTTGATGCCCGTTGCCCCCTCACTCTTTCTTTGTTAATGCCTGTTGCCCCCTCACTCTTTCTTTCTTTTTAACCTAACTTATTTGAAACATTTACAAAAATAAATCTGTAATAAAAACTTTTATGCAAACAAAAAATTAGAATTTAACATATTTTGTTTTATATTCTTCAGGAGCTGAGGATGTTGAAGAGGATCTTGATTCTGTGGAAGAAGGCGCTCAGTTGGTTAGTAAACATTTCAATTTTTGTTTCATGTTTTTACTGAATAACATTGAAAGCAAGGAAAAAAAACATTGATGCTATATGATTCTTATTCCTCACTCACCTCAAGGAAATAGATTCTGGGGCTCTATTTCTTCGCCACCACACTGGACACTTTTCAGTTGAAAAAGTCAGTCGTGTCTCCTTCTTTTTCCTGTCAATCCACTCATCAGACTAGCAAATGTAGTCTGCCCCAAAAAACATACCCCTATCACTCTTAGCATCTTGCTTTTTATGTCTCCTCAAGCAGGCCATAATTTGCATATGTGCAAATCCCGTCTCATAGAGATGAGACAAGCACTCATAAATTGTTCCTCCAAGACTGGACATATTTTCTTTTCTACACTTTGCACGCAAGACACGTCCATGCTTGTTCCGATCTCCAGGGTAAGTCATTTCTTTTGTCACAACACCTATTACTACTACAGTAAACAACCAAATATATCAGAAATAGGATTCAATTTTTCATTTCTTGCCATGGCAACATCCTCACCTGTTATTTTCTTGTTAATATACAATGGCTCTTTCACAGTACACTGACACAGACTAGATCAAAATTAAACAATATGGGGTATGTGGTGTCCAGTTAGTGGCCTCAGTCTATGTTCACAGCGATAGTAAGATGACAAACATTGCTAAGAGCTACAAAGGATTGGAAGCTGAGGAGAGCAATGATCACACACATCCTTGAAGGATTATGGAATATAATAGAAGAAAATGAACAAGGATTATATCTGTTGGGTGTCCACAATTGTTGATTCATGTTATTTATGGATAACTCTGGATTTATTTTTATTTGCAATATTATAAATTATACTATTAATCACATTTATTTTTAATTTTAATCCTTTATTTGAAATAGTTTCAGGTGAATAACAGTAGTTAAACTTTTGTCACCTTTATTATTATTATTATTATTATTATTATTATTATTCAGTCCATGCATTGAATATTGCTGCCATATTTAGTCTGATGCTGCTACTATATATCTAGAGATTCTTGACAAAATTCAAAGAATTGATCATGTAATTGATCCTGACCTGGCATCTCAACTATACTTTCTCACTGTCATGATGTGGCTTACCTCTGTATTTTCTACAAATATTTTCATGGCAGTGTTCTGATGAGCTTTCGTCTTGACCGTATAAATTTAAGTGTGCTACTAGATTGGCAATTAGATCTCACTGTTTCACTTTTGAACTAGCTAGAGGCAACCATCTATTGTATTCTGATATTTTTTCTTGCCTGTGGAACTCCCTTCTGATTTTTACTTTTCTGCCACCTACAGTCTTCAAAAATTTAAATACTACATCAATTGACATCTGTTTTCCTTAGCCCTGTTCTTTATTTCCTTTTCTTCACTAAATTTTTCTCATTTATTTCCATTCCTTGTAACCCCCTGTATCCTAGCATATTATTGTCTGACTTAGGATGAAATGATTAAAAAAAAGTTTTTTTTTTTTTTTTTAAATGACCATCAGTTTACAAGAAAGATGATATATGTTAAAGAAGTTTTATTTTTCTGTCTTCAGGTTTTCAATGCTCATTCTTCTCTTCTGGATAAAGGTTTTGCACTTTCCCACCCCCCCACAATTATGCAGGCATTAGAAGGCAACTTACCATTTTGCTGGCAATCTAATGAAAGGGCTTTCCTCAAAGATTTTGTAGCTTGCACCCCAGGAACCAGTGGAGGACGTTTGGCACGGTATGTAGTAAAACATTTTATTTTTCAATCTGACATCTAATTTTTTCATGGCTTTTTATAATATTAACTTATAAAAAAGAATATGAAATACAATTTTGTTTTTTTATATTATGAAAAAGAATATGAAATACAATTTTGTTTGTTTATATTATGAAAAAGAATATGAAATACAGTTTTGTTTCTTTATATTATGAAAAAGAATATGAAATACAGTTTTGTTTCTTTATATTATGAAAAAGAATACGAAATACAATTTCGTTTCTTTATATTAACTTATGAAAAAGAATATGAAATACAATCTTCTCATATTATTAACAATTTTAACAAATCAAGTGAATTTGCAAGGTGAAGATATCATAATAGAATTCCATCTGCTGGGGCAATTCCTTAGTGGATTGGTATGGATCCTTCTGGATGAGTTTTTTCAATCAGTTCTCATTGCACTGAATAGGTCAGCATGAATTAGGAGTGTGAGATCAAAGTTCCTCTTCTTGAAGCCTGCAAACCATTTCTATACAGTTCTTTCTGTCATAATGCCTTCTCCATCTACAACTCAAATGTCACAATCAGCTTTGGTAGCTATGGAACTTTAATTGCAAGTGAACAGAAGCAGCTGTCATTTTTGTCTACTTGGCAATGCATTGTCATATGTTTGAATAGCAGTAAAATTCAATAAAATTTCAAAAAACGATAAACAGAAGTTGTAGAGGAAGAATACATCTGCAAAAAAAACAAAGCAGTATGGTGAAAATATTTTGCGTGTAACATTGGCGGCCGGAGGGGGACGAACAAATTTAAGTGACAACCCTTTATTTAAATAAAAATTAATTTTTATCCCTCAAATTGTTGGAAATGGAACTTTTAAAAATTTATTTATACAATGTCATCATGACCTGAAAATGAAATACAATTTTGTTTCTTTATATTAACTTATAAAAAAGAAAATGAAATACAGTTTTCTTGTTTCTTTATATTATAAAAAAGAATATGAAATACAATTTTGTTTCTTTTATATTATAAAAAAGAATATGAAATACAATTTTCTTATATTATTAACAATTTTAACAAATCAAGTGAAGGTGCATATTGGTTGGAAATTAATTTATTTTATTTATTTATTTATTTATTTTTCTTCAATGGTCCAGTTGGTTACAGCCAGATTCTTACATAGATCCTCGTCAATGTGAAGTTATCTATAACAAAGAGGAATTGAAATGTAGCTGGCCAGCCATCCTTACTGTGCTGACAAAAGACCAGTATGGTCAGGTAGTCCATGTACCTAACCTCAAGGTGAGTCATTCATGTTACCTGTCTTTGTCCTAATTGAAATCTGTACAGGTGAGTGTCATTGGTTTCCTTTGTAATGTCAATTTCAAAATTCTTCACATTGCTTAGTGAAAGGTTTAATTTTTAGAACAAAGGAAATGTGTTTCCAGTTTAAGACATAATTACAACTACTGCAGTTTAATGGATTTAGTTTGCTATTGCTCTTAGTGAATTTGGTCATTATGATGTGTAAAATAGTATCATATGATGTTACTATAGCATGGTTATGTAGCAATGTGGATGATTCCCTTAATACTACAGTTTTAACTTCTTTAAGTCAAGTGTCAGTCATTATTTATCATCCTTATCTTCATAATTTTCACTTCCCAATACTTTCTCTCACATTCATAGAACACACCTCATTCAGTTACACTCTACCTTGAGTGGCTTTCTTGGTTCAATTTTAGTAAATAAAAAATTATTAGCAAAAATGACAGGATTATTTATGTAGGAATTACTACTTCTGTTTTGGATCAGTGTTGTTATCTGATCTCAGGCTTAAAATATAGTAAATGTGAACTCTGTAAAACATATGTCAATCATTTTTAATGAAACCTGTATTAAAGAGGGAATATATATATATATATATATATATATATCTGTGGGGGGTTGCAATTTTTAAAAATATTTATTTTTAAAGCGATGCTATTAACACTTTCATTAGTGCCTTTTTATAGAATTGGCTGTACAGTCCTATTGTAGGGAAAATAAATGACTATAAAGTTGTTGATGGTGATTTCTCCTGGGCATTGCTATTTCGATTGGATACCTTTCAGTACAGACTAAATGGTGTCTCAATACACAATATGATAAAAATATCACAAAAGAGGTCATATTGTACACTACTATATATCTATGTTGGCTTGGATATGGTATTAAGCATTAGTTTATTGCACAAATACTGATGACTGACATTTCATGGTGTCCTGAAAATGTATATATATGTCAAATACAGATAATGTAAATTTCAGAAAGATGTATAAGCCTGTCACATCCTCGTGAATATTTGGGTGGTGTAATGGACAATAGCTCAGAAGGAGAAATTACGGAGCTGGGTTCATATTCCAGTTTAGGTTTGATAGATTTATTTTTGGTGGCAACAATTTAAATGAAGGAGAACTCTGAATTCCCAAACTGTATGTTGCCCTGATGAAGCAGCACATATACTATGCAGCTAAGGAAAGTATTACGGAGTTTACAATGATTCTATGATCCTGACTGCAGTTGGCCTTGATTGATAAATATGTCTATAGCAGCAGAAGTGTTAAAAAAAATTTTCAGTCTGGCGAAATAGTGGATTGGTTATCGAAATGGAAACCTGAATCTGCAAATAGTTTGAATTTTGGCTAACGCTGCTTCTGTTTATTTAGAACATATAAGCTTGAAGAAAAGAATAAAACCATCACACTTTGCACTGTTTCCTATAGTCAGATGTTTTGACCAAAAATGTCTCATCACTGGCATGTCACAATGGTGGCTGACAGAGAAGAGTGTGGGTGAGTGAGCAATCTCTATAAATACTTTATCATCTAGGCACTACTTTATTTAACTGTTATATCCATTGTTATCTTTGACTGGGGCCAGTTAAATAATAGTTATTATTGGTAAACAGTCCATTTTTAGTCTTTAAAAAAAAGCTTTTTTTTTTTTTTTTTTTTACTAAAGTTATGTTTTTTCTTTTTCTTCTCCCTCTTGAACCAGGTGGAAGTTAAAGCCATACCCATTGATCAGAAGGACTCTGTAGGAGAAGATTACAAGAAGATGAGACGTCTGAGTAAGCACGATGAAGGGGATATGACATTTGGGGGTCATGCGCCACCACCTCTGGATATACTTTACGAGGTGACTGTCAAGGACAGGAAAGATGTATTCCATTCCATCTGCATGATGAAGGTAAATACTTTTGCAATTGACCACAATTCTTGCCATCAATGGTACTTATTTTTTCTTTGCTCTATGACTTTCTTTTTATTTAACTTATTTTAGATTGTATAATATCATCTTTTTGTTGTTATTTTCACATTGTTTTGGCTGTTGTACCCTCCAGCCCTTGTCAAGTGTCTCTTAATCTGGGTAATCTTCAGGAGATTTCAAACTAAACTCTTTATTTCACATTAATGGCTGGCCACTCGTATTCAAGTATACCTGTCTGCTATGGTGGCTAGCTAATCCATATTACAGACACTTGCTCAGGCACATTTTTGTCTTTGTTCAACACCCTCAGAGCCAACCTGCAGTTTATACTGCAACTATGTTGAGCAGACCTTAGTTACAGTTTCTGGGAGAGAAGCGTGTTATCTTGCATGATCAACAATCTGAACAAGGCTAGCACGCTCAAACTCTTGGTCACGATGACTTGTGACTTTGTGCTAGCACAGCCATCGACGCCCCCAAACAAGAGTTCTGTCTACCCAATTTCACTTACAAGGATAACATCAAAAAGTCACCTTCCTGATGAATCAACCATGATGAGATTTGAACCTGGATCTCGAATTCAGAAGGCAAACATTCTAACCATTCAGCTATGTGCCTATAAACTCATTATTTGTGTTTAATTCTTGGTAATCGGTACAGATTCAAACTTGGTGGAAACAGGGCTAACAACAACTAAGCAGTACTAAAAAGAAAAAAAAGTTGAGATATCCATAGAAAAGTGCAGTAAAACAAGAACAATCTATTACTGTAGATTAAATAAAGTGTTCAATTTGAAATTCCCTGAAGGTTACTCAGATCAACAGCCACTTGCAGAAGGCTATACAGTACACTGATAAAGGAATATTGCTGCCATATCTGAGGGTATAAATTCCTCATTTTCCTGCATTGATAGAATTCAAAATCATTTTCACAGCCTTGTGGGTGATGACTTATTTCCAATTCTACAGCCTCTTTATCCACAAACTCATCGCTACTAATGCCATTTCCATAGCAAATGTTCAGATAAGCTCCAGTTCCACTAGTTCAGACCTTTACAGCTGCTTCCATGAGTCAACCTCATTTTCTTCATATTCCAAATGTAAGGACAACGTTTCACTCAGACAGCTTTTTCCCCATCAAGAACTGCTACTTTGTGGAACAGACTTCCACATGACTGCATACCTGAACAGTCCTTAACCTTTTTCGGTTGAAGTTCAATTATTGTCTATCCGCCTTATCTTCACTTCCAACCACATATTCTTACATTCATTTCACATGAAATAACATAAACCACATTGCTTGTGGTCTTTCAATGGCAGCAATAGCCAAAATGGATCTCGCATGTAACTCAAAGAGAAAATAATGTCATAATTAAGATGTTGACATTCCATATTACTCCAGATAGAAAATTAGTAAAAGAAACACTCCATCTTCCAATATTGGAAAGAGCAATAACAGTTACTGGACTTGAGAAAACTATTTGCATGAAAAATTGTTTTAATAGAAAGATTTTATTAATTTCAACTGAAACTAACCTGGCTGTTTACTCAATGAATGCCAAATGTTTTCTTATAAAGAAATGGCTAATGTTATCATTACTATTTATTAGTAACCCTCTACCTTGAATTGCTCTCAAACCTTGTATTGGGTGAAATTTAATACAAGAAAATGTAAAATTTAAGAATATATCCAGATTATTGTGTGTTGATTAAAAAAACCCAAAACAAACAACCTTTCATTTATTTTCTTTGTAGGCTTATGAGAATTACTCATTTGAGGAGTTACGCTATGCTGCCCCTGCAGTCCCACGCCCAAGTGAAAACATGCTGGTCCGTTCCAACAATGATGGCTCGTACAACTGCAACTGGACGCCTGGAAGTGTTGGATTTTACAATATTTATGTCACAATTGATAGCTTTGATACTGGTAAGGGGATAGAGAAAAAACCCCCAAAAAACAAACCTCTTTAATGAAATCCATATGTTGTGCTTGTTGAGAAATTGAAGATGAACGAGATTTGTATATCAAGAAATCATTATGAAAAGTGACTGAAATCTTTTGAGAATATGAAAATCATTGAAGATTTGTGTTAGTCTGGTACAAGAATAGTAATGGTAAGGCATTAGTGATAATGATGTCTTCATCTAACTAGTGACTTACCATTATGTGGGAGGTATTTCTCTCACACCCTGTATTACTATTAAAGACTAAGTACCATAATTCCTGGTGTATAATACACCTTCATCCATAATACGCACACCTAAAATTGTGCTGGAAGTGTGGGAAAACGCTTCTACTCATGCATAATACGCACCCCCTTGTTTGATAATCAAACCCTATAAATTGTACCTCTCCAATTTAATTCCTGGCAGCGTTTACTACTCTTATTAAAAAATGGTTTTAAACATAGAATAATATTATTCTAATTTAGTTTTATGATAATTCTTATTTTATTTTATGGCATTTTTTTAAAGATTTTTTGTGCATAATACACACCTGATTTTGCTTATTATTTTTTAGAAAAAAATGTGTATTATACATGGGGAATTATGGTACCTATTCATACTATATATAATCTTAGTACCTCTTTACACACGAGTCTTTTCAAACATATTAATATAATCTTAGTACCTAGTTACACTCTATCAAATCTATTAATACAATGTATAATGTTAGTCGCTCTTTTTTTTTTTTTTTTACAATAGTAAGTAAAGAGTTGAAGGATATTTTGTCTGATAAAAAAAGGTTATTGTGAGTTTCTGAGATGATTGATGTTTGTTACTTTGAGGTATTTTCAATCATTGATTTCATTTTTCTTTGAAGGGGATACATTTAAAGTGGAAGTAAAAGAACCCCCGCAAGGTGTAACTCCTCCATTACAGGCTGCAAAGAAATCACATCAGCCTAACAAGGTATGTCCTTTACTTAACCTTTAGCACTCTTCATTATTAATATTAGTTCCCTTTCTACTGCATTCTTTTTCAAGGGCTCTCAATTGCAATATGCTTATTGTTAATTTCTCTTAAAGTTGTTTTCTGTTGCCATAGTAGGATATGACAACACAACTATGAAATTTAAACACACTATTGTTCAGGGATCAGTCACCTTCACTGGCAGGATAAACTTTTTGTACAGCAAATGAAATCACAGAGTGATAAAGGTTAGATATAAATTTGCTCAATTTTGTTCTAAACAGAGTTTGTTTTGTCTCTAGCTTTGACATACATTGCTGTTAGTATTCAACAAAGATTTTGAACTACCGTATTTTATTGTGTATGATATAAGAAAATTTAACAAAAATTGAAGGCAAAAAAGTGGGGTCATATTATACACAAGTACACATCTTCCAAAATTTTTACACAGCTTAAAAAAAAAAAAAAACTTTTATTTCAAATAGAAAGGTTGTAAATACATTCAGTTAGCACAAAGGCAGGTGTTGATAACAATTGTTTACAGAAGGTGTTTGATATGTTGGTAATATTTGTTTTAGGGAATCAGAGTAATTCAACATGATTTGTGTCAAAGCCATGAAATTCACCAAAATTGGTGTAAAAAAAATTAATAAAGCGAATACATGAGATCTGTCATGTTTTGATAACATTAATTTTACAACAAAGGCCAAAGTATTCTGTCGAGTTATGATTGCCCATACACATTTTTTTTTTTTTCTAAACGTTTTATGCGGCAAGGCGGGAAGCCACTAGGACGCAAGGGGTTACAGAAAACTTGGAGCAAGATCAGATAGGAGTGATAGAAGAAAGGATGAGGAGAAGGATAGTGGATAGATCAAGGCAACTGGAGATGTCAATTGATATTACATTTGAATAGCTGGAGATTATAGCTCTCAGAGAAACTGGAATAGGGAAGGGAGTTCCACAGGCGAGAGGTACGAGACATGAAGCTATTGGAGTAGAAGAGATGTCTACATTTAGGAGTTTCGACAGTGAAGGGGTGAGAGTGGGATGCCAGCCTTGTAGGGCGCTTGAACTCATGAAGTCTGGGAACAATTGCCATGAAAGTATTTGTAAAATAGACAGAGAGAGGCAATGGCGCGTCTGTGAGAAAGTGACTGTAGATGAGATGCCAGAGCAGGGCCAATTATATTGCATATCCGCCTCTGGAGCCTATAAAGAACCCCGAAGCAAACAGAAGGGGCTCCAGACCATATATGGCAGCAATACTCCATGCAAGGGTGAATTGTTGATTTGTAGATCTGGAGAGAATAATTTCCTGGCACAGAACAGGGAGCCAACTTTCCTTGCAGTGGACAAAGCAATTGACTCAATGTATTTGTTCCATCTCAGGTCAGCCGTCAATGTGAGACCAAGCAGCCGCAGAGAGTTGCTCTCGTGAAGTTGAGCGTCAGACATTCTAATGGAGGGCAAGGAAGGATCTCTGTGGTGATTAATAGAGAGCAGTTTTGTTTTTGAAGCATTAAAGTTGACCAGCCAATTCCTGCCCCAGTTCACAACCGATTGGAGGCACGCAGAAGAAAAACAAATATAAAAATTGCTATAGAGTTGCGATGCAATGATAATAAAAGAAAAACTAGTCTTCTTTTTCTTCTAGATGTTGTGTCCCTCTCAGAACATTGGCAGTCATGGCTCTCCATAATTTCCCGTCCTTTGTAGCTCTTAAGGTTTTGTTTGTTATCTCTCCTAAACTCTCTTCTGCCATCCATTTACACAAGCTCATTAGGTAGGCCATGTGCTGTTTTCCCCATCTCTCTGGCTTTCAGTATATCCTGTGAGTGTCAAATTTTCCAAGCCTTCTTTCCTCATTATATGCCCTAGAAATTTCAACCATCTCTTTCTCATGCCAAGTATATTATTATTAAAACTTGTATCAGCACTATCAGGAAACTACTCGTAAGTGTTTTAATAGAGGATGGAAAGTGTGAAACTGAAATCATAAGGTGCATTGGTATAGTGAAAGATGCCTTCCAAAAGTTAAGCAAAGTATTAAAGTATCATTGGAAACAAAGAAAAGAGTACTGAACTTATGTAGTGATTGATTGATTTGTTTTTTATGGCTTATCAACCTTTTGCAAGTTATTTAAAGTCGGAAAATATTTTTAGCTATAAGAAGTTTTTGGAGATAATAATGATATGCTGATACAAGTCTATTAATTAATCCATAGCTGGGAGGGAGAAGAGTGGATTCATACCATTCCCAAGGATATTTGCATGTAAGTAACCTGACTGGAACTGGAACTTAGCTCTCTGATTTCCAATTCTGAGTTGTTATCCATTACACCACCCACACATCCAAGATTAGTATTCACAAGTAGTCACCCATCTAGGTACTGAACAACTAAGAATGACAAAAATTTAAAGAAAATAGAAACAAGAAAGATGCACATATTGCATCAGAAAGAGTTAAAATTTCTAGTGCATATAATGAGGAAAGAGGTCTTGGAAAATTAGACACACACAAGACATATTGAAGGCCTGTGGGACAGAGAAAGGCAGCAAATAACTTTCCTAACAAGCTTATGCAGATGGTTGGCAGAACAGGGATTAAGAGAGATAACAAAATGAGAAACTTTATTAAGCTACAAAGGACAGGAAGTTGTGAGCCATGATCACCCATGTCCTGTAGGGACATGGCACATAGGAAAAGAATCAGCACTCCATTAACAAATTGTTTAATCTTTAAGATTTAGTCAAAACAAGTGTGACATTCACATACAAATGAATGTCAAAAGGGGGATGTTATTTTCCTTTATATATGTAGTCATGAGTCACCTCGAAGTGGTGTAATAGTTAACAAGCTTGTCTTGCTAGAACAATTACGACTGAATAGTGAGTTCGATTCACACTGGGTGCTCGATACATTTAGTCTTGTGCCACATCTAAGCTACACTTGGAAAGTTACTATGTATGTAGCCATGTGGCACCAGTGTAAAATAGTGCCAATTTGCAAAACTCAGTTTTCCTCTTGAGCTTTTACATGGCAAACATGGTTGGCAGTAAGGTAGGAATTTCTGCGGTTTATTTCTCCCGAATTTTGACTCTATTGCATGCACACACATTTAATACCACTGGTATAAAGCGATAACTAGTGTACTGCAAAATATTGTCATGGCATATATATATATATATATATATGCAGCAAATAGAAAAGAACACGTTGGGTGCATAATCCGGGGTTCCTTAGTATTTTTTGTTTTTTATTTTTAAGAAGACAGTGCTCCATACAGAAGTAGAGCTTATATTATAATAATTTTTTTATTATTTTAAACAAAAAATATTATTATAATATATATATATATATATATATATATATATATATATATATAAAGAAATATAGTTTTAAGGTGTGCTATATTTATGGGATAAAGTGCTCAATATCTGTGGTTTTATTTCATAACATTTAAATGTATATGCTTTACAAATTTTGCTAACTATGCCAGAATATTTTCATTTGCTCTTAGGTGTGCCATTGCTTAAAAAAGGTTAAGAAACACTGTGTTATGCTTTGTTTTCCTTGTTCTTCCTTTTTGAGTTTCTTTGAACTTGCTTGTAATGTATTTTTCTTCTGAAATATGTCTTAATAGATAAGTATTTTGAATGTAAAGATATTTACATTAGTTTGAGAGAGGTGGACATAAAATAGGTTGAATCAAATCACTGTGTTTCTATTTTTATAATCATAAATCTATAATGTTTTTGTTAATGATACTTTTTTATGCAACCAATTCATTTCTGGTTTGGTTTAATTTTTTTCCAATACTCCCTGCCCCCTTTCCTTTTCGCACAGATCTACCCTCATGCAATCCAGTGTTGTAATTAATTTTTTTTTTTTTTTTTTTTTTTTTTTTTTTTTTTTTTTTTCAGATGCGTCGATTTGTTGGAAAAAATAGTGCTGGTCTCCGTATCCGAATCAATCCATCATTACAGAGTGAACAGATTGGAACAATCAAACCTGATGGTACCATTTCTTTTATTGACGAGGTAATTTTTTTGTCTTCTAACCTTCCCCTCTAAAAATATCCTCATCACTCATCTGGATCCGTGGTTTTCTTTAAACTAAAGAAGTCTAAATTTTGTTCTAATTGTCACTTTCTTAAAAGTTGTTTTTTTTTTCTTTGTTTTTTTGGTTGCTTGGAATAAATGTAGTTTTTTAAACTTTTTTTTATTCTTCCTTTAATAAAAATCTAAAGTTCAGAAAAAAAATTCTTCCTTTAATAAGAATCTTAAGAAAAAAAATGACAGTTCTGTTTTAATTTTTTTCTGTCTTAGAAATTTTGTTTCACTAACTTACAAAACATCTCAATTATTAAATTAAAGAAAATAATTCCATCACATGCTATATGTTAATTAAAATTCAAATAACTGCACCTAACATTTTTCCCCTCCTGGATCATATTTGAATTATTTTTATCAGATTTCTGTCAACTCACATTAAAATTGGAGTGAATGAAGAATTTTTATGTATTAGAATGTGTTCAACTGTTTCTCTTTTATTTAAACTATTTACATCTGAACTATTGTCTTCATCTTTGTTGTTGTTATCACAATGTTTTGTCTGTTGTGCCTTCTGGCCTTCTTCAGGTGTCTGACAATCTGGGCAAAGGAAATGTTGAACTAAACCTTTTATTTAATTTACAGGAGTTGACGGTTCTCGTTTCACTACCCATTTCTAAGGATATTTCTTCTAGTTCCTATTCTTAATGCTGCTGTTACTGATTGGCCTGTTTTCACTGAGTACAAATACATACAGACAACGTATATAAGGCTTTAGAGCAGCTCACATTCATATTTTGTTGGATACAACTTGGACACAAGGTACTTTGGCAATGTATTCTTCAGTGCCTTTGGAGCCTGAAAGAGAGATATTCACAAGACTTATTGCTAGAGTGCATCAGGTAAATCCTGAAAAAGAGAACTTGTGTGTTGGTGACTGTTTGGTGATGGTTGGTAGAATAGTGACCATTAGTTTTGACTGTCCATAACCTTGCATGAATTCATCGATGTGATAGATGGGAGATTCGTCTGATGAGACAAGTTACTGTCATATATTTTATTGAAATTATAAATATGAAGGAATAACAAACTTGATAGTCATTTAATTTCAAAATATCTTTTCATTAGGATATGTTTAAAATTTTAATTTGGTTATTATTTTTAAAAAAAATCATGTAACTTAATTCGTTTTTTTAATCACTGTCACTTTAAAAAAAGACAATGGAACAATAAGGACATTTCTCATGACTTGGATTGTTACCATGAATGTCTACAATGGGATACAAATATACGTACGAGTACGAGATACGGACATACGTACGAGTACGAGATACGGACATACGTACGAGTACGAGATACGGACATATCTGTCTGATCTGCGAGATACTGAATCGTCACAGGACATACGGACATCGTCTGAGTACGAGATCTGGGACATACGTCTGAGTCTGAGATACGGACATACGTGTCTGAGATAATCTGGACATCTGTTCACGAGATCTGACATACGTAATCTGAGATACGGACATACGTCTGGTTTCTCAGAGTCGTGATGAGATACGGACATACGTCTGAGTCTGAGATCTGGACATACGTCTGAGATACGGAGATACGGACATCGATCTGGACATACGCATGAGATACGGACATACGACGCTGCGATGAATATACCTCGGTACCCTCGGCGAGATCTGGGACATACGATCATTTGTACCCTCGGCGAGATACGAATAATTGCTGTTGTTCCCAGGTCCACCCTGACTTGTGGCGATAGCACTTTTTAGGGACCCAGCTATAAGCAAATAGTGAACCCCAAAATAAGACACTATGAAAGTACATTTTTATACAAAAAAAATTATCAGCAATAAATTTTTACATAAATAAAAATCACCAACAAAATACTTTTAATGCAAAATGACCAGCAATACATTTTATAGTAAAATTATAGCAAAATGACAGAAAATATTTTTTCTGTAGTTGATGGCATTCAATTGTATTCAGAATATTTAGATTTCAACATTAAATAACCCATAGAGATGTTGATATGCTACAATTCAAATCAAACAAAAAAAAAATGATTCATAGAATTAGAAAAGTCAATAATATAAATAGTTTTCATAAAACTAGACATGTAATACTAGCAACCAACTCAATCACAACTACAATTGAAAAGTATTTATCTAAACTTAATATAAAGTTTGTTACAATTACTTTAAAAGCATAAGACTTAATTTAGAAAACAAGCTAAAACCTAAAGCAAGAATTTATTGCATAGTCTGTAAAAAAAGACCCCAAAAAACTAAAGAAATACATTGGTGAAATATCTATGAATTTAAATAAAAGAATATATGAACACAAGACATCTTTTATGTAATGACATACTTAGTTGTTTTATTTTAATAAGTCAAAGAGAGAAATATCAGAATTGATGTCAACATTTTGAAAGAGAAATTGTGCAATGTTAAAAATGAAAATTTTAATTTCTCTGTTTCTATTTAAATCCAGATTCACAATGATGATGGTGTGTGGGTGAGACTCAGTACGGATAGTATCAAGGAGTGGTGTGTCAACGGTTTTACAGAAGCATGGTGCTTGCAATATAATCAGCATCTGGGCAAAACTCTTCTGGTACCAATTGAAGAACCAAAATCAATTCTTGATGAAATCATCAAGGAGACACTTCTGAGAAAATTACCAGAGTTTGTTCAGGACTCAAGAACCCGAAAAGGTATGTCAATCTATGTGCAAACTTGCTTCTCCCCACCCCCTTATATGTAACAAACCAGTATAATGTATAAAGTTATGCCTGATCATTTTCTAAATGTAAAAATTATAAATCATAAGATTATAAAAGGTTTTTCAGATTTCTGCTGATTTTAAAAGAAAATATCAACGTATTCATTTTTTGATTAACATAGAAACTAGATTTTAAGCAACATTGAGCCTGATCCGTACCTTGATGGGTGACCACTTAAGAATGTCAGGTGCTGTAAGCTTGGATGTTGCTGATTGTGTAATGGATAAAGGGCCACAAAATTGTTAATTGGAGAGCCGTGTTCCAATTCCCATTGGGTTTGTTATATTCACTTACATGCAAATACTCTTGGGAAAGGTATGAAGACACTTCTTTTCCCTCCTGCTATAGGTTAATTAGTAAAACTTGTATCGCTAAACCATTATCTCCAAAAAAAATTCTTACAATCTAAAAATATTTTCTGGCTTTAAATAACCTGCAAAGTGTTGATAAGCTATAGAAAACGAATCAATCAATCAGTGAAATACTGATTAGCTATACAGGTAAGTCTTCTAGATTTATTTGCAGTCTCTGGAATATAAATATATAGAAAGTACTTTGACCACAAAATGAGGGCTCAGTTTATATATAGGTGGGCCGTAGAAAATGAATTAATCAAACAAGTTTCATATTGAGAAATATTTTGGTCAAAATAGTTTCCTCTTCTTATCCACAAGATTCTTAGTGCATACCTGTAGCCATGGATGGATCTGAATTCTGTATGTATATATATATATATATATATATATATATATATTATTTAATTACATTGGATTATATATGAAATTGTATAATTTATAAATTAGGTACAAGAGATTAACAGAAATAATTAATAATAAAATAGTCTATTGCGACAGTTGTTCTACTTTATAAGATTACTGGAAGATTGGGTCTGACTATAGATCTTATTAGGCTCAATTAGCAACATATATATATATATATATATATATATATATATATAAAAAGCTAAATACATGTCAAATACACAACCACAGTCAACCTGAACAAGAAAATTAAATTATCTATTGCAAAAAATTTAAGACTGTTAACCCTATTAACAACATACCCATGAATTCAAAACTAGAAAGAACCAACATTATTTACGAGTTCAAATGCCTCTTAAGGAACTGTTTTCCTGATCAAACTAAACTCATAAATAATTTCATTGGTTACATATAGGTACCTCCACGAAATCGCTAAAAAAAGAGCATAGCTTGATGAAAAAGACGCCAACCTTGCCGAAAACAAAATTTTATTGTCTAAATGCTTATGTTATTATTAAGAGTAAAGACCAAAGTTTTTTTTAATTATTTTTAAAAATTTTCCTTCTTTTTAGAACATTCTAAATTTTGAATAAAAAACCTTGTTTCTATTTGTATCAAGCGGAACTAGTAAATAACAGACAATTTTTAGCATGTTTTTTTGGTATGACACATTAATTTGAAAAATCGTGCAAAAATAAAAATAATTATCGGATGTTAATGAAACGTTCAGGAACTATTCACAGATGATCGAAATTATTATAAATATGTTTTTTTATGAAAGTCATGGTAGAAATATTTTTTTAAATATTTATTACCCCCCATAACTAATTTTATGAAAACGCTAGAAATTCAATTGCATCGGTTTTAGTGATTACAATAATTAAAAGCACAGGGCTTTGAGGAATGCAAATCATGTTTTTTTTTGTTTTTAATTGGATCCGCAGTACCTGAAAATCAGCTCTGAATTGTAACATACAAAACTCAATAAAACAAAGATATTATTTAATTTCAAATGCTTTTATTTGCTTTTAGATGTTTTTATGAATATGGACAATATTTTCTGAAAGCAAAAAAATTTTTTTTTGAAAATGAATTTTTAATACAATTATTTGTTATTTCATTAATTATAATAGATTTTACATTTAAGTTGTTAAAATATTATAAAATTAGTTAAAAAGCAGCATCGGCTTTCATAAGTCCTTATGAGATAGATCTTTTTTTAGCGCATTGTAAATTGTATCATTTTGACTAATCAGAAGATCCCCAGTAATTAAGAAATGTAATTTTGTGCTTATAATCGAGCTGTAATTATAAAATATGGAAGACCAACCAGAATATAATTAAGTTGCGTTATTTGAGTTAAGCATTGTTCTCCGCTGTTAAGGCCTTTACTTTTTCTTAAACACGTGTGGAGAAGTTAATTTGATTTTTCAATTTCAACTGAGAAGGGTACCTACAAGTATCAGTATCATCTTATGAAATTTATATGATCTTATTTTTATATTAATCTCAGTTACGACATTTTTCCATAAATGAAATATCAAAATTAATAATAAAATGAATGCAAATACAAATAACAGTAGAATGTAATAAATGTACATAAAATTATAGTATTTTATATACAATTCTGATAAAATTTCATAAGAAAGGTACCTATAAATTAATTAGATACCTTTCTTAAGAAATATGAAATTTAATGTCACTCTTAACAGTTTTATTTTAATTTCTTTAGAATATATTTCCCATAAAGCATCATAAACGTAAAGGTGAAAGCTAAGTACAAAAAAAAAAAAAAATTAGACCATTGAAAGTTTTTAGATTAAAAAATAATGGGGTAAATAATTTGTTCACGTAAATGTAAATTATTTCACTTTTCTCCTTCCAGAACAAATTAGCCTCATGGAATTCGTAAATATATCATTCATCACATGTCAAGAGACGCGAAAGTTTATGACCTGCTTTGTTTTATTTTCAAATTACATCTTTTTTTGGCACAAAAGCTAAGTTAAGTTTGGTTCAAAATATTTTAAATAAACATTATAATTTCTGATTTTCTTAAAATAAGTTTTGAAAAAATGATAATTGATATTTAAAAAAGTTTCAAAGTCAGATTTCCAGTATTTTTTAAAATGGAAAAAAATGGTCAATTTTGCTGACTCAAAAAAACTAGATTTTTAACGAAAATTTCGGACGTGCTAGGAACGATTAAAAAATGGAAAAAAATACTCCAAAAATACTTTGATCTTTCCTCTTAATAATAACAAACATTTAGACGATAAAATTTTGTTTTCGTCAAGTTTGGCGTCTTTTTCATCATGCTATGCTCTTTTTTTAGCGATCTCGTGGAGGTACCTACATTACTACATACCTATCTAGGTGACTTACATTACACCTACCTGACCATAACTGCATTAGGACTTTTTTAAACATACACAAAATCCTACCAGTCTCCATCCAAAACATCTTAGTAAAAAATAAAAGTATAATAGCCTCATCCACATGTAAAAAACAAAGAAAAAAATTAAAAATAATGGCAGCCCTAATAATAAAAAAGGAAAAGCCAACACTCAATAAGTATGAACATGACCACAATGTGCTGATCGTGTTTGGAAAATGAAACATTCCTATAACTTAAGATACATACATAAAAACCCACATATTTATTAAAAAAAGAAAAATCACCCTTGATGATGGCTAAAAGAATAGCTGAAAGTGCTCGGATATGCAGAACTTTTGTAAAATTTTTACAGACTTTGTGTCCAGAAAAGAAAACACTTGTACAAACAGATTTACTGTCAAATTAGTTACATGTAACTCTCACTTCTACTCCAACATTTTCTTTTCTTGCGCTTACCACCTGTAGAACTACAATCTTCAAAAATTTAAATCCGATGTCAATCGCCATCTTCTATCTTCTTGAATCCTGTTCAGCTTTTATCCTTTCCTCGGTTCACCCTATACCCAGTTTTTTCTTTCACTTTCACTCTGTGTAAACTCCTTATAATAGTAGCATTCCTGCCTTGCTTGGAGTGAAATGGTTAATATATATATATATATATATAAAACCAGTTTATAACTGGTAGGATTAATTCCAAGGGGGATATTAATCCAGGGAGAGCCCAATGTAGACTACAGAGCATATAATAATAATAAAGAAGAAAACCTTAAATATTCATTTCGAAATGAATATTTAAGGTTTTCTTCTTTATTACATCTATTTATATATATATATATATATATATATATATATATATATATATATACACACACACACGCATTACATTGCAAATATTCTTTCACATACTTCTTACTAGTTCCTCCTTTCTTCCACGTACTCTTTCCTTCTTTCATCAGTCCGTCCTGGGTATAATGATAAACTACATCCAGCAGCAAGGCCTCTGAATGGGAGGTGTCGAGGAGTGTGGAACCACCTATTAACTATACTGTTGTTCCCAGGTTCACCCTGACCTGTGGCGGTAGGGTCCCAGCTATGATCAAATTGTGAACTTCCAAAACACTATGAAAGTATAAAAAATACATTTTTATAGTAAAAATACTAGCAATACATTTTCATAGTAAAGACATTTCCAGCAATACATTTTAGTAAAGGAAATTACTAATACTTCCAAGAAAATTAAATTTCAGCATCAAATGACCCATAAGGAGTTGATATGCCACTTGTTATGATGTTAATTTGGGGTTAATAAAGACAAACGCCAAATAACATGTAACAATAAAATGGGGTTTATTCGGTTGGTAAGTTGGTACAGATATCGCCTGAGTAGTCTATAAGTAACTCAGCTCAAGAACTTCTCCGACACTCTGTCTTTTGACATGCCACTATTTAACGTCCTTGTTTGTAGACGAGTTCATCTTCAAGAGGGGTGGTAGGTTCCTACACAACACCACTAAACAAACAAATCTTTCATCAATGTTGCCTCTCCAGAAACTTTCTTTCTTTTTTTTTTTTATTTGATGCACCTGAACTTATTGAAGTTTACCAACTATTGCTTTTTAATACTACTGTTTTTGTTTTAAATTTATTGATTCAATTGAAAAAAAAAAACAACTTTTGTTGTGTCAATTTAAAACTTTGTTCTGTCATAATTCTCAAAAAAAAAAATAGTTTCTTAATTGAACTGTGATTAAGTGTAGATATGGTTTTTGTTTTGAATGTATTTAATTAAAAAAAAATTGTTTTGTCAATTTAAGTGATTTAACATGATTAAAATTGTATTTGGGAATGATGGCAAAAAAAGAAGAAAAAAAAGAGTCTGTAGCCCTGAAGCTTAACACCAAAACTTAAGAAACATTAGTTAGTACCCATTGAATTACCCAAGGGTGCACCCAAATCTCCACCTGTGGGTCCTGGGGACTCACTACATTAAAAATCTAACAGCCTCACTGTATCTTGTTCTTGATTGGCTTGAAAGTATTAAGAGTGATAACCAGTTAGATCCTTTTTTTTTTATATTTTTCACTCTACCACTTTACAGTGAGTAATTTTTATTTTCTTTATCTTTACGCCATCCCACACTTTGCTTTATATATTTTCATATATATATATATACTTTGAAAATCTTTGCTTTTAAAGCCCTAATAAAACTTTGGACCCCACCTCCCATAGATTATTTATGGAAGCTAAAAATTAATTTAAAAAATCAAATTTACTAACTGGTTTCTTTCCATCTTTTCAAGTTTGTAACTGGAACATTTGTTAAGGGGTGGGGACTTCCATGATGGAGTTAGGTACAGAGTCCAAGTTTTGCTGGTCTACAATGTCTAGATAAGCAGTAGCCTACTAGATACCTCAAATTTACATATAAATTCCTCTCCCAATGACATTTAATATCACTGGTAGTCTGTGGCAGGGGTTGACAACCTACTGCAAGCAATTTCCAATGGCACACAGCCACAAATGATATCACAAAATCTGAACCAATAACTACTACAATGCAAAGAATAATAATATATATAATATATTGTAGAACAGGTATATTAACCCTGACTTGTATAAAAATATGTATGCTGTTGGCACACTGAGTGATTTTAAAACCCTAAGTTGGTACATAGCAGAAGGTTGCTGACCTCTGGTCTATGACATCTGGGTAAACATTAGCCTACTAGAAACCTCAACCTTGTATATAAAAATTAATCATACTCACTAAACTATATACAAGGTGTGTCAAAAATATTTTTACAAACTTTGGGGCTGGGTTCCTCACACCAAAATATGGACAAAACTCCTCATTTTTTAGTTAAGTTTTAAGTTTACTGTAGATGTTGTTAAATGTACAATCCAAGATACAATCCAAAAATATTTTTTATAAACTTTTGGGGTGGGTTCTTGACACCAAAACAAGGTAAAATGTCCATATAAACATATGTCCAAAAGGCCATCATTGTATCACAACACAGCAACTCATGATGAATATTCAAAATGTCCTCTGCTTGCTTCTACACATGCATGCACCCATTGGATCATTTGAAATACTCCCACATGGTGTTGAATAGTTTCACAGGACCCCCATGACACGTTGATGTATCATCTTGCATTATTAATGTCTGTTGCATAAAATAATTGTTTTAGGTCACCCCACAGATAAAAATCAAAAGGATTGATGTTGGGTGAACGTGTGGGCTATGGAACTGGTTCTCTCCTATCTATCCATCTAGATGTCAGTGTATTACGAACAGTGTGACTAAAATGTGCTGGAGCCCCATCATGCATGAACCACATGTGTCTTCATACTAGCAGGAGTAGCTCTTCTAGCAGTTTTGGAAGTGTGTTCAAAATAAAGTCCCTATAGACAGTTCCTATCAGACATGCTGGGAGAACATATGGACCTACTAGACAGTTGCCTACAATTCCAGTCCACACATTAATCATAAACTGATGTTGATGTCTTAGCCTGTATTGCACAAATGTTGGTTGTATAAGTTTGTTATTCCATCTCTTCCAAATGTTGCCTCATCTGTAAACAAGTTTGAAGAGTCAAACAGCTGATTGGGAGTTTGTGCAATTGTTATAGTGGAACACACCTATTCTATAGTTAATACACTCTCCCACCTATAATAAGTAGGAGTAGTAGGAGTCGCTCAGTGAGTTGTTCAGTCAGTCGATGCCGGACGACCGTTAGTCGGATACTAAAAGTATCAGCAACCATGACTAGATTTCTCTGCGTCGTACCTATTATATGAAGTTCCTAACGTTTTGTACGTCGAACCTATTTTAGGACTGACTTAGTACAAATACAAGCCTCCACTGTGAAATCACTCCATAACAGCAATAATCCATTGGCAAGAGTTCTCCTGGGGTAAGTGATCAGAGGGAGAAAGACCCTGCACACGTTGCAAATGATATGGCTACAGGAGCTGCTCTTGAAGTACCCTCCATGCAGTACTATGTACAACATACTAGGGCCACTTGATGTGTGCTGATACCTGGATTGTCTTCAACAGTCAGTAGAATGTGTTTTTTGTGGTCAGGTGTCTGAGTTGACCTCAGTTATCCTCGATTCATAATTTATGATACCACAGATCTTGTCTCAGCAACATGACAACAGCAGCAAAGGTTGGATGACTCGGCTGTCTTCGGTCTGGAAACGCAATCTGATACAGCCATGCAGCCTCATGGTTGTATGTAAAATTATATCTGCCTTCTCATGATATGAATATCCTGCACAATTATAAATGGAACACTTCTCATTTAACTCACTACTACACACGTTAAACATTGAAGACAGTCTAGCCTCAAGTGTACATGAATGACAAATGTAACCTAGTCTACATGGTAGCACAGCGCCATCTACCATAAATTTTCTTTAAACTTAATTCAAAAATGAAGGATTTGCAGACATGTGTTTATATGAACTTTTGTTCTTGTTTTGGTGTGAGGAACTTACTCCAAAAGTTTGTAAAATTATTTTTGATATACCCTGTATAGTAGGAACAATACTTTCTACATTTTATCAACATATATATATATATATATATATATATATATATATATATATATATATATTGTCCTTAATTGAGCTTTCAATCCACCACTTCATAGTAAGTATTTTTTCTTATCTTTGCTTTTTTTTTTTTTTGCTTTACATATTTTTGTATATATTTATAAATACTTTTAAGATGGCTGTTTTTAAAGTCCTAATAAAAGTTTGCACTAACCCACAGATTTAGTAATTTTTTATGATTTTATTTATTTTTTTACAATGATATTTTTTATAATACAATGATTTTTATTCAGTGGGTGGACCAGGATGTTATCACGTTATCAAGTGTGGTTCTTCTGGTCATAATATCCGGTGTCGACCGAGCAAGAAAGCCACACCTGTTGGAATGCTAGTTCTGGGCAGCCAGCTTACAGCCACAGAAGATGTAAGTCATTTTGTTTAGCATTTCTTTGATTGCTAGAATTTTTTTTCCAAGTCATACAAATTCCTGTCATCTTCTGTGATGATTACTTCAAGAGAGATGATTACAAAATAATTCTGTCTTTATTTGGCACAACTTCTTGTTAAACCTTTGGAGAAGCTCACCAAATTTTGTAGAGGAATAAAATTGTGGAAAAATAAGATGAAACACTTTCACAAATTAATTTATGTTTTAAAATATTCATAGAGTGGCATAATTACATTATAATTATAATTACAAAATAAAACCTGAAATATTGTCGGTCCTCTGATGATCCAAATTTCAAATAGTTTTTATTTGTATCTGTGTGTGTTGATAAAGTTCTTTTCTTTTGTGTATGCGAAATTTTAATATGAAATTATGTTTGTTGAAAAATGTACATTTATTTATTTTATTGTTTATTTATATTATTTATCGGAATGCTTATTGCCATTTGATTCCAACTTTTTAAAATGGCAAATAATAAGGATTTCCTTAGAGTTCACATATTTCAGTAATTTAGTAAATGTTTTTAAATTTATGAATAAAAAATCGTTTTCTTTTATTTTATTTATAAATTGGTAAAGGATAAATATTGCATTAGTTTTAATAGAATTAGTGATTAGAATTTTGTAAATATTAAATTATTCTTGCACATATACAATCTGACAAATAGTGTTTAATATTTTTGTGTAAATTCTAAAGAACAAAAGATTAATGTTAATGATTAATGGTTTAATGTTAGAATCTTTTTTTTTTCTCTGATTGGTGCTAATGTTTTTGTTGCTCTCTTTTGACCTTTGTAGACAACCAATCATGATGGCACTTGGGTGAAGCTAGATGCCGAAAGTATTTCCCACTATTGTGACTTGACTGAAGGAGAAGCGTGGTCTCTTGCTCGAGACAGAGAGGACATTATTTATTTGGAGCATGAAGCCAACATGGGATTCAGTGACGGATTTGGCAGGAGAAACCCATTTTCTTTCAACACTTTTCCTACAAATTCAGCCAAAGGATTTGACTTTTCAATGGCCCAGTACAACACTCTGCCAATGTTTGGACAGAAGAGTGATGGTAGGTTGGTTTTGTAAGATTTCTTGCCTAGATTAATTTATTGCTTGAATAGTGGGCTAAACTAAAATTTGGCCTCAGTAGAGGGATAAAAAAAAAAATTATAGCCTAAAATGGCATCTCAACTTCTGGGTACAAATTATTTCTTCCTAGATGTTGAAATGTGAGCCTTACATAAATGCTTCGTCATCATCTATGTTGGCATTTCTCAACCTTTTTACCCTTGCATAACACTTAAAATAAATTACATGTCTCAAGGAATCCCTGCATAAATTAGGTATTTCTATAAAAAAAAAAAAAAATAACTAGTACAGGTCCTGTTTGTTGAGTGGGCACTGATTAGTGAAGGTGGTTTCACACTGGTGCCATACAGACATCACTAAATATACTCCCAATGATTGTTATATTTTTTAATAACATAATAGGTTAGATAGGATGATGTCTAGATTACAATAACCAAGAATATATTGTCTGTGTTTAGTAATATTACGTATATGAAATTAAATAAAAAGTCATAAGTGCATTAGTTTATCTCACCTGTTCTTATGGAACCTTTGGGAACCTTTTACAGAACCTTAGGGTTCCAGGAACCCCGGTTGAGAAACACTGATCTATGTGCAGTGTCCCTTCAGAACATGCGTGATCACGGTGCTACACAACTTCCTACCTTTTTTACCGTTTGCCTTTTCACCATCCTTCTTACAGCCTGTTATGTCATTCATTTACACAAGATGCTTTCCTCTGTCCCTTTTGCTTTCAGCATGTAATGCAAGTGTCAAATTTTCCAAGCCTTCTTTCCTCATTATGTGTCAATTGCACTCTCGGTTGGTCAATTATGTTGACCAAAAAAAATCACGAAGTGCGCAAAATTTCTGTCTGAATGTCCATTTTCATAATAGGCTTTGATAGCTTTAACACATTGTTTGATTGTTAATCTTTCCATGGTTGAAATTGCCAAAAACTTAGGTTGTTAAATCTGAAAGAAAAAGAATCAAATCATTAGATGCTTAAATTTAATTCACATTTAAATTTGGTCCAAGTTATTGAAACATCCTTTATAAACACATTTTTATTTCTGTTTTTTCTAAAACTTTGTTGTTACTCACATGTTCAGTTCATAGTATTCTCATCATCTTTCTGTAGAACTACATTTCTGTTGTCTCAAGTCTCTTCTTTATCAGTGAAGAAATGTTTTGGTAATTCTGTATACAGAGAGTCTGAAACTCATGTGTTGATCATAGTTGGAATTGTTCCATTTCATTCCAATATCTATGTAAGTCTAGGTGGCAGAGTAATTACAGGTATGGAAAATGGAATTGGGAAACCAAGTTCAAATTCTGCTGTATTCACTTTTGCAAAAATGCCCTTGGGGAAAAGTATGAATTTGTCTTATCCCCATAGCTATAGGTTAAATAGTAGACTGCACACCTTAGCCTTGGATGGCAGCCAGTCTAAAAGAATGACAAACCATAGAGAACACAATAGGTAACTACTACAGTATCTTTCACAAGAAGTCTTAGTAGTTCACAGATAATAAAGGGAATCAACTCTTCCCTGAAGAAAAAAAAACCCCAAAAAACACCCAGCTAGAGTTTGGTTGAATAAAAGCTTTGTTGTATTTTATTACTAGTAGTTGTTTCCTTATAATTTTTATTCAAGTAAAACTATATGTAGATATTGGAATGTGTCATGCTAACCTGGCCTAGATAGATCACTGTTTCTACTCTATCCTCTATTACTATATAGACCACTATTCTCTACTATATTCACTATACTATTTCTATATTCAGATCACTATATGGATTACTGTTTCAGCGAGTATTATCAAGCAAGTACTAAAAGTGTGAGTGCTATTTGAAGGCATCTGACACTAGTATTGTTCAGTGGTGTACTATAAGTTGCATCTGTGATTATAAAGTCTCTACTACAACAAGCATTATGAAAGTGACAATGATTGCTTATTGACATTACAAAAGTGTTAAAAAAAAAAAAAAAAAAAAAGTGAACTTGCATTTTGCTACAAATGTTTTTTTCTTTATTCTGAAGAATGTTCTCTTGATTTTTTTCAGGCTTTGGACACAGCTCAAGTTGGCCTGCTCGAATGTTCTCATTTGGCCCAGCCAGTAAGTTAGAGATACTTTTCCTTTTACATACATTACAGTTGGCTATTGTAAATTGGAGTTTCGAACCGAACCTTTTATTTGATCCACTTGAGTAGATTGTTCTTGTCCCAGGTGCAATGCCTTTTCTGGATATTCAGTTATTTCTCTCTAGTAGTTTACGACTCTTTGGGTCAAGTCACTGGATTACTACAACCAATGCTTTTTTAGTGGATAATAGCATTGTGAGTTCAATACCTTGCCACAGCAGAGATGAACAAAAAATGCTTGGAGAGTAATATAACTGAAACTGAGATATCCAGAAAAGGCGTGGCACATGGATATAGAATGATCTACCCCAGTGGATAAAATAAAGGGTTCAGTTTGAAATTCCAACATATATCATCTGAAGAAGGCCAGAGCATACAACACCTGAAACATTGTGAATATGACAATAAAGATGAGGACAACAGTCTGAATGATGTAAAATAGTTACAATACCTCATCTCAGAAATATAGACAGATCCTGAAGAAGGTCAGAGCATACAATGGCCGAAACATCGTGAATATGGTAATAAAGATGTGAACAACAGTCTGAACAATGTAAATAGTGTAAATAGTTACAATACCTCATCTCAGAAATGTAGACAGATGTATGTATGTAGGTTTGTAAGTCTCTTGCGGGACACAAACATCACATGATTGTACACAGGGACAGGCAAGTTTCCAACATAGGTAGCACAGACAAACTTTGTTTGCCACATGTGTAAGAGAGGTTGTAAAAGTGGAGCTGGCCTTAAGAATCACTTATAGGCCCATAGCAAAGCATTAGCTTGGGTATAAATGATGAAAATAATAAAATTTTGAATGAAAAGCACAAAAAAAGAAAGCTACCAAGAGATGGTCTTCTGAAAAGAAGTGACAGTCAACACACTATATATATATATATATATATATATATATATATATATATATACACAATAAAATCTAAAATCACACAGACGAAGATATCGGTCGTCTGTCTTATCAACCGAAGTGTGGACTGTTTGTGTCAAAAATAGAAATTTAACTGTGAAAGCTAAAAAAAAAAAAAGGTTGAAAAACTAGTACAGAATTTATCCATTTCATTGTTTCAGTCCGTTGAAAGGCATGAAACGGGTCAGGGGAGGGTGGAAGGTATTTGTCTTAAAGGGAAAAAGTTTTATAAAATAAAACCCGAATATTTATCTTATGACATAAATTTGGGGTTATATCAAGAATGAAATATGAATTTAAAATAGGAATAAAAAGGGGTTTAAAAATAACTTTAAAATATATAGATAAAGCTATGTAAGGGATTAATGGAAAGAGAGTAGGAGAAAGTTTATAAATTATAATATAGTGTAAAGAGTTTATAGAGGGGAGAATATAGATATTAAAATTAGTTATACATTCAAGCTTTGAAGAGTTAGAGGGGGAATGAATATTATGGAAATATAGTAAGTAATTAAGTTAAACCTATATTGTGGAAATTGAATTTGTTTTTATGTTGACATTTTGTGTCAATTAATTTTACTGATCAACTTTTCCAAATTATAAATTATCTTTCTCAGACAAGGGGAAAATTTTTGCAGAAATTTTCCAAAAGTTCATTTCGGAAGAAATATGGCTTAAACTTTTGACTTTCTTAAGTCATCATCAGGGTAGGCAGAGGCAAATGGTGAGTGTTGTGTCATAGACAATTATATACGTAGTGTGGACATAGGTATCAATACAGGATGGCAACAGTTTATTTTATGTTTAGATGTAATCATCAGGTCTTAATTTATAATCATATATATGTCATTCTAGGCTAATCAAATATGTTTCAGTGGTAACATAGGGTGAGTTTTGGAAGATTTTTTTTCTGTTTTTATGGAAATGCACCTTATATATTGGAAAATGTTGTCTGTGTAAGCTCTCTCTCTCTCATGCACACACATATTAATAAATATACATTTTTTTCCTCACCAGTAGCCTGGCTCTGAGTTTCAAGCACAATACAATCTTCAGGTACTGAATTGAGATGTTTATTTTAAATACAAAAAGTTTTGTTTTTGTAACAACAATCCCCGTATAAAATATGGACTACCCCACCATTATAATAATCTGATATATTTAACATATTTAAATTATGTAATGGTTAGTCTCAATTTAGCACTGGAAGATTGCATTGTGCTAGCAATGAGGAAAAAAAATGTATATTTATTAATATATAATTTATAGCTCTGTTGTATTATATTGAACACTATTTTATAAATATCAGCTTTTTATGTGTAAGATATATAATATTAATTAAATAACATCGTGGCTTACCAGTTAACACAGTTATATCTGCAGTTCTTCATGCAAGTCCCCCATTTATGGGTTAAATGGTAAGATCTGTACCTAGAATAATCCTTGCTATCTAAAAAAGAAAAAAGAATTTTTTTTTTTTTTTCATTTCACCCTAGTAAGGTGGGAAGCCACTAGCACGCAAGGGGTTACAGAGGATTTGGTGCGAGAGCAGGTAGGAATGATAGAGGAAAGGATGAAGAGAAGGATAGTGGATAGATCAAGGCAACTGGAGATGTTGATTGACATTACATCTGAATAGTTGGAGATTATAGCTATCAGGGAAACAGGAATAGGGAAGGGAGTTCCACAGACGAGAGGTACGAGACATGAAGCTATTGGAGTAGAAGAGACGGCTACACTTAGGAGTTTCGACAGTGAAGGGGTGAGAGCGGGATGCCGGCCTTATAGGGCGCTTGAACTCATGAAGTCTGGGAACCAGCGAAAGCAGCTCATCGGAGCAATTACCATGAAAGTATTTGTAAAAAGACAGAGAGGTGATGGCACATCTGTGAGAGAGCGAATGCAGATGAGATGCCAGATCAGGGCCAATTATATTGCATATCTGTCTCTATTCTTATAATTCAAAATATGTTTCAGTTTTAAATAATGCACAAATGGTTGATAACCTGTAAAAGACAAATCAAGCACTAGTATATTAAAAATAGTGTATGGAGTGACTATAATTGAATAGCCAAATGAGAAGCTATTTAAACATATGCTAGCCCCAAAATATCCTTTTATGGAATGTTATATAAATAATAGCACATTGTCAAATTGTGTATGGTATATTAAAGTAAAATACATTGAGTGCCCATTGGGTAGGAATTAATAAAAAGTAGTGCTAGGAATGATGACAGATTTTGTAGACGATGTATGGAATAAAAATAATAATATCATAGCTGTAGTCAGACAAACTGTTAAATGGTAGATCAGAAGTGTTGGCTAAATGCCAGCATCCTATGAAATGCTTGCTGGGTTATTTAGTTCCAGATTAACAGAAAAAGAAAATGTTCAAAAATTCCTGCTCCAGTCTGAACTTCTTTAACTTTTATATATACTTCATTAACTTTAATTGCATCCATGTTATGCATTACTTTGAATATCCTGCTTACGGCGTCATAACCAGAACACATATAGGACACACATACTTAACCCATTCTTATATATTAAAAAAGACAAATCCACCAAAATGCAGATGTGGAAGCCTAATCACAATAAAACATATTCTATTGAAATGCAAAATCATAACTAAAATAAGACAAAAATATCTCAATGGAAAAGGTTTAAAAGAAATTTTCAAAAATACAGACACAGAAAAAATATACATTTTTCTCAAAGAAATAAAGATCCTCAATAAAATATAACCCTTTCAAATAGTGTATATGTATGTGTATATGTGTTTATAGACATAAATATGCATGTATGGATGTAAATATGAAAATGTACAATCAGAAACAATCACAAGAGAAAGCAATCCCCAAAAATACAGAAGATTATGAAACCCAACAGCCTTTCAACCTTTTATACAATATAACCATCTTAAATTCATAAATTAATAAGGCTTCGGCATAAAATGACCCAAATAGGAGTTGACATGCCGTTAAATCCAACATCCATCCATCCTGCTTACGGCCACATCATGTTGAAACATTGAAATTTTATTTCAGGTTCTTGTAATGATGCGTCAGTATTTGGCCAGCCCACCCAACAGACTCCTGAACGTAGTTCCAGTTTTGGGCCATCATGGTATAGCCGGTCACCTAACCAGACGAATGGCCCATTGGTAAGCAGCCATGGAGGCAGCGTGGGAAGTGAAACTCGGCAAGGAGGCAACCCCTTCATGATCTACAATGATCTCACTTATCCTCGGAAAAGTCCAAGTGCAAGCACTAAGGGTGGTCCTTCCAAATCCGTAAAGACATGCGAAACAAATGGAAGCATGCCAACTCCAGGCTCCCAGAAGTCTACGAAGAAAGAAGGAATGTGTATTACTTCGGAACTTCAAGGTTTTTCTGTGAAGGAACTTGTCAAGGCTCTGGGTAGGTTATTAATATATTTGTTTATTATAGATAAATATTGTTTATATTTCTACAGATTAATGTTCAACTTTTCTTCTTCTGGTTGTTTTTTATATCTTGCACTTTTATTACTAACATTTATTCTAAATGTATTTCTCATCTTTCTTTTTAAGATTCAGTCTGCATCTTGAGGCATATTGGACTAATTACTTGATTCATACCATATTGTGGATGTCTTTTAAAAAATGACTCCCATAGTCTTTTTTAACAGTTCAAATCAAATATATAAAAAATGACACAGGTGAAAAAATGTTGAGTAAAATTGCATTGATTCTTTTGAAATTACTCTGTTTATGTTTTAGTTACAAAAAATAATGAGCAGATATGAACTTTCTGAACTTGAGGATGTGTAGTCTTCAAAAGAGGATAACTGAAGCTTGCTGGGTCGTGATGCTTACTGTGGCTGAGCAGTGTAAAGCACTAAATTAGATGGTGTTTTTTTCCTACAAAGTGGGACACAGATTCCAACCGTACTGGAGAGTTCATTTTCTTAATTTTCTTGAATACACAATACATTAAATGTGATTCATTTTGTTACTTCCCCCCACACACAAAATGGAGCATCAACTCAAACATAGATATCCACAAAATATATATATATATATATATATATATATATATATATATATATATATATATATAAAAACTATAAACATTATTTTAGTGGGTTCACATGTTTGAATTGACATCCCTGTTTTTTATATTTTTAAACAGTGAAATTAATATCCATTGCCCTAGATCAAGAAGTTCTAAAGAAAAATTGCCAGTCCCGACAGGAATCAAACCTGTATTCCTTTTTTCATCAGAAGTTACTACTTTGCTGGTGTTCCCAGGTCCACCCTGTTTGGATCCCAGCTATGGGCAAAATAGTTAACCTCCAAACTGGGTTCGAAACAATATGAAAGTGTAAAAATAGGTTTTAATACCAGAAATACTTTGTAAAAAAAGTTATTACCAGCAATAAGTTTTTGGAAAAAAAATTATTACCAGCAATAAGTTTTTGGAAAAAAAATTATTACCAGCAATGCATTTTTGAAAAAAGATATTACCAGCTATATTTTTTTGAAAAAAATATTACAAGCAATACATTTTTGAAGAAAAAATATTACCAGAAATAGATTTTTTGAAAGAAAAAATTTTTACCAGCAATACATTTGAAAAAAAAAAATATATTGCCAGCAATAAAAATCTTGTCGGCATTGAATTACCCATTGAGGTTGATATGCCGTAAAACAAAACAATTACCTATTTAAGGAATGCATATCTCTTGTTAGGACTTCTTTGACTATATATCTGCTAGCTTTTAAATGGATTACTACTAATATATATATTCATTATTTTGGAAGAAAATATTTTAAAGCAAGCCGTTTTTATATTTAATATTTTATATTAATATTGATTTTATAGGATCTGTATCATGAAAAGTATTTTTCTTTAAAAAGCTTAATGCTTTTTATATTGAGTTTTTGTTTTCTCTTGAGCTGTTTCTTCTGGTTTGTTTAGAAAATTTACAGTTTAATATAGTCGTTGGTTTATTTTGGGCTCTTTACAAGGTTATGTTACTCTTGTGCTTGGATGGAGGATTTTATTCTTAATCTCTGAAATTTGACCTTTTTTTTTTTTTTTCTTTTGCAAAATGTTTTTCACATATTAAAATTTGTCTCTTAACAAAAACAGCTTTTCCTAAAATATTGGACCTTTAAAAATATTTAATGATACTAGTATCCATTTTAACTGACATTTTAGTATTTTAACATCATTATATCTTATCACGATAACAAGAGATGTTGCTAATCAAAGAATAATCTTGACAGTCTGAATTTACCATAATTAATCTATTTTTAAAATTTTCTTATTCTAAGATTTAAGCTATCTCTTGTTGCTATATATTTGCATTTTTCTTTTTCTGGGACATTTGAATCAGAAAATTGCCAAAATTTTTCCACAGTTCTCAACTAGATCAGATTGTAAAATGATACATTACTGCCTAATATTATATTATTTTGTTGCTGCCTAGACCTGGTGGTGTAACCATGTTTTAGTGGTCTGGTCCTCAGGGTCTTGGAATGATGTAACCACTGGGCTAACTCTGTGCTGGTCAATGCTGATGATGGTCCAAGCTGGTTGTTGGTTGCTGGCCACTTCAATCCACGCCAATTCTGCCCATGCTGTGTTATTGATCTCAGAACAGTGGAAAATTGAAGGTTGTTGTCTTGCAGTTCTGGTTCAAGCTGTGGCGGGTTCTATATTAAGGAAAAAAAAATAGCTTCATTGTGAAAAATAAAATGAGAGAATTGTAGGGTTAATCTTCAGTTAGTTTATACAGCGCTTGGAACAACAAAAATTAACTCTTCATGCATCAATCTCTATAGTGACACTGGGCGTTTTCTAAACTTCTGGAGGGGCTGGGTTCAAAGTCTTGAATCAGGAAATCTGTTGGCAGCCGACATGTATTTCAGAGGCATTGAAATTCAGCCCAAAGTCTCTGAGCTCCCTAAAGTCATCTGCTTATATGCACTTGGGCACCAAAACTGGCTTTTGGGGATTTGATGTTTTGCCAAATTTCATTAATTCCAGTAAAGGTTTTCTTTGTTCCCTATTTTTGCTTAATCAACTTTCCAAATTTGGAGAATTTTCCACTTTTCTTGGGAGTTGTCACAGGGATTGCTCTTCCCTTAACTCCAACCTACTTCACTTCAAATCTCACACCTCTATTCTGCACAGACAGGGCTAAATTCTGCCCTTTCATTCTTGGTATTCTAACTCGGCCCACTTCTCATGGCTGGCATAACTGTCTTTGTGACAAATCTAATTTTTAACATGTGTAGGAGAATGGGCATGGTTTATTCTCATTAATTTCAATTCACTGACACCTCTCCTGGACCTACTTGTCCAACGAAAACATAAACCAGATCACCTTCTCATTTTGACCTTCTTAGCGATAGATAAAAATTATTTCAAAATTTGTTTTTGTCAATGAAAATATATTTATTTACCTAAATTCTCAACAAAGAGACATGCGGTTTTCCATCCTTTGTATGTGTGTGTGTGTATATATATATATATATATATATATATATATCTTTCTGTAGTCAGGTCCTTTATTTTTTAATCCCTGTAAAAATGGAAAAATGTCAGATTGCTGGAAAAACTCAGTAAAAGATTAATTAAACCTTCCTTGTCAGCCATTTTCAATTAAAGATGTATGAAAAAAAAGGATGCTGCCCAAATACAGATCGATATATATATATATATATATATATATATATATATATATAAATAAAATGGACATTAAGGTCAACACCAAGTGGCAACAGTCTGTTTCATACTTGAACACAATATTCAGCTCTTATATATATGTATATAAAACACACAATCCTTTTTTTTTTTTTTTTTTTTTTTCCAAATATAAATTTCCCTGCCTTTGAAAGTTGTATCGTTCTTTGATTCTGTTCATTGAAACTTTGTCGATGTTTCTACTGATACTGTTTCACAAAAGAATTTAACCAAAATTTTTTAGCTACTAACTTTTTTTTTTCTGGCACTAATCCTTGTAGTAGTTTGGATTCTTGTGGCTGAATCTTTCTCTCAGATTGATTTCTATTGTTGATGCTTGTGTAAAATGGAGTTTTTCATGATCATTCAATAGCATTTATATATCTTTGTCTCTTATATTTTTAATCATTCTCATATGGTATGGTGAGAGTGTTTTGTAGTATTTCCTGGTTGGTTGGTTGTTTATGTAGTGATCTCCCTTGACCCTCACTCTCAGGGAGACCCTATCATTTGTACTTCTTGTCCCAGTAGATGCATTGTCATGTTGTTAATAAAGATAAGTGAATTTTAATCTACATTAATCTTTCTTTATCCTCTTCTGTCTCAAATGTTGGTCTGTCTTTTGAAGATCCTGGCTTGCCTAAGACTGTGATAAGATTTGGTGTTGGAATTTCTTCACTTTTGATTGGCTAAATTTTCGTAAAAAAAAAAAGATAAGAATTAAAAGAATTCTATCAGACTTTACAGAATATTTTGTGAGATGCTAAAAGATTATTTTTTTAATATTTTTTTGGTTTTGTGGAGAAAAACAATTTTTTTTTTTTTCTTTTTTCTTTTTTTTTTTTTATAGAACTTTTGAACAATGCATGATTCAGTCCTGGTCTTAGAAAATATAATATTTAGCTCTTTCTAAATACATTTAATTTGATGCCAATTTTGTATATCACATTACAAAAAAGATCATAGAATGTTAAGTTTTAGTCAATAAACAGTGAAAGGTCAGTTTGTGGTAGTTAAAATGGGTAGACTTGTTTAAAAATAAAATCATCAGCTCTGTCCAGCATTTTGTCAAATAGATTTGAAAATGTTGAGATTGATGTTTCGAGATTAGATTTGGGTTACGTTCACAGAAAGATGTTTGGTGTGAGATTCTAACTTACAATAAAAAGTTCCTTTGGATAAGGATATCAGCAGCTGCATTTGCTATATTTTTAAAGTTAATTTGACAAACCAAACATAATTTTTTTTTCCCTTTTTGATAAAGGCTAACATCATTGTTTTTCATTCAGGAAAAAAAATTTTTTCTAATTTCTATGTTTTATAGAGTGTCATATTCATCATCAATAAAAGAATTTGCACAATATTTTATCTGATTGAATTACCTTTTGTAATGGGAATGATAAATTGGAATTGTTCAAGTTTTGTATTCTCAAAGAATGGTGTACATATAACCAACTTTCTTTTACTTTTTCATAATTGGAACTTTCAATGAATTTGGTATAAATATTAAAATCTTATTCTGTGACAAATGTTCTCTCTGGAGATGAATTGATAAAAATGATGTGCCAATTCTCTCTTAACAAACTAAATTATTATCATTCAGGTTACCTATAATTGTAAGCTTTTCTTTGGGTTCTGGCTTGTTAACCTTTTATCAAATATTAGTGATAAGGTCTGCACAAAAGAATAATTTGCAAGCAGATACTATTAAGATATACACAAGAGAAGAATTTCCAGGTAAATGATGATGTCATTGACAGCTTCTGACCTATGTGACATCTCAGAAATTTTGGCAATCTTTAACCTTTGTGTCTGTAAAAAAAACAGTGTCAAAAGGACAATTTCTCCCTTGACACTGCTATTATTTTAACTACCTTGTTTCTTTTTATTATGACTGTTTTTATTGCTTTAGTTAAATTTTGTACCTCTGATAAAATCTTTGTTTCTTGCATTTGAGAAAAAATGCTTCCAATTGAGAATAACAATACTTGCGTTTATTTCTGGCTAACGTCATTGGAATGCTAATTACCTTCATTTTAGCGTGCTTTTAAAACGGTAGAACTGTTATCAAGACGAGTTTTGTTGCTTAGTAAAACATTTAATTAGGTGTTTTAATATTTTTTATTGGAAAAATGACTAAAGTATTTTCTAAAAACTATTCTAATCTTTTAATTACAAAACACCTAACTTGGTTGTATCTGAAAAATTTATTTGATTCTGATCATTGAAGATGCTGAAATGTATATGTAAGTTTTCATAATGTTGTAAGATTTCAAACACCACATTTTGACTGGACTATTTAGAGGAGTTCTTTCTGATGAATTTGTTACAATTGTTTAGAGTTGTTTCTTGGGATTTTTAAAAGCTTTTGAGGCTTTGAATAGAAAATTCACTGATTATTGTCAGGAGGTGAAACACCGATTTTGAAGTTTTGGCATTCAAGGTCGATTAATTTTCTTTATATTGAAATCATATTACTTGAAAGGCTTCAACAGATCATTTGATTCAAATGAAAACAAGACTGTCCTTTTGTTCTTCATTTTGTTATTTAGAGTAATATCTATAAAGCAAGAAAATATTTAAATACTTCAAGGAATTTAAACAGGGTTACTCCTTTCTTGTAAGCAATATTTTTTTTATTCTTTTAAAAAATTAATTCAGCTTGATCCAGTTTTATATTTGCTTTTCTCTTACCATATAAACTAAAAAAAACATTTTATTTATATGTATAATAAACAGTTTTAATATATCTTTTTATTGTTTATTTTTAAAAAAAAATCATTCTTTTATTATATCGCAATTATGAAGAGGTAAAAAAAAAAATGTATAGTTGCAACCCAGTAATTCATTCAGACTAATATCCTCATCTTTGTTTCTTTCACCTTGGTGTTTCTCTAATTTCTTTGAAAATCCACACTGTATATGTTAATATACAATGCTATTGGCATTTTCAATATGAAAATGCTTTCTGAGATCATGATTAACATTTCATTAATTTAATGACTTCCCAATAATGAAAAGGAGACAAATGCAACAGATGGAAAACAGGTACCTTGTTTGCTTGAATCCTTAACACATATCCACCTGTCATCAGTTAAGCTGACACTTTCTTTTTCTATATATTGTGACCATTTTGCTTACATTTCTTTTGATTTTAGCTGAAAATTTAGACATTTTATAATGTATTTCAGTTAAATTTTCACTTTCTAAAATGATAATTTATAATTAGAGTTTAGATATATAGAAAAAAGTAGGTGTTGGTTTAAACTGATATAAGGGGGGATATCGGTAAAACGGGGCATTATAAAATTCCTTTTAATTTTATTACAGTGTAACCCGGGTATAAGAGAGTTGTCGGGACCGGAGAAGAAGTCTCTTATATACGGGTTTCTCTTATATCCGGGTTTGGTCTATTTTATATACATTAACACAGGCTCTAATTTGGGACCAGAGAAAATCTCTTATATCCGGGTTTCTCTTATATCCGGGTCTCTTATAACCGGGTTACACTGTACTTGTGACTATGCTGAAAGTATTACAGTCAGTTGAGATATTCCATTTATAATACAAGTGCTAATGTAGTGTTCTTGCTGACTATTGATACTGTCAGTTTGATCCTTAATAATTGTTTAGTCAAGTAACAGTGGCTCAATTTTGGCTCAGTTATTATAAACTAGCTTAAAAGCCGCCTGATAGGGCAACATTTAAGCTAGCTCCTGTGGAGGGCTCTTGATTGGAGTTTTCAGAGTTCCTAAGTGTTTGCATATTCTCAGCATTGGAAGCTCTCCTGGCTGCTGTTTGATCTGGGTTTTCATTTGCACAGACTTTCTTTTCCTTGCTGCAGCCTTGATTCTTTTGATTACAATCTTGTCCTCTGTTGGTGTGGATTTCTTTTTGCAAGGCATACTGCTGTCGTATGTGATAAGCAACAATAAACTACAGAAGAACTCAACATTTGATTGTTGAATTTAAGCATAGAATTAATATTTTAGCTTATCTTTTAAAAGTTCAATGATAATTCTTCTGCCGCCACCTAATTTAAAGAAAATTTGATGTGCATAGGTCCTTACTTTCTGTGCAAACAATTATTTTTATTTCATCGGTGACTTTCACTGGATTTCACAATTAATTTCTGTTATCCCCAAATTTATTTCCTGGTTATAATTATAAAAATTGTTATCATACAAAAACATTTGTTGCTAAAAATCATGTAAAAAAAAAAATCACCAAAAACAATTGCAGTAATGAAAATCTGAGAATCCAAAATTTGTGTAACATGAGCTATTGAAAGTTAGAGTTGTCTCTTTAATTGAAAACCTGTGACACACTGACATTCACATTTATTATATAGACATGACCAGTGAAAAAAAAACAAAAGCAATCTGACCATTTAAAAAAAAAAAAAAATTTTTACAGTAAGACCTTAAAGTCTATCAAATTAATTTTATAAATATAACCACAACTTCTTGCAATTTGATCATAGTGAATGTAATCTTTATTGAACTTGATCTGTGATCCAATTAAAAACATTATTGTGAAGAAGTTACCTGCATTTTAAAAGTTTAATACTTTTTTCTAAATAATTGCCAGTTCAAAAGCTACTTTTTATATGTGAAGTTTTATATTGGAAGTGTTTTAGGTTCAATCCCTATTCTAATTACTGTGTCTTTGATTTATATATGTATTGGGTGGTTAGAATGTTCACTTTCCAACCATGAAATCTGGGTTCAAACCTTGACACAGTTGATTCGTCAGGAAGGTGACTTCTTGATATTACTTGCCTGGGGTAGGTGATACCAAGATGCTGTATAATTGAAAAGTAACTGAAAACTATATCACCTTTTGACCCAGGCATTTTGATTAAAATTGGGTAAATGGTATGGTTTGATAGTTGTGCTAGCACAAATTTGCAAGTCATCGTGACTGATGGTTTAAGTTTACTGCCATTGATCAAATTGTTGATCATGCCAAATTATGTTTTCTCTTCTAGACATTGTAACCAATGTCTGCTTAGCATAGTTACTGTATAAACAACAGGTGGGCTCTGTGCATGTGGAATGAACATAAATGTGCCTGAGCATGTACCTGCAAACAGGGATAGGCTAGCCACTTTAGTAGATGTGTACATTTAGAAATGAGTACCCAGCCACTATTTATGATATAGAATATTAAGACAGTTGCTTAAAAAGCAGTTTAAAACCTGTTAATTGAATACTTTTAATAAAGGTTTGTCCAGACGATATATTGAGATTACATATAATTATTAGGTACAAAATAAATGAGTGAGGAAGACTGTTTTTGTGCATGTGTGTGTACTACTTGTATTTGTTGCAGCATTCAACTGGGATCTGTTGAGCCATCCCGGTCAAATGAACCTGCTGCATCCCGAACAAAAGCTAACCAAGCTTTGTGGTTGGATGCAATTGAATCATTAAGAGCTAATGAATCACAGTCCCACTGGCCATAGCAGATGTTGTATTCATTTGGGTGTGGGAATTTGAATTCACAAGCACCCTCTGGCACTATGTAAACACACTTCAAGATAGTGTGATCTGAGCAGTGATTTACTTAGAGCACTGAAACATTTGCTTTCCACACCTGACCCAAGTTGGTGGTGCCAGGGTTGCAATAAGGATGTAGGGGCAGGAATTTAACCAGCAGAGGTGAGACATATGATCATTAGGTGATCATATGATCATGTTGCACAGCCTATTTTGAGCCACTTTGTAGGCCAGCTGCAGCTCATGTCCACTGTCCTGCTCAGGCATACCTTTCCTTCAACCTCATCTGTGTGGGGTTAAGGTTTGCAAGTTTGGAGATCAAATTTAAGATTCCCTAGTTCCTTTCATTACTATTTATATGTCAAATTTTTCATAATTGAAAAAAACAAAAAAAAAAACAATCCGATTATTTGTTTGAATGAGTTACTGAATTGTGATGATACTGTTTTATAAATTTATATATACTTTTATATAAATATACTAAACTTGGTAGATTTTTTTTACCATTGTAATAATTTTTCAATTTCAGGTAATATGAAAAAGAAAAAATGCCTGAAAGAAAGAATCTTGTTAAATAGACTCATTTCTTTTGAAATTTACTTTCTTCATTTAATCTTTTAAGAAAAGGAAACTTTAAAAGGCAGGTCCAGCACACAGATACAACATGTCCGTCAGGTGCCTATTCCAGAAACCACAGAGGAAGCTAGGCGAGTTCCTGTCCCCTTGCATGGGCATGTGAAGAACCTCTCAGGCGGTAAATAATGATAATAATCATGTGAATTATTAGTAGCTTATTACTTATCATTATCAAGACGTGAATGATTATTATCTCTATCCTTTAAATATGATACTTTTAAATCTTATTATAATAATGAAATCAATAATACAGAGTTGATATATAATTACCTTTTATTATTATAAGTTGAAATTGAATGTGTTATAATTTCTTTATTATTAAGTAATTTTTTATTTACTTATACGAATTGTTTTTTTTTGTTTTTTTTTTTTGTAAGTTGTTATTACAAGAACAAATTTAACTAGTTAATCAATTAGTCCAAGAAATAATAATTATTACTTAAAAAACAATTTGAAGTGCAATGTAATTTTATTTTAAATACTATCATCTTGAATGGTCACAAATGGTTGTTATTTTTACTTGTTAAAAAATACAATCCTGCTTTTTTGGTAACTATCCTAAATAATTACATTTTATTTAAGAAGATAAATTTAAGTCTTTTCAAAAAATAAATTAAATTCTAAGAATTATTAAGGTGTACACACTTTTAGAGAAATTTCATGCATCTTTGTGCAAGAATGGAGTGAGTCAGTACATAAGTAAAATTGAGAAGATGGAACTGTTCAGATCTTGTCAATGGTTGTGCTAGCAAGAAGTAATGAGTCATTGTGACTGAGTGTTTTAGTGTACTGGGCTTGTTCAAATTGTTGATCATGCTACATTATATGCTATCTCCCAGACACTGTAACTAAGTTGGGCTCTCTGGGTGTCTGGACAGGTGTCTAGAATAGAAATTGGCTAGCCAGATGAGCAGACTGGTATACTAATCACAGATAGACACTGTGGGTGTTGGACAAACATGAATGTGCCTGAGCAGGTCCCTGAAACAGGGATTGGCTAGCCAGTTTAGAGGCTTTGTCAGTATTGAACAAATACAAATGTGCTTGAACAGGTGTCTGAAATAAGGATTAGCTACCCGTTTTAGAAAGCAGACATAGATGAAAATGAGCAGCCAGACATATATATATAAAATATATATAAAAAAAAAAAAAAATTTTAATTTCGTGCATGAGCGTTGTTTTTTTTTTTGTTTTTTTTTTTATTTCGTCAACTGCACAGTATAGTAGGGTCAGTTGGGCACCCTCTGTGAGAAAAAAAGAACCTTGATGCAATTTACTCCATCAGAAATTTGGAAAGGGCATGCTGTACTGCTTGGCTTTCCTACCAGAAGTTCCAATATGAACGTTTCAGAACATTTGGGTGTCAATCTGAGGACAGTGCAGAGGATTTGGAAAATTTGGATGAGTGTAATAGTGATTATAAAGGTACGGCAGCTTGGAAAACTCACTTTGATCATTTTGATAAGAAACGCACTCCTGAATTTGTTGGTGAGGGCCTCAAAACTTAACATGGAGACCTACATCAATTGCCTTGTGTCAAGAGAGTGGTTGCTGGAAAACCCTATATTTGGTAACAGGACTCTGCACTCTGCCACACAAGTAGAAGAACCCAGTCATAACTGTTGGACAACTTCTGCGACCACATCACTCTTACATCTGGCTATCTAACTCTCCAGACGGCAACACCCTTGATTATTATCTGTGGGTTGCAGTTGAGTGAGATACTAACAAAACACCTTGTAACACCCAAGATGGAATGAAGGCAAGGATTATGGCAGCATTCACCAACTTAAACAAGGAGACTGTACAGAAGAGTTGCAAGAGATTCTAAAGTCATCTAGAGGCCCTGATTGAAGCCAGTGGCAATTTTATGGAATAAATTTACTCTTTAATATTTCAAGATATTTTTGTGTAATTTTGGTAAATATATCTGTTAAAATGAGATGTTGGTGTTATTTTCATTTTTCCATAATTTAGACGACAATTTATCCATCGCAGCCTTTATAATGCTTGCATGGCCGAATGGTTAGCATGTTGACTTTTTGACTTTGCTGCCTGATGATGCGCTTTCTCTCAGAAATTGTAACTAAAGTCTGCTCAACATAGTTTCAGTATAAACAACAGGTGGGTATTGAACAAGCACAAATGTACTTGAGCAGGTGTTTGCAACAAGAATTCGTGAGTCACCCTAACAGATGGGTCTACTTGAATATGCGTGATGCTATATTTATGGAGAAAAGTGCTCAATGTCAGGGATAGAGTGTATGTAAATATGAAAGTGGACATTGAAGTCAACACAATGGTAACAGTCTGTTTCATGCTTGAACTCAATCTTCAGGCCTGAACTTTGTGTTCTCATAATGTATAAAACATTATCACCAGTGTTCATTTTATTTATATATATATATATATATATATATATATATATAAGTAGGATGTAGAATAGTACTGAAATTGAGAAACGCATTTTGCCTTTGTGTACCAGGTTGGCATCTTCAGGTCCAAATGAAAGACAAAACTGTATTAAAGCTGTTAATGTCTGTTGGATTTTAAATTAGCCCACTCTGACTAGATTACTGTTATTCTCTATTTTAGCTTGTACATCGCATTGTGCAACCATTGCTTTTGCAATGATCACATATATAATCATGTACTGACTCACTCTTATTTTATGCAAACTTATATAAACGTTTTTTTTATAAATGTCAGTGATACATTTGTACAGGTTGTCCATAAAGTTCGTGTGCACTTAAAAAAATTTATAACTTTATTTGTATTTGCGATAGAAATAATCTGTAAAAGATGTTATAAGGTTTAATGTACCTAGTTTTAACTATAGCTAAAATAACTAATGTGATTTCAGGCATTACTGTAAATCAGTTGGCAAATGTTTTCTGTGAACTACAAAATCGTATTACCTTTTGTATTGCTAATGATGGAGGACATGTGGAAACTTAAATAAAATTTCAATAAAACCTTAAAAGATATAGATTTACTTCTTTCTAATACAAATAAAGTTATAAATTTTTAAAGTGCACATGAACTTTATGGACACCCTGTATATGTAGAAAAAGTATATATTTTTACACACCCAAACTCTTAGATGTGTACATACATTTTTGTATATAAGTAAATAAGGGATAATATTTATTTCTTTGTCTTTCTCTGTATTATTGTTAAACAATTCAATTTGCTTATATGTGCTGATACTCAATAGATTTATCAGCAGGGGGTGTTAAATCAGCAACCTGAAACGGAACATTTTTTTTTTTTTTTTTTTTTCCTCCTTCCACATGCCTCTGTCAGTTTTTAAAAGTCTAATTTCTTAGTTGATTTTTCTTTTTATCTGTTTAATTTTTTTTGGCTTTGAGTTTTCTTTTGAGTCAATGGTTTCCTGCATGTCACCATGCTGACGTTTAAGTATCTATAAAAACTTCAGTTCTGTTTTTGTTTTTCTTTTCCATCACGCTATATCAGTGCTTTTCCTTGCTATTTTATTTCTTCTTTCATTATTGCTGCTGTCAGTTTTCTTGTCATTGATTTTTACTTATGATTCTGAGTTATTGCTGCCAGTGCAGTCCTGCCAAATGTAGCTCTCACATAATCTTTATTATTTTCATATTATCATTTTGGAAATGTTATTGTTAATAATGCAGTCATATTGGCATTATGGTGTTGCTTTACAATCTCTTTTTTAGGGTGTATTTCTCTGTTATATAATATTACAGAAAATATATATTTCCTGAAATGTTTTTGATAATTTTACAAAGTGGTTGCACACTGGAAAAATTTTTTCATATTTGAATTGTGCCTTTTTTCTGCACTTCTGGCGTGAAATATTTTTGTTATTCCACACTTTTTTTTTTCAGTTTATTGTCTTGTCTTTTGAAAACTTTTCTGATTAACATGACAGAATATTCCTGAAGAAGGCCAGAGTATAAATCAGCTGAAATGTTAATGAAACAAAAATGAAGATAATAATAATCTTAAATAATTCTGTTGGAATTCTTTTAATACCAGAATAAATTTGTTTTTCTTGCTTTTAAAATTATTTAAGTAGTTTAATAAAAATGAAGATTTTTTTAAAAAATTATTTTAAATTATAAATCAGGAGTAATAAAAGTAAAATCATGGAAATAAAATAATCCCTCCCCATCAAAAACAAAAACAAGCTTTTTTATTATTGTGAGGTATTGTACCTTTTCTTTCTGTAAAAGAAAAAGAAATGAATCAATTAAAATAACAAACGTATTGTCATTTGTTTGAAAATTACTTGGACTAGTATGATCATTATCGTTGTTTTGATTAATACATTTTTCTTTCTCAGATATACCTGATGAAAATGTTCACGGACTTTTGAACAAAAGTTTTTAATTTGCTTCCCATTATATGTAACAATTGTTTTCTGTTTTTTTTTTTTTTTTTTACATATGGGTTTTGAAATTAACAAGTGACCTAAAAAATGTTTGAAAAAAAATAAATAAATAAAAAGAAATGAGATTTATGTTTAAAGTTTTTTAAGATAATAGCAAGTAACATCTGGAAAAGTTTGAAGAGCTTTCTAGCTGAAAGGTTATGATCAAAACAACAAATGTAAGGATACTAGTTCAAATATTTCATGGTCTCAGCAATTAAAGAGTACATATTAGTCTTAATAAATTCAAATTTTACTTAATATAATAGGCTTATGGCTACAAAACACTGAAACACTGGTTCCCATATAATCACTAAATTTAAGCAATGTTGAGCCTGGTCAGTACTTACATGAATACAAGGTGCTGTAAGCTTGGATGTGCAGGTGGTGTAATGGCTTTCAATTGTTAATCAGAGAGCTGAGTTCCAATTTCGGTTGGGTTTATTATATTCATTTTCATGCAAATACCTTTGGGTATGGTATATATCCACCTTTTCTCCCCTACCTATGAATTAATTAGTAAGACCTGTATCACTAAATCATTATCTCAAAAAAAAACAAAAAAAAACAACATTCTTACAATCTAAAAAATATTTTCAGACTTTAAATAACCTGCAAATGGTTTATAAGCCATAGAAAACAAATCAATCAATGTTAATTAAATATTGAACAGTTGCATTGCATGATATGAAAGAGCTTGAAGCTTTTATCAAAAAATGATGGCAATCTCTATAAAATATAGAGGAAAGTAATTTATTGATGGATTTATTTAAGTGATAATTGAAAAGGATTTAGGTGCCACTTTTTACTTAACTATATATACTAATTTATTTTATTTATTCAATGTCAGCATTGTATAAACCTTCAGTAATGTCAACGTTGTATAAACATTCAACAATGTCAACCATATGTAAATCTCCCGAAATGTCAACCATGTGTAAATCTCCCGAAATGTCAACCATGTGTAAATCTCCCGAAATGTCAACCATATATAATTCTTCATTAATGTCAACCATATATACACTTTCAATGTCAATCTTATATACATCTTCACTAATGTCAACCTTATATTTAGTGGACATTTCCGTTGTTTTTTAAAACTGAAACTGACATCTAGTTGCTGAAGCAATTAAGTCATTAATTCTCCTTCCATTGGAGAAACTACCTTTATGGTTAGTGTGTTTTAAAAAAATGAAAAAGGTCTCAATGAGAGATGTGTCTTTGAACTGTGATGATAGGCAGATGTTGATAAAATAATTACTGTGAAATGGTGCAGCCTATAAAGTGAGATTTTTTTTATGGTGTCGAGATGTGTTGACTAGGGAATAATAAATTAAAAAAAGAATATCCATAATCTTGAAGCCGAAATTTTTTGTTTTCAGATTATTGATTCTATATTCAAAACCTTTATTGAACATCACAAAAGATATAGACTTTGAATTTAGTGAAACATTATCATTGAAGCATTATCAATTATTATTTCTTTTTGAGTATTTTTTTCACCTTAATTTCAGTTGCTTTTTATTGCAACTTCTAGAGTATCATTCTATGGTGGTTAAGTTAAACAATATAGATCAGAAAGAAAGAATAAACCTCCTGTGAGATTTGAACTTGTGCCCTTTATCCTTGCAAGACTGCTTTTCTGTGCTAACTGAATTAGACTGCAATGATCAATTAAATATGGCATTGTATGATGTTAAAAGAATTAAAGAATATACCTATATTTTTTTTAATTAATTCACCCCAAGGAAGACAGTAATGCCACTGAGACACAAGGGATTACTGGGAGTGAAAGAATGAAAAAGATTTAAAACCCAATCCTAAATAGGAAACAAAGGATAAACCTCTACTCCTGTTAAAAAAATTGGGGAGGAGTGTGAACCCGATGACAGGTGAACTTATCTAATCCTATGGTTAAATTTGGATGACATTTACATTTTGTCCTTTGTTCACTACTTGGAAAGACAGTCTCCAAAGGACAAAGAATACAAGCTGAAATCTTGTTTATTTTTTATCTACATTGCTTATAATGATAGTCTAAGTAGTTGCAATAAAAATCCACAGAAATTAAGATGAGAAACTTATCGGTCAAAAATGAATAATAATTCACAGTGCTTCATCTAAGAACTTCACACGCTGCTAGTTTTACAAAGCTAAGAAAATGAAATGAATACTAGTCAAAAACTCAGTAATAAATGACAAACAATTTTACCACTGAGATTGGGTTTTACTCTATAAATGACATCTTTATAACACTATAGGTTTTAAATAACAATAATTATTTCTGCATAGATTTTGGCCTATAATTATTTATAGTGATAGATTTTGTAAATTTAACTTGGTTTAAAACTCTGTCTGATAAGGAACCTAACCCACCTGGCACCTTTGATAAAATTTGTCTTTGTAGCCTTCAGTTCTTTGCTATGCCTCCAGATTACATTTGTAATTACAAAAAGTTGTTACTTATACAATGAAGCTATTACAGACTGATAGCTGAAATCCTTTGCACTGGATTGAGATTATGTTTCAAAAGACTTAAAATATTTCTTGTTAAACTGATATTTGAGATTAGACCTTAATTTGATCCTTTACAACTGAGCTTTGTCTTATATTAAATTTGTTTTTACTATAAACACTTGAAGGAAGCTAATCCAATGTTTGTTTGGATTTCTCAATTTGTTGATTTCATTTATTTTCTTATATATAGCTAGAGGCTTACAGCCATATAACATTCAAACACAGGTTCTTGTATGATTGCTCAAGTTAAGCAACATCAAGCCTGATCAGTCGGTGGTGTAATGGATAATGGCTTGCAATTGGAAATTGGAGAGCTGAGTTGCAATTTCAGTTGGGTTTGTTATATTCTGTTATACTCTTGCGAAAGGTATGAATCCACCACTTCTCCCCCAGCTATGTGTTAATTAGTAGAACTTGTATCAGTAAAACATTATTATCTAGTTTTTTTTTTTCTTTTTCAAAAGAATTTTTTTTTGATTGTAAGGTGAGAAGATAAATAATTCGTAAGTAAAATATCAGGGCTCTGCATTTCCATTTACAAGCTTCAATATGCGGTTGACGTAGTGGATAATGGTTTGGAATTCCAGTTCCAGTTGGGTTTGTTATATTCCGTTCCCCACAAATACCCTTGGGAAAGGTATGAATCTACCTCTTCTCTCCCCAGGTATGAGTTAATTAATAAAACTTGTATCAGTAAATCATTATTATCTAAAAAAAATTCTTATACTCTAAAATATTTTCTGGCTTTAAATAACCTGCAACATGTTGATAAGCCATAAAAAAACAAACCAACAAACTAATTCATGATTCCAAAAACAGTCATGATGTTAATTTATAAAGACAGAACTTTGGAATATTTCCTTCTGTATGTTTTGTCAGGTGAAATAAGGTGGACTGTATGTTCTGTCAGGTAAAAAAAAAAAAATTGAAGTTACTGTGTTTTTGTTTTTCATTCTTTCAAATTGTTATAAAATAATTGTTATATTTGTGTGCATAAATTTCAATCCAAAATTAATCATAAAATCCTTTTTTTAAAAAAAATCACCTGTATTTTTGAGTTCCTTTATAAAGCATTATTTAATAGACAGTAAATGTTTCTTCAGAACTTGTCTTTAGCCAACAGAATTTTTCTTTCTAGAGAAGAAATCCTACTCTTTCTATATCTGAATTTGCGTTTTTTGTTCTTTGAGATTCTGATTTCAATTAATTGGCGCCTAGTATTTCCTCATTGGGAAAGTCTTATAAGTATCTTAAATTAAATGTGTTTAGGAGAAAGTGTTTAGTGAAAAAAGTATTTAATCTTTGTACTAATAGGGGTTGAAACTTGCTGCATTTTGTGATTATGTGATCAATATATTGACTTGGCTAAAAGGCTTGTTTGAGTTTTCTCATGAGATGTCATTAGGATTGTTTAGTTAACTTCATTCAAAAAGACAGCTGACATATCAACTTATATTTTTAAGAAAAAATGTTAAAATTGTGTTGCAATTCTAATATTAAAGACTGGAGAAAATGAGCAGCATATTTGGTAGATGCATTTTTATTTAAATTTTATTTAAAATTGAAATTGTAACTTTGTCAGGAAAGATTTTTGAAGTCTCTGGAGAAGATTCTGTGAATGATCAAACATATCAAAAGTGGTTTGCATAGTTTAATGCTGGAGATTTCTTCTGCTGAATTATGCTCCATGATCAAATTAAGGCATTACTTAAGAATAATCAATATTATAGGATATGGAAGAGAACAAAAAAATCTCAAAATATTCAAAATCATGTTCACCAGCTTTGGTACATAGTGCATAAGCTAAAGAAATCTACATGATTGAACTTCCATGTGATAATTTCATATAATGAAAATATTCTGTGTAACAAATTGTAACAGCTGATGAAAAGTGGTTATTTATGGCAATGTTTAATGCAAGAGATTTTGAGGTAAGCAGATTGATTTGAACAAGTACTGTTCCCAGTTAGATAATCTGAAGGCAGCAATTAACAAAATGGTTCTGCAATTGTTTCATAGAAAGTAGACAGAGTGAAAAAGTAATCTATATAATGAGCTAATGTAAATGGATATCAGACTGGGAATGATAGTGAGGAAACAAACATAGAACTATGAAAGTGAAGAAGTTGTGGAGAGCTGTGATCGTTCATGTCTTGAAGGGATGCATCAATTAAAAGAAGGTGCAATATCCCATTATGATGTTAATTTGGTGACCTGGTAAAAATTGTTACAGTTTTGGTAGGTTTTACTCACCTGTCATAATCAGCAGATATTGCACCTTTAGTTACTTGTTAATTCTTGTCATTAGAGAATTATTTCAGTGGAAAAAAAAAATAATTTGTTCCCTGGAAGACTATAAAAGGCACCTAAAACAGTTCAGTGCTGAGAAAGTTTTTTGATTTATTCTTTACAGTTTATCAACCTTTTGCAGGGTATTTAAAGCCACAAAATACATGATTGTAAGAATTTTTTGGAGATAATAATGATTTATTGTTAAAGTCCCATTAATCAACTCATAGTGGCGGGGGGGGGAGAAAAGGAGATTTATTTATACCTTTCTCAAGTGTATTTGCATGTAAATGAATATAAGAAACCCAACTGGATTAGAACTTGGTTTTCTAATTCTGAGCCGTTATATATTACACCAGCTGCACACCCAGGATTACAGCACCTACTATTCCTAAGTGGTCACCCATCTTCATACTGACCAGGATCAACATTGTTTAACTTTGGTGATTGTATGAGGACCGGTGTTTCAATTTGATATGGCCATAAGCCGAGAAAGTTTTAGGTGGATAAACTTATGAAGTTGGTTGAGTGATGACAGAAGATAGTTGAATGAAATGATGGATATATTGGTCAATAATTTTGACGATAAAAGTTTAATTTCAGTCTAATAATAAACCAAACAAGCCTTTTGGTCAATTTTGATGAATTGACTAAATTTTCTTTTGGGGGTGATACATGTTGTTTTGTTTTATGCAGAATAAAAGCAAGCTCTGTTTGAAGGTATACAGATTATTGGTCAATATCATTTAAGGCACTTTCAAAAAATCTATTTTGGAAAGTGTTTAGATTTTTATTTCTTTATTATTTATTTATTTATTATGAGTCCTTTTCTCATTCAGAAGTCAGTTGCGAAAATACTTACTGCTCTATCAATATTGTAGATTTGGCTAGTGACCAAATTATTTTTTAACTTTTTTTTTTTAAAACTTTTATTTTAATATTTATTGTCTTTTCAATTATTTATTATTGCATTTATTTTTGTATTTATATTTAACCCCAACCCTCTCAATCTGTTTATTATTTCTCTCTTTCTTTGACATCATTCTAACATGAAGTATTTCTATAAATAGGCCAGGATCCATATTAGAACTGTAAACTTATCCTGAAGTCTTGATTTGAAAATCTCTGCTCTTGATCAGACAAAAAGAAAATCCCTTAAACTTGTCTATTTTCATAAAAAAGAAGACTTATAGCCACATCACAATGAAATACTGGTTCTCGTATGATCGCCAAAGTTAAGCAATGTTGAGCCTGGTTAGAACCTAGATGGGTGACCACTTAGGAATACCAGGTGCTGTAAGTTTTGATGTGCAAGTGCTATAGAGGATAACAGATCAGAAGTGGAAATTGGAAAGCCTATTTCCAGTTTCACTCACATTCATTATATTCACTTATGCACAGAGGTATGAATCTACCTCTTTCCCCTCAGCCATGGGTTAATTAGTTGGGCTTGTATCAGTAAATGATTATCTCCCAAAAATTCTTAGAATCTAAAAATATTTTTTGACTTTAAATAATCTGCTAAAGGTTGATAAATCATAAAAAAGACAAGTTTAGTTTATAGCACAAAGGTAAAATTTGTTTCTATAAATTAATGATTTTTTTATACTTACCAATATACCTAATGTATGAGTAAGGAATTTTACACTCCCTCAATATACATTGATTTTACCTTAATACCTACAGATCTCATAATCATTTTATTCAAAAGGAAAAAAGTTTATGTATGTAAGAATTACAATCTAAAGTGAAGAGATTTTTTTAAATATTATTTAGTCACTAAGATCTTTGTTGATTCTTTTATTATGACAAATGATGGGAAGAATCTTTGAAGGTTACTGATAATTGTCAATTGCAAATAACTGTAATATAAATATTCTAGAAATAGGAAATTTTATTGATTAAATGCTGCCAAAGGTGATATTTATGCATGTTTCAATAAAGTTAAATTTTATTTCTTTTGATAATATTATTTCAGTTGTTTTATGAAACTCACAGAGCAAAAACATTCTCAATTTCAAAAGTATTAAATAATTATATGATTTAAATATATAGTAATGAGTATCATCAACCCAGTTCTATGATTCTTTTTATGTCTGACTTTGAACCTGTCTATCTTCTGAGGTTTTGTATTTAACCTACTTCCTTTTGGGACAGCAGGTGTAACCTATAATTGATACTGAATTTTATAGGGAACATGTGATGTATGCACAGATGCAAAAGAGGTCCAGATTTGTGTGTGACCATGTCTCTCAACACTCATTACCTCTAGGTTTCCTCCATTAACAGCAGAACAGCTTAGAATATGATATGAGCCTCTCTGCAACTAGTCAAGATCTGGATCTTTGTAAGCTGCCTCATGCCATTAAAAGTGGTGGGGAAACCAGCAGTGGGCAGTTGTCATGTGAAGTTTGTCCTGTGAGCATTTTGTTCCTAAAGTTGTGCCATATGCTGTGCTGTGGTTTCTGAGGCAGTGTTATTTTGTTATTTCCCATCTCTTTAGCTTCTCTGCCTATTACCCCCATGTTTCTAGGGAGAGCAATTGGTTAGGTGTTTCTCCCAACCTCAGCACATCCATGTTGTACATTACAACAAAGCATAAATTGGTTATAGATAGTAACCTATAATTAATATTGGATTTTATAGTGGACATTAATTTATTATAGATAGTAACCTATAATTAATATTGGATTTTATAGTGGACATTAATTTATTATAGATAGTAACCTATAATTTTTTTTTTTTAAGCATATCACTCCAAGCAAGGTGGGAGTGGCACTAGCATGCAAGGAGTTACAGAGAGTGAGGACAAGAGTAAAGAGGGGTGTTTGGGGAAAAGAAAAGGACGGGAGTCAAGATCAAGGCATCAGAAGATGTCGAATTGACATTATATTTGAATAATTAAAGATTATAGCTGTCAGGGAAGACAAGTAAGAGGAAGGGAGTTTTACTGATGGGAAGTGAGATAAGAAGCTGCTGGAGTAGAAGAGTTGGCTATATTTAACTGTATTGACAGTGAAAGGGTGGGACCAAGATGCCAATCTAGTAGTATGCTTAAATTCATGCAGTTTGAGAACCAGTGAAAATAGATACAGAAATTGTCATGAAAATACTTGTAGAAAAGACAGAGGGAAGCCACAGTGCATCTGTGAGAATGTGACTGTAGACAAGATGCCAGATCAGGACCTATCACATTGCATATCTGTCTGGATTTTATGGTGGGTATTAATAGGTGGAGAGTGTAAATTTAACCGCAAGGCTTTGTATTGTATGTTTTTGATGAATTTAAAAATGTACAAGATAAAATATTTAAAAAATTACATCTGAATAAATAATGGATGTGGGATTTAGGTTTCTACCTATAACCCATTAATGGCCATGATTCCAGATCAAAGAAGATAGAGAATTGTGCATTTGAGAATATACAAAGGATTTTTGCTGCAGAATTCTTTATTATTTTCTTAATTTATTCTGTTATTTTCATTTCTTTTTATGATTTTTTATGTAATTGTTACTGGTAAGTTAAATACAAATCATTTACTTGTTTTTTTCATAATAAAAACTGTATCCCAACTTTTGCCCCATTCCACTGTATATATGAAAGAAATATTAACTAAATCATATAGGGGGGGTATCAATAAATCTATGGACTGGCACATAATTATTAACTGAAATTTGACCTGTATTATGCCCAATGTAAGTGATTAATATTCTCTATTGAATTAAGTGTATTAACAAAAAGAGGAGGGTTTTTGTTTCAATTTGGAAATATTGAGGTGAGGAATTATCCTTGTTAGACATTTCACTATTTAGACCAGCCTGCAATTGTTATAAAAATGTTAAATGAGTGTAAAAATTAAAATAAGTGTTTTAGTTTAAAGAGAAAATATATATTGTTTGAAGTCAAAAAGTACTAAACTGTATATTTGACATAAAAAAATAGTATACAAAAATGTATAGCCTATTTTGTATTGAATGTTGGTACATGTTTAAAAATTAATTCAATGCAGACGTTTGACTGTTGAACGGAATAGAAGTTCATAGATATATACCTTGTGGCTTCTTGTATGCCCCTTCAGGACGTGGGCAGTCATAGCTCTCCACCATTTCCTTTTCTTTGTAGCTGTTAATAAGGTTTGTTTCACCATCTATCCATGTTCCTATTCTGCCATCCATTTCTTGTCAGGCAGGTTACTCACTGTTTCCCTCTGTCCCTCAATATGTCCTGTGAGTTTTAAATTCACTAAACCCTTTCCTCATTATGTGTTCTAGAAATGTCAACTGACTTTTTCTGATTCTTAGTATAAGTATCCTTTTTGTTTCCATTTTCCTCAAAACTTCTTTGTTACTTACATGTTTAGTCCATGATATTCTCTGCATCCTATGGTAGAACTACATTTCTGTTGCCTCAAGTCTCCTCTACATCTGTGAGGAAATTGTCCAGCATTCACTGCCATAGAGTAGGACTAATATTACATGAGAGTTCAGCACTCTTTTCTTTGTGAAAAAAAGAAAATTAAATTTTCCTGTTCTTAATAGCTTAGCTTTTGGAAGGCATCTTTCGCTATTCCAATGTGCCATCGAATTTCAGTGACACATTTTCCATCCTCGTTTAAAATCCTTCCCAGCTATTTAAATTTTTATACTCATTTGATTTTGGCATTTCTTTCGTTGTTCACATCTTGTGCTGTTCTTGATGATAACCATAATCTTACAATTGGCGTTTAGTCCCTTCTTCTCACTTTCCTTTACTACCTTCTGTAGGAATTCCTTTGGTTTAATTTCTGTGTCTAATATCAACACTGTGTCACCTTAGATTGTTAAGATTATGGCCATCAATAATGAATCTTGGTAGGACTTCTCAGGATTGCTTCACTGTAAAGACTGAGTAATTCTCATGAGAAGACACTTCCTTATCTTATACCCTCTTCTATTTTTGTATATTCACTAAATTCTTTTCTTATCCATATGCAGGCAGTGTGCTCAAGTATAAGTTCTGAATTATTCTAATATCTTTCCTTAATAATTTTTTTTTTTTTTAATTGGTATCACTACATGCAAGGAAGTAAAGCCACTAAGGCACAAGGGGTTACAGGATGTGGAAGAATTAGGAACAGAAACATTAATAATGAGCAGAAAGAGATAAGAGTAATCAGGAGGAAAGTAGATAGTGATTGACATTGAATTTAAATTTTTGCAGATTAAAGTTGGCTGGAAAAGATGGAGCCAGAAGGGAATTCCATAAGCGAGAAGTGTGAGAAATCTAGCCAACTCAGCTGTCAATTGATAAGATCTCAATGCCAGTCTAGTACTGTACTTAAATTCATGAAGTCTAAGTACCATAGTGAAGAGCTCATCAGGAAGGTCATTAATAAAAATTAAAATCAGAGTAGAACTAAAAATGGAGTTTTGTGGGGCACCCACGTTAGTACAAAAGGATAATTTTCATTTTGCGATTTGATAGGAACGACTGGATCAGTTCAAAAATGTTTCTGGAGGCACCGTATCTTTTCAGCTTGTGGAGAAGACCTGTATGTTAAAGCCTGTTGAGATGCCCAGGCTTCATCGTTTTTATTTAGAGCATGATAGACTCTTTCTGCAATTATCGTCAGTACATCAGCAGTTGACCTGGAGAACTGAAAGCCATATTGCTTGTCAGAGATGCTGGACCAATTCAGCATTGATTAGGGCCTCCAGGAATTTCCTAAAAAGAAGTAGAAGGCTAACAGGCTTGTAGTTGGAAAGGTCAGATGGTTCACTAGAGTTTTTAAAAACTGGAACAACAGATGATGATTTCCAGCAGGCAGGAAAGCAGGAGGCATTGTGGTATTTATTATACAGTTTAGAGAGAACAGGGGCCAGTTCGGGAGCACACTTCTTAATGACTATTACAAGGATACCATGGGGTCAACATGCTTTGTAGGCATCTAGTTTAGAGATGATAGCAGAAACCATGGAAGAGGTTATATGCATATCCTTTAACAGAGATTCGGTTCTAATTAGGGAAGTTAGGCAGGGATACTCCAAATGAGTTAAGGGTAAAGTTTGAGGAGAATTTATGAGCAAAACATTCAGCTTTATCAGCAGAAGATAACATCTCAAATTGATTGAAGAGAGGAAGAATAGAGACCTTGCTCTTATTTAATACCCTGTTACAGAGCCACCAGTAATCATGAGAGCTAAGTTAAGTTCTTAAAAGCAATGTGGTGCCTCGTTCTCTCAGATTCACTCACATTTATTACGTGCAGTAACAAATAGGTGCCTGTTGTGACGAGAGCTGTCAAACTGGTATAGCCAAAA